GTCACTTTTGGGGAGTTTTGAGAATTTGTATGCAAATATATTTTTTCGAGTAAGTGTCACTGACTGAAGTGAATATCATTATTAATTCTAATTATTTATTATTATTACTTTTTTATCTGCCAGTAAAAATAATTTATAAAAAATATTAATCATCATCGTTAAACACTTGGAAAAGGTCAATGTTCAACTGGAATAATATATTAAAATAATAATATTATTACCTTTTAAAAAAATAATATTAAAATAATATAATTTAAAATAATATAATAATATACTAATAATATACTTTTTTTAATCAATTAATCATTTAAAATTATAATTTATCAATTATTAAAAATTTAAATTATTTAATAAATTCAAACTATTATCAATACCCATTGACTAAGGATATTTTAGTATTTCTAAATTTTCACTAAGATGATTACAAGTAATTCTATTATTTCCTTCGTTATAGTATAGATATGGACAGAAAGATACGAAAAAAACACAAAAGATCGAAAGAAAATAGTTGTAAATGAGTTACATTCTTTGTAAGATGCTCAAAACTTGATTTGAAAAAAGCTCTAAAAATAAGCTAAACAAAACCAGCTTAAGTTTAATTATCGAGCTCAATTAATAAATGAGTTGAGTATGGATTCGAGCTTAATTATATAGAGCTTAATTATATATATATATATATATAATATATATATATATATATATATATATATTATCTATATACTATATATATATAATATATAATTAAAGATTTGAATAAGTGGAGCTGAATATGCATTTAATGAGTACGAACTCAAAAGAATTGAAATTAGCTCGTTTACAATTATGCCTTATGATGGCGTTTCGTAATACAATCTTTAACTTAAAATTTAAATTTACAATAGTTATGTTTTCTAAATTATTTAAAATACATGTCTACGTAATCATGTAAACTAAAATTCACATAAAACAATAAGTAAAAGTTTTTAACTTAGGATTTGCACTAAGCATGATAAATTATTTCTAAATGATTTTATAATTTTAAAGTACTAAAATGTATACTACTCAATGCTTGAAATTCAGCTTTTAAATCTTAAAACTTAATTTTTCAATTTCACTAAACATTGCGCTGTGATATCCTACTGAATCGAGTCATTGCATTTAGCGAGTCGAGTCGGATCGGAACGAACCAGAACCTGGTTTGAGCCCTAAAAATTAAATAAATCAAAGACTTGGACGTAATTGAAAGAAATATCAAGATGTAGACTCAATTGAAATAAAAGTATAAGGATTAGGACTTAATTGAAACAAAGTAAAAAGTTCAGGTATTAAATGGTAAAATATTGAAATTTTAGGTACTATTTGGTAATTTTTTAACATACTAGAAGATATATTGGGAGGTTACTCGAAAATTCCATTCACTTTACCTTCTCCATCTTCTCCTTTGTCTTCTTCCTTCACTTTACCTTCTCAATCTTCTCGTAACTCTTCCTCCATTTTCTACCTTAATATTCAACCTTTCAAGCAATCTTCTCGTAACTCTTCCTCCATTTTCTACCTTAATATTCAACCTTTCAAGTATTAAATTCAACCTATAACTCTATCCAAGTAAGTTGAATTTATTGAATTTCATAATTTAGTGAGATTTTGGAAGATTAATAAGATGGTATTATGTATAGGAGAGGTGAGCTCAAAGTGAGAAGAAAAAGAAAACTAAAAAGAAGGTTTCAAACTTTTTGGTTGAAGGTTTGATAACTCTTTTAGTTTAATAAATTTTCTTGCATGAGAATATGTCTAGTGTGATGATAGTGATAAGATATGTTGCTGAACGTTGAGTAATAGGTTTGAGAATGTTGATTAAGCATGGGATGCATTAAATAAATGAATTGGATATTGATTGCTTGTTGACATGACATAGGTTATTACATTGCGCAGCGTTAAACCATGTCAATAAAAACATACCACAATAATAGAACTTGTACTTAATTATATTTAAACATTAGATTTAACTATATACTTATAATGATATTTAATTAATCATTTAATTATAACTATATTAAGCATGATAAAATATTAACCATTTAATTAGAGAGGTAGACACGCAATTGTTTGAATGAATAAAAAGCATAAGCAGAAACTTGAAATTCTATACATGTCCAAAGCTACAATTGGTTAGTCACAACTAAATTTTTAGATTTTCCTCATATGAACATTAAGCATTCTGTTTCTATTATTTCTCCTTTTGATGGGCCAATCTCCTTTTGGTGGCACTGTCATCGGTGGTGAATAGTGATGATGACAGTAGCTACCGATGATTAATAAATATAAAAATATAAATTTATAAGATTATAATAAATTTGTCAATGTCCGAAAAATATTTATTCTCTTGAAAATAGAAAATTATTTTTCTTAAAAATGACTTAATTTTTCTATGAAATAATCATTTATAAGATTATAATGACTTAATTTATAAGATTATAATGAAATAATCATTTATAACATCATTCAAAAATAGTAAAATTTTACAATAAAATGATAAATTGTATCTCATTGAAATATGCTGAAAAGTTGTAATGCTAAGATATGCTTTCTTAATTATCATGCGAAATCTTTCATAAGATATACGATAGCAAAAGCCATATGTTGTGTAATTTATATCAAAAAATGCATACACGCATTTTTCAATAGTAACAATAATTTTGAGAGTTAACTAATTATATTGAAATAAAAAATTAAATATATTTTTTATTTTATATTTATGATTTATTATAAATAACTGTTTATTTATTTGACATATTAATGTATACTTATTTAGTGTAGTTTACTATAAGCGTATGAATATCTTACTTTTTTAAAAATTATTGTATCATGTACATTCCTCGTGTACCGTATCCTTGCGACTTAACTCTTGCTATATGAGACTACTCTATACACTAAGTTAATCAACCAAAAATTTTTTTATGACTAATAAAAAATGAAGTGTTTTTTAATTTACTTGGGAAAATTATTATTTCGTCCCTGAGGTTTTATATAATTATTTAGATAGTCCTCGACATTTATACATATATATATAACGTTCCTGAGGTTTGCCACCGTCATATTAATTGGTCCTTCCGTCAAAAAATACACTTTTTCCTATAACGTTCCTGAGGTTTGCCACCGTCATATTAATTGGTCCTTCCGTCAAAAAATACACTTTTTCCATTAATTTTGAGAATAAAAGGCGAAATTATCCTTTGGAAAAATAGTTATTTCATCCCTGAGGTTTGCCATAATTATTAAGTAGTCCACGACATTTATACAAATGTTTATAACGTTCTTGAGGTTTACTTCCGTCAAATTAATTGGTCCTTCCATAAAAAAAATACATTTTTTCAGTTAATTTTTAGCGGAAAAGACGAAATTATCCTTTATAAGTTTTCATTGACATTATTGTTAATCCCTTTCCTTTAAAATACCAGAAACTCAAATTTTCACCATCTTCCTCAACCCAACGCAGTCTTCATTGCCACCACCGTGTCTCTATCAAGTATCATCTCCATAATCAGATTACCAACAAAATTAAAAGGGAAAATAATTATTTCTAAAATATCATTAAATATGATTAATTTAAAATTTTAATTTAAAAAGCATACATAATACTTGATTAATTTAAAATTTTAATTAGGAGAGATAAGGAGAAGGAAAAAATTATTAAAGTTTTCTTAAATCTTTTACTGTTTCTTAAAGGTTTCTCCTAGTCAAGCACTGCTAGAACAATATTCATGCGCCAGTATTATTAAAAAAATAATAATTAGGACTTAATTAAATGATTAAAAGTTAACATTTTTTATTAAAATGCATGATTTGAGTGTTTATTCAAGTTTACGATTTTTGAAAGAGTTTTTGGGTTGGAAAAAAAATTATGGATCCAATATCTCAAAATTGTTTCTGACGAATGTTTAAAAATTTTGTCAAATTTTTGAATGAATATTTATTTAATAATAAAATGAATATTTATTTAATAATAAAAATTTTTCAAAAAAATTTAAAATAAAATACATGTCCAAAATGGAGGCTGTGGTGGATACAATTTTAGAAGACCGCGTTGGGTTGAGAAAGATGGTGAAAATGTGAGTTTCAGGTATTTTAGAGGAAAAGGATTGACAATAATGTCAATGAAAACTTATAAGGGATAATTTCATCTTTTCCACTCAAAATTAACGGAAAAAGTGTATTTTTTTTTATAGAAGGACCAATTAATATGACGGAAGTAAACCTTAGAGACGTTATAAATATTTGTATAAATGTAGGGGACTACTTAATAATTATGGCAAACCTCAGGGACGAAATAATTATATTTCCAAAGGACAATTTCGTCTTTTCTTCTCAAAATTAACAGAAAAAGTGTATTTTTTTTACGGAAGGATCAATTAATATGACGATGGCAAACTTCAGGGACGTTATATATATATGTATAAATGTCAAGGACTACCTAAATAATTATGTAAAACCTCAGAGATGAAATAATAATTTTTCCAATTTATTTTTGTGCATTGAAATAAGAAATCAAATTTTTTTTTAATTTTATGTTTATAATTTATTATAAATGATTGTTTATTTATTTGAAATATTAATGTATTACTTATTTAGTGTAGTGTGTCTTAAGTATATTTGAAATATTAATGTATTACTTATTTAGTGTAGTGTGTCTTAAGTATGTAAATGTTTTACCTTTTTTTAAAAATTATTGTACCCCTTGTATCTCATATCCCGTGTCCGTTCAACCAAACTCCTGATATATAAGACTACTTCATACACCAAGCTAATCAACCAAAATTTTTTCTTATTACCAACAAAAGTGAAGCATTTTTTTCTAGTTTGATTTTTTGTCATTGAAATAACAAATTTAAGTAATTTTTACGTTCATGATTTATTATAAATGATTGTTTATTTATTTGAAATATTAATGGATTACTTATTTAGTATAGTGTATCATAAGCGCGTGAATGTCCTACTTTTATTAATTGTCGTAACCGTATATTCCCATATCGCGCGTTCTATATTCGTGCAATCTAATTCCTAGTATAAAAAGCTACTTCATACACCAAGCTAATCAACCAAAATTTTTTTTTTTTAATTACTGCTATCAGATCTTTTGTTTACTTTATTTTTAAAGCCTCCCTGCATTTCCCACTTAATTTTATCAGACAGAAAGCAAGTTTGCTTCCCACTTGCAATACCCACATGGCATAGGTTGTACGAGTGGATTTATAGCTACTAATGGTGTGTTCTGTCAGTGAAAGTAATAATATGAAATTGCAGGAAGGAGATTCAGAGCGGGAACAATCTGCCCAAAGAAAATTATGTGTAAAAGAGGATTGAAATGGTAAATCTTTTGCTTTTCTCATTTGTTCTCTTTCTTCTCCTTTTCTTTTATTCTTTTTGTTAATTGGGCTCTGATTTAGTTCCAGATGCTTCGCTCCGAGTTGGGAATAGGATGCAATTTTTGGAATGAACTTTTTTTTTTTTTTTTTTTTGGTTTTCCTTTGGGTTCATGTAGGCTAAGCCTGTGATTAAAAGTTACTATATTTCCTTTGGGTTCATGTAGGCTAAGCCTGTGATTAAAAGTTACTATAATTTTCTTGAAATCACAAGAATGTATCTTTACATGTTGAGAATTTCTTGACAGAACCCAAATGGAACTGTAAGCTCAAGTGACGTTGCTGAGTTAAAAGATTGGAAGCTGCAATTTTCGAGGGGAACGTATCTCAAGTTGTCTGCCTCATGCAGATTTTTAGCAGATGTAAGGAGGAGGAGAAAGAGAAGCTTATGAAGATAAATATGATCAAAATTTGTTTGCCTAGTTGTATAATTAGTTAAAATTTAGTATGATATAAATACGAAAATGCTTTGTAAAATATCACAAGCTTAATGTAAATACATATTATATAAATTATTCTAAATTTAAGGTGAATTTAAAAAATTATTTATGATATAAATCAACTTGCTGAAAAAAAGTGTCGCAGCATCACGGGAGCCTATAAAACTAGTTAAGTTACTGAATTGTATTTATTTTCTAAAAAACATAAAATGAAATTTTGATTTCATATTTCTATTGAAACAATAGACTGAATCCACTTGCAAGTAGAAACCGATTCTGTTGTAATGTTTAATATTATTTTTATATACATCGATTCTGTTTTTAGAATTTTCTCCAGACTAGATGTTACATTATTCTGATACGTTACTTCAAAATTACATTATTTTTTTATCAGCAAAAAGAATTAATGTTGTTCATGGTGAATAAAAAAAAATAAAAAATATTAAATAATTTCTCAATCTATATTATTTTAGTCATTAGCCAAAAAAATTATTCATTTCTATACGGTTCAAATTTAAAATCAAAAGCTTGTTTTCATTTAATTTAGTATACAAATGAGTCGATACATCTGGGGGTATATAAATCCATTCCCGGTATTTGCACGCATTCATCGTCCTTTTCAGTATAAAGAAAAAGTTGATCAAAGCTATCCCACATTAAAGTAGAAAGAAGCTTCTTGTGCTACCGAAGTATATACGGCCTCCCAATCTTCTTCTCCACAAAGTTATTTTCTATATTCAGAGAAAATTTTAAGATAAATTTTAAGAAAATTTTTGTTAAATCTTTTTGCTAAACCAAAGTAAACTCGAGTCACCCTTGATTTAAGCATATAAGAGGAGGCTCCGTGCCTTTTTCAAGCAGAAGATTGAACATCACAAAAGAGCTAAAAATCAGAAGCTCATGAGTATCAGAAGCTCATGAGTCACCCACCCAAAGTTCGCCAAACAGCCACTCACAACCACAAGAAAGAAAGCAAATATATTGGTATAAGGGCTGTTGCCAACATGAGAAACAAGGATCCATATTATACCAAACTTTGTTCACAATATTCGCTGAATGTAAAACTAAAGCCGACATTGATTTAAGCATACAAAAGGAGGCTGAAATTCGCATTTTCAAGCAGAAGAATAGACATCACAAAAGAGCTCAAATCAGAAGCTCACGAGTCACACAGCCAAAGTTTGCCAAACAGCCACTCACACACACAAGAAAGAAAGCAGATATATTGGTGCAAGGGCTGTTGCCAACATGAGAAACAAAAATCAAAATTATGCCAAACTTTGTTCACATAAATTATGCCAAACTTTGTTCACATACCAACAACATTCATCCAATGTAAAATTAAAACCGACCTTGATTTAAGTATATAAAAGGAGACTCAGATTCACATTTTCAAGCAGAAGATTGAACATCATGAAAAGACTCAAAATCAGAAGCTCACGAGTAACCCAACAGAAGAAAACTAAAGCCCACCTTGATTTAAGCATAGAAAAGGAGGCACAAAGCTTATAAAATTGAACATCACAAAAGAACTCAAAATCAAAAGGTCAAGAGTCACCCACCCAAAGTTCGCCAGACAGCCACACACACACAGAAGAAACAAAGCAGATATATTGGTATAAGCGCTGTTGCCAACATAAAAAACAAGGATCAAAATTATGCAAACATTGTTCTCATACTAACAACAACAAGGATCAAAATTACGCAAAACTTTATTCACAAACCAACAACATTCGATGAATGTAAAACTAAATCCGACCTTGATTTAATATAAAAGGAGGCTCAAATTCACCTCACGCAGAAGATGCAAGTCACCCAACCAAAGTAAACTCAAGCCACCCTTGATTTAAGCATATAAAAGGAGGCTCAGATTCGCCTTTTTTAAGCAGAAGATTGAACATCACAAAAGAGCTGCTAAAAAATCAGAAGCTCACGAGTCACCCACCAAAGTTCGGCCAGACAACCAACTTCATACCCACAAGAAAGAAAAGGCAAATATATTGGTTAAGGGCTGTTTGCCAACATGAAGAAACAAGGATCCATATTATGACCAAACTTTGTTCACATACCAACAAACATTCATCGACGTAAAAACTAAAAGTCGACAATTGGATTAAGCACACAAAAAGGAGGCTGAAATTCGCAATTTTCAGCATGAAGAATAAACATCACAGAGCTCAAATCACAGCTCATCGAGTCACCAGGCCAAAGTTTGCCCAGACAGCCACTCACGACACACAGAAACAAAGCAGATATATTGGTGGTATAAGGGCTGTTGCCAATATGAGAAACAAGGATCAAAATTATGCTAAACTCTGTTCACATACCAACAACATTCACCGAATGTAAAACTAAAACCGACCTTGATTTAAGCATATAAAAGGAGACTCAGACTCGTATTTTTCAAGCAGAAGATTGAACATCACAAAAAAATTCAAAATCAGAAGGTCATGAGTAACCCAACAAAAGTAAACTAAGGCCTACCTTGATTTAATCATAGAAAAGGAGGCTCAGATTCGACTTTTTCGATCTGAAGATTGAACATCACAAAAGAGATCAAAATCAGAGAAGATTGAACATCACAAAAGAGATCAAAATCAGAAGCTCACGAGTCACTCACCCAAGGCAATCTAGAGCCGACCGTGATTTAAGCGTATAAAAGAGGCTCAGATTCGCCTTTTTCAAGCAGAAGATTATCACAAAAGAGCTCAAAATCAGAAACTCACGAGTAACCCAACCAAAGTAAACTAAAGACGACCTTGATTTAAAAGCATATAAAAGGTGATTCAGATTCGCCTTTTTCAAGCATAAAATTGAACATCACAAAAGTGCTCAAAATCAAAAGCTCACGAGTCACCGAGCCAAAGTTCGCCAGACAGCCACACACACACCACACACAACAGAAGAAAGAAGAGATTTGGTACAAAGGGCTGCTGCCAGACAGAAGAACCCAAAATCAAATTATCCAAACTTTGTCCACACTTTGTCCACATACCAACAACATTCACCGAATGTAAAACTAAAGTCTAACCTTTATTTAAGAATATAAAAGGAGGCTCAGATTCGCCTTTTTCAAGCAGAAGACTAAACATAAAAAAAGAGCTCAAAAATTAGAAGCTCACGAATCACCCAGCCAAAGCAAACTGAAGCCAACCTTGATTTAAACATATAAAAGGAGGCTCAAATTCGCCTTTTGAAAGCAGAAGATTGAATATGACAAAAGAGCTCAAAATCAAAAGCTCACAAGTCACCCAACGAAAGTAAACTCAAGCAGGCTTTTATTTAAGCATATAAAAGGAGGCTCAGATTTGCCTTTTTCAAGCAGAAGATTGAACATCACAAAACAGTTAAATTAGAAGCTCACGAGTCACCCACCCAAAGTTCACAAGAAAAAAAGCAGATGTATTCGTGTAAGGGCTGTTGGCAACATGAAAAACAAGGACCAAGATTATGCCAAACTTTGTTTAGATACGAACAACATTCACCGAATGTAAAACTAAACCCGATCTTTATTTAAGCATATAAAAGGATGCTCAGATTCACCTTTTTCAAGCATAAGATTGAACATAAAAAAGAGCTCAAAATAAGAAGCTCACGAGTCACCCAACCTGTGACATCCTACTGAATCGAGTCATTGCATAGAGTCGACTCTAGTAGGGCCGAACCAGAACTCGGTTCGAGCCATTAGAGCCCAGAGTGGGGTAGAATGGAATGTACAATAACTAAGGAAACAAATTGGGTTTAATTGAATGAAACACAAAGATAAAAGTATATGGATTTGGACCTCCTTGACATAAAGTATAAAGTTTAGGTATTAAATTGTAAATTTTTGAACGGGTGGACCGGGAAGGGATGTTACACAACCAAAGCTCACCAATGCCAACCTTGATTTAAGCATATTGAAAGATTCATAGATTCACATTTTTCAAGCAGAAGATTGAACATCACAAAAGAGCTCAACATCAGAAGCTCACGGGTCACCCACCCAAGGCAATCTAAAGCCCACTTGATTTAAGCGTATAAAGGAGGCTCAGATTCGACTTTTTCAAGCAGAAGATTGAATATCACAAAAGAGCTCAAAATCAGAATCTCAAAAGCCACCTAACCAAAGTAAACTCAAGCATGCCTGGATTTAAGCATATTAAACGAGGCTCAGATTCGCCTTTTTCAAGAAGAAGATTGGACATCACAAAAGAGCTCACAATCAGAAGCTCACGAGTCAGAAGCTCAACGAGTCACCCACCCAAAGTTCGCCAGACAGCCACTCCACACAAAGAAAGAAAGCATATATATTGGTATAAGGGCTGTTGCCAACCAATGAGAAACAAGGGATCAAAAATTAAATGCCAAAATACTTTGATTCGCAAAGGATCAAAATTATGCAAAACTTTATTCGCATACCGACAACGTTTACCGAATGTAAAACTAACCGACCTTGATTTAAGCATATAAAATGACGCTCAGATTCGCCTTTTTCAAGCAGAAGATTGAACATCGGAAAAGAGCTTAAAATCAGAAGCTCACGAGTCACCAACCAAAGTTCGCTAGACAGCCACTCAAACGCACAAGAAAAAAAGCAGATGTATTGGTATACGAGCTGTTGCCAACATGAGAAACAAAGATCAAAATTATGCCCATGTTTTTTATTCTTTCCAACAACATTCCACGAATGTAAAAATAAAGCCGACCATGATTTAAGCATATAAAAGAAGGCTCAAATTCGCCTTTATCAACCAGAAGATTGAACATCACAAAAGAGCTCAAAATCAGAAGCTCACAAGTCACCCAACAAAAGTTCACCAGAGCTCACCTTGATTTCAACATATTGAAAGAGTCATAGATTCACATTTTTCAAGCAGAAGATTGAACATCACAAAAGAACTCCACATCAGAAGCTCACGGGTCACAAAACTATGCCCATGTTTATTCTTTCCAACAACATTCAACGAATGTAAAACTAAAGCCGACCATAATTTAAGCATATAAAAATAAGCTCATATTCGCCTTTATCAACCAGAAGATTGAACATCACAAAAGAGCTCAAAATCAGAAGCTCACAAGTCACCCAACAAAAGTTCACCAGAGCTCATCTTGATTTCAAGATATTGAAAGAGTCATAGATTCACATTTTTCAAGCAGAAGATTAAACATCACAAAAGAGCTCCACATCAGAGGCTCACGGGTCACCCGCCCACAGTTCGCCAGACAGCCACTCATAGACACTAAAAAGAAAGCAGATATATTGGTGTTCGGGCTGTTGCAACATGAGAAAACAAGGATCAAAATTATGCCCAACTTTGTTCTCATACGGACAACATTCAACGAATGTAAAACCAAAGCCGACCATGATTTAAGCATATAAAAGGAGGCTCACATTCGACTTTATAAAGCAGAACATTGAACATCACAAAAGAGCTCAAAATCAGAAGCTCACCAGTTGCCCAACCAAAGTTCATCAAAGCCGACCTTGATTTAAGAACATTGAAAGAGTCACAGATTCACATTTTTCAAGCAGAAGATTGAACCTCACAAAAGAGCTCAACATCAGAAGCTCACAGGTCACTCGCCCAAAGTTCGCCAGACAGACACACACACACACACACACACACACACAAGAAAGAAAGCAAATATATTGGTACAAGGGCTGTTGCCAACATGAGAACAAGGATCAAAATTATGTATAACTTTATTCACATACCAACAACGTTCACCGAATGTAAAACTAACGCCGACCTTGATTCATGCATATAAAATGAGGCTCAGATTCGCCTTTTTCAACCAGAAGATTGAACAATGAAAAAGAGCTCAAAATCAGAAGCTCACGAGTCACCAACCAAAAGTATGCCAGACAGACACTCACACGCACAAGAAAGAACGCAGATGCATTGGTATTTGGGCTATTGCCAATATGAGAAATAAGGATAAAAAATATGCCAAACTTTGTTCTCATTCCAACAACATTCAACGAATGTAAAACTAAAGCCGACCATGATTTAAGCATATAAGAGGAGGCTCAGATTCGCCTTCATCAAGCAGAAGATTCATATTTTTCAAGCAGAAGATTGAATATCACAAAAGAGCTCAACATCAGAAGCTCACGGGTCACCCACCAAAACCTCGCCTCACAGCCACTCACACACACAAGAAAGAGAGCAGATAAATTGGTATAAAGGCTGTTGCCAACATGAGAAACAAGGATCAAAATTATGCATAACTTGATTCAAATACCAAGAACATTCACCGAATATAAAACTAAAGCCAACCCTGATTTAAGCAGCATATAAAATGAGGCTCAGATTCACCTTTTCCAAGCAGAAGATTGAACTTCACAAAAAAGCTCAAAATCAGGAGCTCATGAGTCACCCACCCAAGGCAATCTAAAGCCGACCTTGATTTATACGTATAAAAGGAGGCTAAGATTCGCCTTTTTCTCAAGCAGAAGATTGAATGTCACAAAAGAGCTCAAAAATAAAAAGCTCACGAGTCACCCAACCAAAATTTGCCAGACAGCAACTCACACACTAGAAAGAAAGCAGATATATTGGTATATGGGCTGTTGCAACATGAGAAACAAGGATCACAATTATGCCCAACTTTGTTCACATAATAACAACATGTAACGAATGTAAAACTAAAGCCAACCATGAATTAAGCATATAAAAGGAGGCTCAGATTTGCATTTATCAAGCAGAAGATTGAACATCACAAAAGAGCTCAAAATCAGAAGCTCAGCGGTCACCCAAACAAAGTTCAATAAAGCCGACCTTGATTTAAGCATATTGAACTCAAAAATCAAAGGCTCAGCGGTCACCCAGAACAAAGTTCCAATAAAGCCGACCTTGATTTAAGCATATTGAAAGGGTCAACAGATTCCATATTTTTCAAAGCAGAAGATTGAACGATCAACAAAAAAGAGCTCAACATCAGAAGCTCACGGGTCACCCACCCAAAGTGCGCCAAACAGCCACTCACACACACAAGAAAGAAAGCAAATATATTGGTATAAGTGCTGTTGCCAACATGAGAAACAAGTATTAAAATTATGCAACACTTTATTCACATGCCAACAACATTCACCGAATGTAAAACTAAAGCCGACCTTTATTTAAGCATATGAAAGGAGGCTAAGATTCGCCTTTTTCAAGCAGAAGATTGAACGTCACAAAAGAGCTCAAAAATCAAAAGCTCACGAATCACACTACCAAAATTCGCCAGACAGCAACTCACACACTAGAAAGAAAGCAGATATATTGGTATACGGGCTGTTGCAACATGAGAAACAAGGATCACAATTATGCCCAACTTTATTCACATACCAACAACATTCAACGAATGTAAAACTAAAGCCAACCATGAATTAAGCATATAAAAGGAGGCTCAGATTCGCCTTTATCAAGCAGAAGGAATCATTCAACGAATGTAGAAAACTAAGAAGCAACCATAAGAATAAAGCATATAAAAGCGAGCTGCAGGATTCGCACTTATCAAGCAGAAGATGAACGATCCAAAAAGCTACAAATCAGCAGAAGCCAGCGGTCACCCAACCAAAGCTTTCAGCTAAAGCCTGACCTTACCGATTTAATACATAGTGGAAAGGGCCACAGATTCATGTTATTTTTCAAGGCACAGATTGATAACACTACACACAAAGAGCTCAACATCAGAGAGCCACCGGGGTCACCCCCTCCATCAGAAGCTCACGGGTCACCCACCCAAAGTGCGCCAAACAGCCACTCACACACACAAGAAAGAAAGCAGATATATTGGTATAAGGGCTGTTGCCAACATGAGAAACAAATATTAAAATTATGCAAAACTTCATTCACGTGCCAACAACATTCACCGAATGTAAAACTAAAGCCGACCTTTATTTTAAGCATATAAAAGGAGGCTAAGATTCGCCTTTTTCAAGCAGAAGATTGAATGTCACAAAAGAGCTCAAAATCAGAAGCTCACAGAGTCACCCACCCAAAGCAAACTAAAGCCAACCTTGATTTAATCATATAAAAGGAGGCTCAAATTCACCTTTTTCATGCAGAATATTGAATATCTCAAAATAGCTCAAAATCAGAAGCTCGCGAGTCACCCCCCAAAGCAATCTAAAGCCGACCTTGATTTAAGCATATAAAAGGAGGCTCAGATTTGCCTTTTTTAAAGCAGAAGATTGAACATCATAAAAGAGCTCAAAATCAAAAGCTCACGAGTCACCCACCCAAGGCAATCTAAAGCCGACCTTGATTTTAGCGAGGCTCAGATTTGCCTTTTTCAAGCAGGAGATTGAAGATCACAAAAAAGCTCAAAATCAGAAGCTCACGAGTCACCCAACCAAAGTAAACTCAAGCCAACTTTGGTTTAAGCATATAAAAGGAGGCTCCGATTCGCCTTTTTCAAGCAGAAGATTGAACATCACAAAAGAGCTCACAATCAAAAGCTCATGAGTCACCCACCCAAAGCTCACCAGACAGCCACTCACACACACAAGAAAGATTGAACATCAAAAAAGCTTCACATCAAAAAAGCTCATAGAGTCACACGCCACTCGGCCTAAGCTCACCAGACAGCCACCCACTGTGCACACAAGAAAGAAAGCAGAATATAATTGGTGATGAAGGGCTGTTAGCCCGAAGCAATGGAAAACGAAAGGATCAAAAAGTATGCAAACACTTTGATTCACAACCACGGACCAGTTCATAGCAATATAGTGGGTAGACAAAAGCCAACCATTGAATTTAAGCATATAAGATGAGACTCATGATTTGCCCTATTTATGCAAGCCAGAAGATTGAACATGGAAAGAAGAAGCTCAATTAGAAGCTACAAGTGAAGCCTTTCACCCAAAGTTCACCAAAGCCGACCTTATACACAATACGAAACAACAATTGCACTAGAATGTAAAAATTAAACCCAACTTTAATTTATGTAATAAAAGAGAACAATAGCCCCCTTATATTTCCAAGCAGAAGATCTGGAACATGAAAAGGAGCTCAAAAAATCAGCTAGCTCACTGAGTCAACCAAACAGCAAAATAAGCCAGACCTGAATTTTAAGCCATATAAAGGGAGGCTCAAATTTAGCCTATTGTCAAGCAAAGAATTGAATAGGCACAAAATTAGGCTCAAATTCAGAAAACTCGCTCAAGCAGTGACCGCCCACAAAAAGGAATCTCTAATAGCAAGCTTCATTTAAGAGCTTATCGAGCAAGGCCTCGACTTCGCCTTTTTTCAAGCAAAAATTGCAATATCATACCAAATGAGCTCAAAATATCAAAAGCTCACGATCACCCAAGCCAAAAGCTCAACTCAAGCCAGATTGATTTAAGCCATATAAAAGGAGGGGCTCCGATTTGCTTTTTCAAGCAGAAAGATTGAACAACTACAAAAGAGCTTAAAAATCAGGAAGCTACCCGCATCACCGCCACCCATGAAGTTCGCCAAGCATAAGAACATAGTGCAGTTAGTCACCGGCTCTCGCTAGCTATCAGAGAGGCTATTGGTCAGCCACCGCTTCAAACAACCACCCTGTCGCACTGAGAGTAAGACCTTCGTAGTTAACACCCATTCCCTCGTACTTAAACCATTCACACAGAAATCTTAAGGTAAACATATTTCATGCAAAAGCAATTGCCAATTTTTCATTTTAGAAAAAAAAAATAACAGAACAAAAATCGAAGAAATTGAAGAGTCAGAGACTGTAGAGGATGGATGCCCAAGCAGAAATAGAGAAATCTGGAGAAAGAGATGGCTCAGATCAGATATGCCTTCCAATTGGACAGGACAGAAACACCACAACATCGGCGCTGCAACAACAAAAGGTTGCCTTGCCAAGAAATTGAGTATTTCACCTCGAGTCCAACTTTTCAAGCTCAAAGAATATATCATCATAGCCTCGCCTTATATCAAGCTCAAAAGATAGATAATCATCGATAAGCCTCTGTAGCCATCGGCAGACAGCCACTCAAACCTCAAGAAACGAAAGCAGATATATTGGATATAAAAGAAGGGTTGTACAACAAGACGTTAATTAGTAATCACTCAGGACTCCGCTAGCTATCAGAGAGCACTGGGTCAACGCACCCTTCAACGAACCGGCCTCCTCACTGAGAGCAAAGCCCTCATACTTTTGAACCATTACTTAAACCATTCACACAGAAATATTAAGGTAAACATATTTCATGCAAAAGCAATTGCCAATTTTTCATTTTAGAAAAAAAATAACAGAACAAAAATCGAAGAAAATGAAGACTGAGAGATTGCAGAGGATGGACGCCCAAACAGAAATAGAGAAACCTGGAGAAAGACAAGGCTCAGATCAGATATGCCTTCAAATTGGACAGGACAGAAACACCACAACATCTGCGCTACAACAAAAAAAGGTTGCCTTGCCAAGAAATTGAGTATTTCACCTCGAGTCCAACTTTTCAGGCTCAAAGAATATATCATCATAGCCTCACCAGTCGCCAGACAGCCACTCACACACACAAGAAAGAAAGCAGATATATTGGTATAAGGGTTGTTGCCAACATAAAAGTAGTCACCGGCTCCGCTAGCTAACAAATTGGTATAAGGGTTGTTGCCAACATAAAAGTAGTCACCGGCTCCGCTAGCTATCAGAGAGCACTGGGTCAACCACCCTCAAACAACCGCCTCTCACTGAAAGCAAAGCCTCGTACTTAAACCATTCACACAGTAAACATATTTCATGCAAAAGCAATTGCCAATTTTTCATTTTAGAAAAAAAATAACAAAACAAAAATCGAAGAAAATGAAGAGTGAGAGAGTGTAGAGGATGGACGCCCAAACAGAAATATAGAAATCTGGAGAAAGAGAAGGCTTAGATCAGATATGCCTTCAAATTGGACAGGACAGAAACACCACAACATCTGCGCTGCAACAACAAAAGGTTGCCTTGCCAAGAAATTGAGTATTTCACAGTATTACACCCCTTGAGTCCAACTATTTTTGTCAGGCCTCAACAGAAATATATCATTAATATGCCTCGCCAGTCGCCAGAGCAGGGTAGCGCACTCACACAATTGCGCCACAAAAGGAAAAGAAAAGGCAAAGATATATTGGTATAGAAGTATGTTGCCACCATACAAAAAACTAATTAGTAGTACACCGGACCTCCGGCTAGTGACGTTATCAAGAGAGCAACTGGGTCGCAACCCACCCTTAAACCAACTCGCACTCGTCACTGCAGAGCAAATCCTCGTAACATTTAACCGAGTAAACTACAGAAATCTTTGAAGGTAAAGCATATTTCAAAATGCAAAAGCAATTGCCAATTTTTCATTTTAGAAAAAAAAATTAAAACTAGAACAAAAATCGAAGAAATAAGCATTTGAGAGAGTGCCAAGGAGGATTGGACGCCGAACAGAAATAATAGAATCTGGAAGAAAGACAAAGGCTCATATGATCAGATATCCTCAAATTGGAATCAGGGACAGAACCCACAAACATTCTAGGCCGCTGCACACAACCAAAAAGGTTGCCGGTTGCCAAGAAATTGACGTATTTTCACCTCGATGTCCCAACTTAGTTCAGGCTCACGAGAATAATCATCATAGGCCACTCGCCAGTCGCCAAACAGCCACTTCACACATCACAAGAAGAAAGCAGATATACTTGGTATAAAAGGTTGTATACAACATAAAAAACGTATTAGTAGTACCGGCCCGCGCTTAGCTATCAGAGAGACACTGGGTCAACCAAACCCCTTGAACAACCGCGCTCTCACATGAAGAGAAAGCTTGTGACTTAAACAAATTCACCACAGAAAGATTTTAATGGAGTAGCAACCATATTTCATGCAAAAGCGAATTGCCAAAATTTTTCCATATTTTAAGGAACAAACAAAGTAACAAACCAAAAGTCGGGAAGAAAATGAAGAGTGAGAGAGTGTAGAAGGACGGACCTGCCATCACAAAATATAGAAATCTGGGAGAAAGACAAGGCTCAGATCAGAATGCCTTCAAAGTTGGACAGACAGAAACAACCACACAACAATCTACGCTTGCAACCAAAACAAAGAGGTTGCCTTTGCCAAAGAAATTGAGTATTCTTTCCACTCGAGTCACAACTTTTCAGGCTCAAAAGATATCATCATGACAATAGCCTCGCAGTGCGCCCAGACACAGGCCACTCCTCAGCACACACACAAGAAAGAAAGCAGAAAATATTTGGTATATAGTTGTTGCCAAGCACTAAAAGTAGTCACGAGAGGCCTCCGCATAGCTATCAAGGAGCACTGGGTCAACCACCCCTCAAACAACCGGCCTTCACTGAAGAGAGAGCAAGGCCTCGTACTTTAAACCATTCAACACAATAAACATATTCATGCAAAAGAACATGCCAATTTTTTACATTTTTAGAGAAAAAAATAACAGAACAAAAAGTCGAAGACAAAAGAAAAGAAAGTGACGGAGATTGGTAGAAGATAGACGCCCAAAACAGAAATAGAGAAATTGCCTGAGAAAGAGAAGGGCACTCTGATCAAAATATGCTCTTCATAATCTGTGAGCAGACAGAAACCGACACCATCACATCCTGCGCTGCGAAACAACAAAACGGTTGCCGTTGAGACCAAGAAATCTTCGAAGTATTTCACTCCGAGATCCGCAGCTTCTCCAGGCATCAAAGAAATATATTATCTATACATAGCGATCGTCCCAGAGTTCGCGCAGAAGCAAGCCGACTCACCACAGGCGACAAGAAAGAAGAGAGGCAGATATATTGTATAAGGATTGCTTTGCCAACATAAGAACTGTAAATTAGTAAGTTCACCACGCCCAGCTAGCTAGTCAGAGAACACTGAGGGTTACCACCCTTAAAACAACAACCGACCTCTCACTGGAAGAGCCAAAGCTCGTAACTTAAACCATCTCCACTGACAGAAATCTGAAGGTTACTATTTAATGCACAAGCAATTGCCCAATTTTTCATTTATAGAGAAAAAATAAAAGAACACAAAAATTCCGGGAAGAAAATGAAAGTGTGAAAGGCAGATTGTAGAAGGATGGACCGACGCCATAACAGTAAGTAGAGAAATCTGAGAGAAGGAGCAAGGCTCAGATGAGAATATCGTGCAATTGGAAAGCGTACAGACAACACCGAACAACCATCCGGCGCTGCAGACACAAGAAGGTTGGTACTTGCCAAAGCATATAATGCGAGTAAGTGAGTCTCTCCATGCGAGTCCAGACGTTTTTCAGGCTCAAAAGAATATATCATCACGATGAGCCTACGAACAGTTCGCCAGAACAGTCCAAACACCACAACGAGACAAGAAAGGAAAAGCAGATATATTGGTATAACAGGTTTTGCACATAAGAAAAACGTAAAATCTGAGTTCAGTTACACCATGGCTTCGCTAGCTAAATCAGAGAGCCACTGGGTTAGGCTATCAGAGAGCACTGGGTCAACCACCCTTAAACAACCGCCTCTCACTGAGAGCAAAGCCTCGTACTTAACCATTCACACAGCATATTTCATGCAGAAGCAATTGCAAATTTTTTGTCCAAGAAAAAAAAAACAGAACAAAAATCGTCACAGCCTCTTTGTAACAAGGAAAGAAAGCCCGAAAAAGAAGAGAATGATGATGATCATGCACATAGACAAATGACGGAGAAATCATCGGCTCCGCAGTCGTTCAGAGAGGCAGAGTAACCGCCTTCTTTGCCGCCTCTTTGAGAGCAAAGCCTCATTCTCAAGAGTGCTTGATTCGTACGCATCTTGCATTTTATAGCAACTTCCTATTTTTATTTTATTCTGCGATTACTCTCGTTTGGCGGTGGAGCATAACGGTAACTTGGGGAGAGCAATAAATTAAAGGTAATTTGGTAAATAAAATCATACGCGTAAAATTCACTTCTCCTACTATCACTCACATTATAAGCATAGGACAAAAAAAAAAAAAACAAACTTGGGGAGAGCAAGTTAATTAGCCTAACCTGCAGTGATGGAATTTTATGAGATCTCGGCTCGATCAAGCATATCTTCTAAAGTCATCTTTCTAGGGAACCTCAGAGGCAGTCTCAATTGGCAATTGCGTTGCAACAAACACAATCCCCCCCTTCTTTCTATGCTCTGGGATAATGTTTCGAGCAATTTTACCCCTTCATCATCTAATGCAACAGAAGGCTCATCCAGAAACCAAATTGGTCGGTCGAATGGCCAGTAGTCTTGCAAAATGCAGCCTCTTCAATTGGCTCATTGACAGCATTCTTGCGTCTCTCTTGCCAATCTTCTGAGGCCCATCAACTCAATAGCAGGCATAGAATTCCCTTGCTTGCCCTGAAGAATCTCAAACCATGGAACATTGTAAGGACAGTAAACTTTTCTTTAATGGCATCTTTCAAGGAGAGCCAATTAAGTTGAAGCTTATATTGGTGGAAAACTCCAGATTCTGTCACATCATCTTGTTTCTTTTAATGGCATCATTCAACGCGAGACGCGCAATTTAAGTTTCGATAGCGCTTAATTAGGGTGGAGAAACTCGAGATTACTGTCGCACAAATTTCACTGGATGTTCCAGAAGATTTCTGACTGTCAGAGATGGCTTTAGAAGCAAGTCCAGCCAGCATACGAAGAGAGAGGTGGTCTTAGCCTGAGCCATTGCTCCCGTACAGAAAGCAAGTGCCCCTCCAAATCGTGGAACAGAGACGTTTTCCATGTGCAAGAGATTGTTTGGGCATTATTCCTCATGCAAGGAGACAGTTGTCCGAAGGATTCCGAAGGAGGTGTGGCTTTCGCGAATCAGACAATCAAGCTTTCCTTCTAGTTAGAGATGCCAGAGTTCCAAATATCTTGTTGCGGATCAAGAAGGAGGGAGTATTGCTGGGAAATGGTTGAAACCAGATATTCAATGAGTGCGGAGCCTCAAAGGTTTACTAAGAAAAAGGAGAGAACAGAAAGATGGAGTTAGGGTTCCTAATGGTTATGTGTATAGCGTGGCACTAAAGTAAAATGGACGTCAAACCCGGCAGACTGGTGCCGGAATAGATAGTAAAGTCCACTTCTCCATTGGACTAAATTAAACAAAGGCCCAATCACTTTATTTGGTTCAGCTGCTGTAATACTTATAGTTAGCTTAAATAGCATACATTCTGTGCACACAGTAACGAAAAATCTATAGTATAACTGAGCATTCAGGTTATTAATGATTAATTGTTCCATGTTTCTTTCTGTCGCGAATTTGTGGAAAAATTGTAATGCATGAAAAAATGGAAAGATTATTTAAATATCACGAAATAGTAATGAAATATTACATGATTAATACATAAGATAAATATTTTAAAAGTGATATTAAAAAGTATAGCGATTAAAATGAATTATTTTCCAAACAAATAAAATTGAAGAATATTTATATCATTAAATCTACTTGTGAAACATTTACATTACTTAATTATTTTCCAACAAATAAAAATGAAAATTTTATATCATAAATCTATGTGAAACATTTACATTATTATACATAAAAATACATTATAAAAAATGATCTTAGCACATTCTTTTTATTTGCAATTCCTTTCTTAATTATAATTGAGGGTGTTATTGATGCAAAATGACAAAATTAGGATAAAATTGACAAAATGGATCAATATAAGATGAAATTGTAAAGACTTATAAAGTTGAAGATATTTTGATATATTATTTAGTAAGAATTTTAATTAGCACTGACAACTCATATAAATTATATTCAACTACTGCTTACATAAGCTCTATTTCCATTTTTTTTTTCAATATAAATAATTTGTTTTCATTAAATTATAAAAATAATTCATAATCACATATCAAAAATTAAATTTGAGAATTTATATGCATATAAGTTCTATATATTTTTATGTTTAATCAATATAGAATTTTTATATTCACATCGTATGTCTAACACAATAATACACGCTCGCTTTCTCTGCAGTGTGTGAGCGAAATCCCCAATAATTTAACAAATGGAAAACACAGTACCAGCTGCACCGAGCTTTTCTGCAAGCTTCTCAATCATTTGGAAGTTCTCTGCACTTTTCAACGCCCGGCCCCCTGTCACCACAATTCTTGCACTTCCCAGGTCAGGGCGCTCTGTATCCTGAGAGGTATGCTGCAGATACCTAGGCTTACCAATAGAATCTACAACAGAATTGTGAAAAACCATAAGACAAATCCTTTCTCTTCCATATAAAACAAATATGTAATTTTACCCACAACAATAGAATCTACAACAGAATTGTGAAAAACCATAAGACAAATCCTTTCTCTTCCATATAAAACAAATATGTAATTTTACCCACAAAAATAATCAATTAGCATGGAAAATATTTGCAAGAACTATGAAAAGGGTCATGAGCCTTATCACGAAGCAGATGCTAGCCAAAAAAATTATTAGATAAAGGTAAACAGACCTTCACCAAAGGTTGAGAGATTAGCCTGGGAAATTGGGGCTTCATTCTTTAACTTAAAATTTAAATTTACAATAATTATGTTTTCTAAATTATTTAAAATGCATGTCTAGGTAATCATGTAAACTAAAATTCACATAAAACAATAAGTTAAAGTTTTTAACTTAAGATTTGCACTAAGCATGATAAATTATTTCTAAATAATTTTATAATTTTAAAGTACTAAAACGTATACTATTCAATGCTTGAAATTCAGCTTTTAAATCTTAAAACTTAATTTTTCAATTTCACTAAACATTGCGCAGCGTTAAACCATGTCAATAAAAACATACCACAATAATAGAACCTGTACTTAATTATATTTAAACATTAGATTTAACTATATACTTATAATGATATTTAATCAATTAAATTAATAATCATTTAATTATAACTATATTAAGCATGATAAAATATTAATCATTTAATTAGAGAAGTAGACACGCAATTGTTTGAATGAATAAAAAGCATAAGCAGATACTTGAAATTCTATACATGTCCAAAGCTACAATTGGTTAGTCACAACTAAATTTGTAGATTTTCCTCGTATGAACATTAAGCATTCTGTTTCTATTATTTCTCCTTTTGGTGGCATCGGTGGTGAATAGTGATGGTGGCAGTGGCTACCGATAATTAATAAATCTAAAAATATAAACTTATAATATTATAAAAAATTTGTCAATGTCCGAAAAATATTTGCTCTCTTGAAAATAGAAAATCATTTTTCTTAAAAATAACTTAATTTTCCTTTTACCAAGAAAATATTTTCTGTTGATTTATTTTCTTGAATGCGCCAAGTAATAAAAAATTATGGAAAATATTTTTTATCTAGTGTTAGAACTAGTTTGGCACTAAATTGCTTGGTTTAAAAGAAAAATTAGTGTTAGAACTCGCGCGATGCGCAAAGAAATAATGAAATAATCTTTTATAACATCATTCAAAAATAGTAAAATTTTACAATAAAATAATAAATTGTATTTCATTGAGATATGCTGAAAAGTTGTAATGCTAAGATATGCTTTCTTAATTATCATGTGAAGTCTTTCATAAGATATACGATAGCAAAAATCATACACCGGATAACTTATATCAAAAAATGCATACACATCGGTAGCGTATTTTTTAATAGTGATAATAATTTTGGGAGTTAACTAATTATATTGAAATAAGAAATTAAATATATTTTTTATTTTATGTTTATGATTTATTATAAATAACTGTTTATTTATTTGACATATTAATGTATTATTTATTTAGTGTAGTTTGTCATAAGCGTATGAATATCTTACTTTTTTTAAAATTATTGTATCATATATGTTCCTCGTGTACCGTATCTGTGCAATTTGACTCTTGTTATATGAGACTACTCCATACACTAAGTTAATCAACCAAGATTTTTTTTAATTACTAATAAAAAATGAAGTGTTTTTTAATTTATTTTTGTGCCATTAAAATAAGAAATTAATTTTTTTTAATTTTATGTTTATAATTTATTCTAAGTATTTAATCTAATTAAATACCAAAGATTTTTTTTAATTACTAATAAAAATAATCGATGACAGAGTGATTTCTTAAATTTTATATTGTGCATTAAAATACGACAAAAGAAATAATTTTTTTTAATATTTAGGTTTATAATTTATTATAAATAATCTTAATCTTATTTATTTGAAATATTCAATGGTATGTAAATTTATTTGAAATATTAATGTATTATTTATTTAGTGCAGTGTGTCTTAAGTGTGTAAATATTTTACCTTTTTTTAAAAATTATTGTACCCTATATATTATCGTATCTCATGTCCCGTGTCCGTGCAACCTAACTCCTGAAATATAAGACTACTTCATATACCAAGCTAATCAACCAAAATTTTTTCTTATTACCAACAAAAGTGAAGCATTTTTTTTAATTTGATTTTTTGTCATTGAAAAAACAAATTAAGTAATTTTTATGTTCATGATTTATTATAAATGATTATTTATTTATTTGAAATATTAATTTATTACTTATTTAGTATAGTGTATCCTAAGAGCGTGGATGTCCTACTTTTATTAATTGTCGTAACCGTACATTCTTGTATCTCGCGTTCTATATTCGTACAACCTAATTTCTGGTATAGAAGGCTACTCCATACACCAAGCTAATCAACCAATTTTTTTTTTTTTAATTACTACTATCAGATCTTTTGTTTACTTTATTTTTAAAGCCTCCCTGCATTTCCCACTTAATGTTATCAGACAGAAAGCAAGTTTGCTTCCCACTTGCAATGCCCACATGGCATAGGTGGTTTTACGAGTGGATTTATAGCTACTAATGGTGTGTTCTGTCAGTGAAAGTAATAATATGAAATTGCAGGAAGGAGATTCAGAGTGGGAACAATCTGCCCAAAAGAAATTATGTGTAAAAAATGATTGAAATGGTAAATCTTTTGCTTATCTTAATTGTTCTCTTTCTTCTCCTTTTCTTTTATTCTTTTTGTTAATTGGGCTCTGATTTAGCTCCAGATGCTTCGCTCCGAGTTGGGAATAGGATGCAATTTTTGGAATGAATTTTTTTTTTTTTTTTTTTTTGGAATCAATTTTTTTTTTTCTTTTTTGTTGGTTTTCCTTTGCGTTCATGAAGGCTAAGCCTTGATTAAAAAGTTTACTTAAATTTTTCTTGAAGTCAAAAGAATTTTTGGAATGAATTTTTTTTTTTTTTTTTTGGTTTTCCTTTTGGTTCATGAAGGCTAAGCCTGTGATTAAAAGTTACTATAATTTTCTTGAAATCAAAAGAATGTATCTTTACATGTTGAGAATTTCTTGACAGAACCCAAATGGAACTATAAGCTCAAGTGATGTCGCTGAGTTAAAGATTGGAAACTGCAATTTTCGAGAGGGATGTATCTCAAATTGTCTGCCTCATGCGGATTTTTAGCATATGCAAAGAGGAGGAGAAAGAGAAGCTTATGAAGATAAAATTAGTTAAAATTTAGTTAAAATTTTTTATTAGTAATAAAAAAATAGTTAGAGAGGAGATTACACCTCCTGGTTATACAAAAAAAAAAGAGGACTCAAACCTATCAATAAGATATTGGTTGAGATGATAAGTTATCTCAATCATCGTAAGAATCAGAATACAAATCTGATCTCCAAAAAACATATTTACTGAGAAAACAAAAAATATTTATGCTCTATGACAATTTATGCTTTATAATCCGAATAAAATTACATCTCGTGATGGTAAAAAAAAAAAGGAAAGAAACGACTTGAATTGGAAAGAAAAACTTCAATATCTTAAAAAAGGAAAAAGAAGTGCGAAAACCGATTGTAACACATATGATTCATAGCAAGATATTGGTCGCTTTGGACAGAACCCACACAGGTCCACTCAGATTTATTTCTGGACTAAAACCAACTCATAGCCCAAAAAGGTTCTTGCTTAGCCGATGGGGGATTCGCCTAAAGTGTCACATATTTTAATAATTTTTGGTTGAAGAATATGTATTGAAGTTATCTATAAATCTCTTGAGGTATGTGGGTAATCTAATATTAATTAAATATACATTAAATAAATGACATACAATGAGGATGATAAAAAATAATCAAAATGGATTAGGCCATGTTGTGTTAAAGGTAAACCTAATTTATTATAAATCTAAATATGAAATGGATTACTAATTAAATTTGATCAATTTGTTCGGAGAGCCCAGATTCTTAATGCGAAATTGTTTAATTCAATTGTAATCATTTAAAAGCTTAAAGTCGAAATTTTATTTCACACCTCCTAATTAAGTTGAAATATATTTTTAATGACTTTAAATAGCATCAGCATCCTTGTTTTTAAAACTTGTGCAAGCTATTAATTCGACAGAAGACTAAAATAAAATTAAAAAAAAAAAAAACAATCTAATGATATAATTGGCCAATTACACTGCAAACCTCATAGATCGATAATATATGCACATAACACAGATTAAACCACACGTGATGTCTATTCATACATGAATTAATTAATCCTCAACGCATTTACTCATTCTTGGCAAGATATGAATAGCAACCACTTCCTGTCCAGACGGCGGCTCCACCACCCAAACTCTAGCAACAGGCACAGCCACCACATCAACCACCACAATCCTTTCTCCATTTCTACAAACGACACAAACTTTTCCTCTCCTTGCAACTAACTGCTCTGCCCCTTTAAGCTCTGGCGACTCAATCACCGTTTGCCAACAATCCTTTTCATCAATATACTCATTTAACGTTCCTTTCACCTCATCCACCACGTAAATCACTTGTTCATCCATTGTCGCCGCTGGACCCTTCCATCCGGCGAGCATTCCTGTTGGCATATTCTCCCATTGGTTAGCCATAACATCAAAAACCCAACCATCTTTCGGTGCATTACCTTTAACACTAACCATACAGAGCTTCCCTTTAAACCCTACTGCCTCTACTGCTTCTCTACTAAACCTACCATCTTTCAATGCCGCCATTTTTTCCCATTTCCAGTTCTCTGTTTCACCTTTCATTTCCCATTTTTCCATTGACCTTGCCACGTCACCATTATAGTGGGACCCAACACCGCTCGCCAGGTAAACGGTACTACCTACTGAGCCGGTGGCACACCAGCGGCGGGGGATGGTGAATGGTGGACCGTAAAACCAGGTTTTTGTCTCTGGGTGAAAAAGTAATGGTCTAGAAAGTGCAGGGACAAAACTGTAAGTTGTGCCTGCCATGAGAACAAGATGATCAGAGACTGTTAGGGTTTGAATTGGGAGATTTCTTGATAAAAATGAAGGATGTCGATGAAGAAGATGAAGCGGAGGGTTTTTCGGAGGATGTGGAAGTGGGTGCCATGTGGAAGATAACGGGTCTAGAGAGAAAAACTCTATAGAATTATTTGCATTCGAAGATGGTGGCGGAGAGAGGAGAACATAAAGCCAATAAAAGGGAGTCAAGAAGTGAGAGTAAAGAACTCGCCGCCATGCATGGCAGACGGAGAAAAGGAGAGTAGGAGAGACAGAGGTGAGACAGAGGTGACCAAGGTCATTGGGGAGACCTGGTAATAGGGTTTCCTTGTCAGTATCAAAGGACTCATTTTGATTATCACCACCATTACTATTTTTTCTCCCTTTGATATGTTTTGATTTGGTTTCCATAGGAGAAAGCTTAAATTTTGAGGTATATGGGAATGGAAGGAGAGGTTCGTATGAATGTATAGGCTTCTTTATATGTTCTTTCTATTGAAGAGGTTCATGCATGTTGGACCAGTTATGATATGACTAGTGTGTTTCACTTTATTTTGGCTATAAATCAGAAAATGACATATGACTATGAATTTTTGTTTTGTGTATATGTTTTCTTGGATGAGAAAATTTCTATATTTTTCATTTTCTGAGAAGGAAGAAATTAATGGTTGGGAGAGAAAAATTAGGAGCGAAGTTAAATACCCATTTAGCTTAATTTTATCTTGAACTAAAATGGTAAATTTTCCTGAAAATTTTGTTGTTTCTTTATTACAAATTTTAAATTATCTTTGATCAATATTGAATAAGCAAATTTAATTAATACACATGCACGATATATTATTATATAAAAAAATTAATTAATAGAGAATTTTTATGAAGAGATCTCTCATGTTTGAATCTTGGTTTTGAATTATGATTTGTGAAATAAAAATTGAGTCAGGCCATTGAAACCTAAAGATTCTTATTTAAAAATGATAAACTTTTCTATTGGTTGCATATATCACATGAAGACATAAGTGTTAGATAAGAAAAACAAAATAGAAAAATAAGTGAACATATGAATCCCGAGATAATGAAAACAACTTCTTTTTGTCTGCTTACAATGTCTCTAGTGTGTGTTCCTAACTTCCCTACTGGTCTATTTCTGCCTTTCATCCTTTCCCCTCTCCACAGCATAAATACAATTAAAAAGTATGAAAAAGATGCTTTAATCTCAGCCAATCACTTCAACTTGGAAGCAAGGTTCTAAATAAGTCAAGCACCTCTTGAGTGGCTTGAAATTTGTTCTAAGAAAAATTTATTTGACTTTGTATAATAAATTTATTAAATCAAGCTCGAGTTTACTCTTTGTCTTTAAACGATACTCAATAATCAATTTGATATATATATAATTTAATTCAGCAATTCAAGTTAATAATTAAAATTTTTTAATATCTACATGTTGATGGTTAATATCAAAAAATTTTAGAATTACAATATAAAAATTGAATTTTAAAAAATTTCTACATTGCATTTTGGGAAGAATTCAAATTGGAAAAATTGAGTGCTAAACTGATAATTATGTTAAATCCCTAACTGTTTCCAACTGGCTCGAATTTCTTCATTAATACTCCAAAACTTATGCATCATCATTTACTTTAATTCCTACCCACTCCACTATATATATATATATATTATAATAATTACTTAATTACCCGCTCACAGCTCAGGCAATATAAAGTTTCGATTGCTTTGACATTCAAGTTGTGAATTTAAACTGCAAACAAAAGGAAACGACAACTAAAAGTGGCTTAAAACATTCTTAATTACCCTCTAATTGAGTCTCTTGACCAATTTTAATTAATTAATCCTAACTTATTATTATAGACAAATGTCAGAATTCTTCAGAATTTAGCTTGGATTTGTGATTGGAGATTGCTGTGTGTGTGTGTGTGTGTGTGTGTATATATATTTGGAATAGAAAAAGTTAAATGATTTCAATTATGGGAGGTAGGGTATTATTTTGATAAAGCTCTATTCATACTTCGTATACATTAAATTATATTATTTATTTTTAATGTATTATGAGATATTAATTATAGCGGTGAATTTACCAACTGCAAAACAAAACAGGAAAAACGACAACTAAAGTTCTTTAAAAAACATTTCTATAATTACCCTTTCTAATTGAGGTCTCTTGACACCAATTTTAATTTAATTAATGCCTAACGCTTATTAATTATAAGGACGCAATGTTCAGATATTCTGTCAGAATTTTGCTTGGATTGTGATTGGAGATTTGCTGTGTAGTGTGTGTGTGTGTGTGTGCTGTTACTAATATTTGGAAATAAGAAAAAGTTAAATGATCCATCGTACTTTCTCTTGCCGACTGATGGCAACCGTCAATCACACCCTCAGCTTCACCACCCATCCGCCCAACACTCCCGCGCGTCGCAAAGACAACCGCCAACTCACCAGATTCTCGACCACCGTCCACCCCCTCTGACTTCTTCCTCCTGGCTCACTTATGCCCTGCACCCTTTCCTATAGTCCGTACTCGCCCCCCTCGACGACCACCAACTCATAGGGTGGACTACAACAGGTCTCAACAATGTAATGAAGCGTGGTCACGACCTGAGACAACGACTACTCCGGTCATTATGTCCCCCACCCACCCCGCGACCCTCCCCCCCCGCCCCACACCACCCGCCCCCCCCCCCCAACCACCCGGCGGCCCCTGCCACCCCCGCAACCACACCCCACACACCCCCCACGCGTTGCCGTCAGGTACCCTGGCGTTGTAGGCCAGCCCTCCACCGTGGCCCCCACACACGCCACCCATATGGCTTCCCAATCCCCCCGGCCCACCCCCACAGCCGCAGCCGTCGCGGGCCCGCCGCGTCTACCCAATGTGAAGCTGCGCGTGGCACGGCTAGTCCTCCCGCCCAGGTATCCTACCTGATTATTGATAAAGGCTCCTCTCGATACTCTCGAACTACATAAATAACCTATACTATTATTTTAATGTATTATGAGATACTTCAATATATATATACTATAGCATACCTACAACTCCCTCAAGAAACTCCCCATTCATACTATACGACATAGACCGTAAATTATATATATATAAAGAAAGTACACATATATAACAATGAGTTAAAATATATTTATTTAAAAAATAAATTATAGAAGGTCATATGAGAGAAATATATGCATGCATTTTATATGTTGTATAATATTAATATTAATATTAAATAATGAATACAAATTGTATTTGAAACATAATCGGGACCAAATTGATAAAAAAAAAATATCATAATTAGAAAACGTATCTTAATTTTCTCAAATTTTATCTTTGTTATGACTTATATGTAAATAAATGTGGTTGTACTTATTATTAGATAATATTATATTGTTTATATATTTAAAGAAATATTTATTAAGTTAATTAATAAAATTTGTAAATAATGATTCAACTATTAATCAACATTTAACTGATTTGAAATTAATTAAACTTAAGCCTCTAAATTTAACATGTGGCAGTCAAGTCAGCACATGATGCCACATCTACAGCATCATGCCAGCTGTGAGACACGTGTCAAGATTTGGCCACATCATGACGCCACCTCAGTATCTTTTTACCTCGGTTATTTAATGTGGACCAACGTGGCATAAGCTAGGTCGTAAAGTTTCCCACCTGGATGATGCGTTTTCAGTCTCGTATTTTCCGACACGTCATAGTGAATGTGCCAGTTGTCGGGCTACGTGATTTAAGCCATCTCACCACCGTTCTGCCATTTGGAAAACATGCCATAGGCCTGAGCCATATCGGCTTGCCACGTCATCTTTTTACATGTCACTGTGCTGATGAAAGTTGCTGGCCACGTGGGACGTCATCAAATAATAGTTATCTGATTGGCAGATGACAATTTTCTCCCTCCCTTCCAAACAATTTTTTTTTCGAGCTCCATTTTGTAAAATTCGCTGGAGATCTCTGCTACGATACTCGAATAAAGTATCTTTAGACTCCATTCAACCTCTCTCTCTAAACTATTCGGTTAAAAATCTGTCTCTCACTTTGCTGGGTCGTTGAAGGATTCTTTGGTTGAGTCTTGAACTTCTTTCATTAGAAAATTTTGAATATTGCTAGTTGGTGTTTGTGTATCAGATTGTATCTGCGACGCAGTTTTTGCTATTGGAGATCGTCCTCCTCCTTCCTTTGAGACGGCACAAGTTTCAAACTCATAGAATTGATATTAAAAAATAAAAAATCACAGTTGGAACCCACAACGATATTTATTAATGTGATGATATCTCCAAGGATGAATCTCGTTCTCATGAAATTAATGATGATAAATCTGATCTAATAGGAAACTACGAGTAAAATTCAGCTACAATTACTTCCACATAAAATCCCCAAACTATTTATCTCTGCGACAAACGTGGCACGTATAGAATGTTCCACGTCATAGAATTCAAGTACAACATGAGGTAGAGGAACCCCCTCTTTCTCTCTCAATCTCAAACGCAATCACGTTATTTGCCGCGGAAGCTATTGACTGGTTCAAACTGAAAGATCCTCCTTCACAGTTTACTCCAACAAACACACACTCACTGTGTATCTCTATCTCATTAAAATTATTGTGTCTTCGTCTTAGCCTCGACTGGAGAATCAATTTGCCAGCGACGCCGTTTAGGATCACCATGGGCCAGATCCTCGACAAATTTCAGGGTACATGCACCTTTTATTTAAATAATTCTTTGTTGTTTGGAATTTCACTTTTAGGGTTTCTTTCCAACTTTTATTTCCTTTTTGAATCTGATTAGATTTTAATCTTTCATATTTAATTGTTGTTATTTTTTATTTAAGATTGCAGCTTTTGTGGTATTATTTATAAATATTGAATTAAAAAAAAATAAAAAAATAAAAAAATAAAAAAATAAAAAAACAAAAGAGCTTATTAGCTTAATTATTTTTGCAGGTAAGCAGTGGAGGAAAAAGCAAATAAGATTGATAACGGACAAGGTCTTTAATCGCGTCAAAAATCAAACTGGGAGGGCTAATCTGTCATTTGAAGACCTTTACATTGCTGTCCTGCTTGTCTACAAGTAATAGTTAACCTGTTCATTTGATTTTATTTGTTTTTGAACTTTTGAAATCAATTCATTTGTTCAAGTTCTGGATCATTTATACTTTCAAATGATTGATTACTCTTTCTTCATGTTATAGTGATATCAATAAGCACTTGCCCGGACCCCATTTTGATCCACCCTCCAAAGATCAAGTCAGAGATATGATGAAGGTATTCTAAGGAATATATAAAAATGAAATCCAAGGCATTTTAAAAATTTTTTCAAGAGCAAATTTTCCAGAAATTATCCAGAATTCACGAATTATATATCATGCTTACACCTGTTTGGAAAACCAAATGGCATTTAATTGATGATCTTGTTGGAAATTGGACTTGTGTAATCATTCATCAAAATATCATGCCTTTGTAGTATTCATGATCCTTTACAAATATTTAGCATTGAATATCTGTAATTAATTAACTTTAACATATAATGTCAACTTGATGTTAAGAGCGTTGTCCCTTTCCGTGCAGGAATGTGACTTCAACCTTGATGGGGAAATTGACCATGAAGAATTTGTGAAGTTTATTCAGAAGATAACTGCAGACACATTCATTGTTGTTAGTCAAGGACTACTGGTCACTTTGGTTGTAGCACCCACAGTAGCAATGGCAACAAAGAGAGCTACAGAAGGTGTCCCAGGCGTTGGAAAGGTGGTGCAAAAACTACCCAACTCAATATATGCCTCTCTTGTTACTCTTGCAATCGTTTGGTTCCAAACTTCTGGCCAGGGGCTTGACTAGAGACTTCTGTTCTGTGCTTCCAAAATTATTGTGTACTGCTGTATCATGCACAATCTCCTCGTTAGGTGTTTTGCTTCATATTCATGTAGTGGAGTGTTGCATTGTTTATATCTTAATAATTGAGACGATGACATCGCTACAAATGGATATGCATTTTATATATATACAGAGTCTACCAATTTTATTAGCCTTTCCCCCTTTCTTTCCCTTGTAATTCTATGATATGATGTTAACATTTTTCCAGTTTGCTCGGTCGTACAAGAATTCTGTTATTTGATTAATTCTTGTGGCTTTAAATACAGAGCATGTAATTTTTATTACATTAAAAGAAACGAGTATCTTGTCAAAATAACATAAGAGCTAACCATCATCTAACAAGGCAATAAATTCAAATAAAGACAGTTGAAAATCCTCAGTTTTCCTCATCCAACTTATTAAGTTTGATTTTGTATATACTAATTATCTTCTTAACCTATCAAATAACCAATCAGGAGATTATAATATAATGTACAAGAACAGAGGAAAAAGGCTACAAAGAAGGCAAGAGAAATAGCCATATTAAATAATGGAGTGCTAGGTCTGAAATGCCCATATTAAAGAATGGAGGCATTTCTTTGGTACTTTTAACCATTATAGGAAGATAAGATTAACCACAACAATTTCTGCAACTTTAAGACATTGAAAGCTGTAATTCTTCACCAGCTTTGGTACTTTTAACCATTATAGGAAGATAAGATTAACCACAACAATTTCTGCAACTTTAAGACATTGAAAGCTGTAATTCTTCACCAGCCAGATATCAGTCGAGTTCCGAAACGAACCCTATTGAGATTGACGGCATTTCTTTGGTACTTTTAACCATTATAGGAAGATCAAGATTAACCACAACAATTTCTACAACTTTAAGACATTGAAAGCTGTAATTCTTCACCAGCCAGATATCAGTCGAGTTCCGAAACAAACCCTATTGAGATTGACGGGAGTTCAACTTTTCTAGCTTGGCTTTGATGGAATCAAGTTGTTCTGCACAATATTCAAGAATTGAAGACAAACACAATGTCATTATGTTGCTCAGAGCACATCCAAGAAAACTAGGAGCAAATAGAGGACGACGTTTACTCTGTTCAGATGCTTTTGCTTTCTGGATGGTTGTACGAAAGAAAATGTTCCCATTTTTCTGGTAGACAGGCTATGTTCAGAAGAAAATAAGTTATGTATAATATGCCTTTGATCGTTCTGATAAAAAGGGAAAAAAACTACAGCAAAAGATTAACAGAAAGGTCCAATGCAATAAAAAGCGTTCAAGTGAATACATTTTGGAACTAAGGTTAAAAACAATATAAGTTGTAATAATATATATAATGTGTTGTGCTATTCCAGAACAAGGAAAAATAGATAGATATACAGGAAATCCCTCAGAATCTAAAGCTTATAGGTTTCCATGAAAGCAATAGTCCAAAAATGAGTTCTAGGATTCCCTAACCATACAAAAACTTAACATTGTGTTGAGAATAAGAGAAAAGATAAGGGAATGAAACTGAAAGTAGAGTAGATTAAATAATCTTCTCTTGTGTGGCAGAGAGTAATGGTAAAAGATGAGCTATTTCTGGGTTAGTACCAGTTCTTCGTTAGTACCCTCCGAAGAACTCTTAGATTTTTAAAGATTATGACAAAACCTTCTCCTAAATTTGGATGTAAATTACCAAATCTCATATAACTTTACAAATGATCAGTGTACAAATAATATACTACTAAATTAGCAGCCTAATATTTGCATAATTCATCATCTGTGCCAATACCCAATTAACCCTAATTGAAAATAGGCAAAAAGATAGAAAATGTAATCCACAAAGACACAAGTGAAAATACAAACAATCAACCAGAGAACAAGTGAAATTAAGGGCAAAAGGGGAAAGCTTTGATAATGGAAATCAACTGAACTATAATGGAAAATAAAAGAACTTACTCGAGAAGATGAAAGGTTATCAAGCTCTGCTAAAGCAATTTCATGGCTTCTCATCTGATATATTACACAAACAAAAAATAAATAGATATTTAATTATTGTGCAAATAGTATATAAGAAGATAATATATCTGTGAGAGAGAGAGAATTGTACTCTTTTAACGAGTTCCAGTTTTGAGTCTAGAGCTGGGGATGAGGAAGCAGAAGTCGCCATAGAGCCGTTTCTTGTGCCAGTAACAGTCGAAAGGGAGGGCAAATTCTTGAAATAAATGAATACAAAGAAAATTTTATTTTTCTAATTAGAGTTTTTGGAAATAAATAAACAACTGGCGCTCGTGGCCTAATGGATAAGGCGTCTGACTTCTAATCAGACGATTGTGGGTTCGAGTCCCACCGAGCGTGTTCAATTTTTTAATTCTATTTATTCTTTAAGAAAATCATAGTTATTTTAAAGCCAAACCCAGAAAGATTTTGGCTTGAAAATATAAACACAATGAAGCCTTACCAACTTTGTAAAATTGTTTTTTCCATTCACTTTACTCATTTCATTTGCAATTATTTATGCTCATACAAGATATATTTATTATTGAATAAAATTATTTTTCTCCGTTCACTTACTCATTTCATATTTTTTCACAGTTATACAAGATATATATAAGAGTATATTCACTTATGAAGTTTATCATTTATATATTTCTTCCATTTTGTTGGTAAATTAATTGTTTTGAATTTGATATCTAGTGATTTCAATCTTTCTTGGTTTATTATTCCATCAATTTACATCATCTCTTTTATTCTCCACAGATAAAGCTTTTGAGATGCACACAATACAAATTCTAAGTGATCTCTAAAGAGCCGATGATGTATTAATTATGGAAGATGGCATAAATTCTAAGCAAAGGGGTGACACGTACCTTCTTTCTTTATTCAATATAATAAATTTTTGAATTTGTTTTTAATTTTATTTGGCGATAAAATATTAGGAATTACAAATAAATTTTTACTTTCAAAAGTTTCTTTATTTTGTAAAAGCTACCAATATGTAATTATTTGTTTTAGAAATTGATAATATATTTATATTTCGATTAATAATAATCCAAATGTTTAACAAGTGACAAGCATACATTATTATAAGGAGAAATTCATATTATATTGTGATAGACTTACAACTTTAAGAGCTCAATAATTGTTTCGCTGAAATGAATTATCATATATACTTTCCTTTTTTATGCGTTTGGATCTAAATATTTATTTTATGCTTTTGATAAATGAAAATTAATTTGCCTCGCTCTATTTGATTTTTCTTAAGTTTATTTATCAACTTAAAACTAATATTTTGATATTAGATTTGATATCAGTTTTATAAATTCAAAGGAATTGAAGATCTTATAAAAAAAGAAATAATAATAATTGAGACAAAGAACAATATATCCATTAGTGTACCTACTACGTGGTCTATGAAGAGGGTATTTTCTGTAATAAAAATAGTAAAAAACGAACTTCTTCTGAAAATCTTAATTTTTCTGAGCTATCTATATCGAGAAGTATTTTGTAGTATTAAGATGAAAAAAATCATTCAATGCCTTTTAACATATGACAACTCCTTGGGAATAATTATGAAATAAAAAATAATTTTGATTATTTAGTTAATTAATTATTTTACTTAATCTAATTATATTTATATATTCATACTTACCTTTATATGAGCAAAATTATGGATCCATAAAAGCTTATATCATGTGTTTATGTTAAATTAAAGTTCTTATGATTTTAAGTTATATTCGGTGAACCGTAATGGAAAATAATATAAAATAGAATAAATATATTTTTAATGTAAACACCATATAATATTTGATTACATTACAGCTCACCAAATATAATTTTTATGTGTTCGATGAAAATAGAGAACCAAAAATGATGAAAAATATAATGTGTTTTCAATGCCGAGAAAGAATTGTAAATTCGTAATAATGCTCGTTCGAATACATTTATACATGTAATTAAATGATTTTAATACCTAATTTTGAAATTCATTTAAAAAATCATATAACTTAAACTCAACTCACTAACGTCACATCTGCATATGGAGCCCATTTTATAATTAAGTACGTTACATAAACGGTAATTAAGTAGCCACTAATTAGATTGCAACATCATTAATTTAGTTCCTTCCGATTATAGCATTGCTCATATTGAACTGTGTTAGATGTATCTCTTGTGGAAGGAGATGGTATCTTATACCAAGATTCTCAAATATCTTCTTTAGTTCAAACACAAGTTCTGATCTTCTAATGCTTTTTTCTCCATAGTTTTGATGGTTAATTGTGTGTAGTACGCATAGAGTCAGCTTCATCTTGTTCATATTCTCAATCTCCCTCACTAGCAATGTGTGCTTTGGGTTCCAATGCTTTGGCTTGCTCTCTATGTATCTGCCAAACGTTTTGCAATCATAATTATTAGAATAAAAAAGATATGCAATATATATATATATATATATATTATAAAATGGACCGGGCATGAACATTTGGAGAAGTGTGAAGTTTGCAGATAATCACATCTGCCTCTGATACCATATTATAAAATAGACCGGATTTAACTCGCTCTCTAAAAGCTATCTTAAGAGAATAAAGATTGTCAAGTCCTATATTTCATAAGAACCTTATTTCAAACCAATTTAGAATAATATATATAATCAAAAAATGATAATTTTCATTTAGGCATGACTACAGATTTAAAACCCTCAGTTTCGATCTCGAAATCACTAATCTTGGTTAGAGAAAAGAATACAATTAACCAAAACTAATAGATTGCTATTAAAACGATGTCTAAGACAGTTTTGAAACTATCAATTTTGGTTATCAGTTAATTCATTTATATAAATAAGGACTTACGTTTGTATAGCCTTCTTGAGAGCATTAAAGTCATCAACGGTAGTGGAGACATCAACTGTGAAATCAATAGCATCACCCATGTCTGGACTTCTTCTGAAATTGCTGATAGGCTTCGTCAAAAGAACTGAATTTGGATAATATATTTTCTCCATATCATACCTTAAAAACACAGTAGTTAAAATATTCATTTCTTCCACAACCATCTGCACATACCCACAGAAACACCAATATAACACCTGAATTATTAAATAAAATTAAAATTTACTAATCTGTTAAACAACTAACTTTACCTGAACATCATCAACAACGCAACGGTCACCGACATCAAAAGGGTGCATTACGAAGACAAAGATGATGGATTCGAACATGGTTTTGCAAGTATTTTGGAACATAAAACCCACAAGTAGTAACTGAGAAGTTACTACAAAGATAACCTTTGTTGTGGCTAATCCCATTACTAAAAGAGAGATTACAACTATAATTACTGTTACTATAGCGCTTGCTAGCTTGTGAAGTTGCTGAACAGCAGTTTTTGTATCATTCAAAGAATGGGCTAATGCTTTTCTCTCAACATAAGCATGTACCTAAAAAAAAATAAATTAATAAGTCATTAAACTTAGTAATTGTAGTCTTTTTTTTTTAATTAATTAAAAATTTTGAGATATTAAATTATCGTAAAGTTGAAATTGACATAAAAATAATAGGGTTGATGCTTAATTAATTACCACCCAATTTCTGAAAGAGGATTTTGTGATTTTTCCAGTCTCAACAGCTCCTTCAAAGAGAGGAAATATGGTGTGAACCTCTTCACTCTTTAAGAACCTTAGCAGATCTTCCTCATCTATGTACCTATAGCATAAAATATTAGATATTTAATATTTAATTAAATAAAAATATTTTATTCTATATCAGCATATATGTTTTTTTTTTTTTTTTTTTTGTTTTTTTTTTTTTTTTTGTGTATTAACACAATTAGCACTCACCGCAATTATTTTTTTTTTTTTTTTTTTTGTGTATTAACACAATTAGCACTCACAATTACTTTCCTTCTTATAGATTGAAATAAATTAATTATTTTTTAAAATAATGTATTACCTATTAAAATATATAATCAAGAAAATATATATTGCTAAACAAGTTAGCTTAGAAAATGATAGGAATAAAATTTATGAGAAATTATTCGGTTAAAAATACTTTTACGATGACAATATCTTTCAATATGAAAATTATAGAAATCATATAGAAAATAATAAAATTTTTTACGTCTATTTAAATTATTTTCTTTTGAAAATTCCATTTTTTTTTAAATTTTCAAATCAAGAAATTTGAAAATGTTTTTTGATTGTCCTATAAATATTTTTATACCATTTGAATAAAAAAAAGCTTTTTTTAAAAAATATTGTTCTTTTTTCTTAGATTGAAAATACTTTTATTAAGTAAAAATATTATTTATAATAATTTGTTGTATAGACTGCGGTTTTACAAAACTTTAGATCCCAAAAGTTGACACGAGATGTTATGGCTACTACTTTTTAGCAATGATAATTGAATTAATGGTCCAATGAGACTACTGCTCACTTTTATATGTCTCAACCTGGCTACCATTACCAAATACCAATCACTTTTCAAAAAGCTTTGAGCAATATAATTGTATAACAACTATGTGCTTGCTAGGTGAATTTTTTTTTCTTTTTTTTTTTTTATAGGAAATTTAATTATTTTATTAATTTTTAAAAATGCAGAAAAAATTTAATATTTTTAAGTGTCTAAATCCGAGCTAATAAAACAATCTAACCTAACTAAGAATATTAATTAAAAAAATGTAGAATCAAAATAATACAAAGTTTACAAAGGACGATTATTACTTCCCTTAATGTAAGAGAATAAATAATTAAAATAAAATCAAACACAAATTCTTTATAAAAAAGTCAAAAAATCACTCTACATAAAATCTTTCTTTTTTTTTAGCCAATACATTTGAAAAATCAATTGATACTCGTAAAAGCTATTAATTTAAAGAGAATTCAAGATTCAAAAATAAAAATATTTACCTAGAAGGAATTCGTACATAACATAGTTGTATTGATAGAACAAAACTAATAAAATTATTCATATTTTTTTTAGAAAATAAAAATCATTTCATATTTTATCTTTTATTTTCCAAGTCCATGCTCATGACATTCAAAAATTAATCGAAAGGGAAGTTAAAAAATAAACTCACTTGGCACCCGGCTTAGCAACATGCTTGAAAATTCTTTGAGCACAGCTTCGAGCCTCCCATTCGCTAGTAATTTCCGATTCTCCATCACCAAAATCATCTAATGTTCTCGAAATCGTGGATAACCCTGATGATTTTATGTAATTCACTAATCTCTTCACACTCCATGCAGTTGGTCTGCTCTGCATACTCAGTTTTCTCAATCTTTCAATATCTATCTTTCCGGGACCGAACCTTTTGGACCTCGAAGGAGTCAAACCAATCGGACCCGACTTCTCCTTCAGTCTCGCCGGCAATGACTTGGCATGGCGAAGACTTCTATGGCCATAAGGAGCTTCTCTTTCATCCTCATCTAATGGAGGACCAGAAAGAGAATCAAGAATATAATGGTGAAAAACACTTTCTTTCATTCGATCAAAAAAAGTAGCTACGTGAAAAGACGAAGCAAGGACCTTAACGAGAACGATCTTTAATAACCAAATAGTAGCTCCGATCAGTACCGCAACAAGAAACCGGAAAACTTTCTTTACAACCTTATTATGTTTATGAACACCATGAAATAGAAGCATCCATGCAAGTAAAGCTAAGGCAAGCCATGCACAGTTTTGAAAGCTTTTACGTAATCCATAAACGAAGTATAATACTTTCTCCCTAAGGATAAAGTTTCTTTCTATTAGAAAAACGAGAAACCGTACAACCCAATAAGAAACAAGACGACCGCAAAATAAAACTAACACCAGTAAACACCATTTCCATATCTCTATACCCCATTTTACTCTGTTCTTGAAAGATTCAAGAGTTAAAGAACATATTAAGCAAGTCATTATTATAAGAAATAATATAGACTCGATCACTGCCCTTTTATGAATCTTTCTTTTTCTTCTGCTTTTATGTTTTCTGTGTTCTTCACCGTCTTCTTTGTTTTCGAACCATTCTTCGTCGTCATCGTCATCGTCTTCTTCTTCGTCTGTGGAGGTTTCTTGAGGCTTTAAGGGATCGAGTTCTTGGGTTTCAAGGACGGCTTTTGAAGACGGATGGTATTTGATTTCAGCGAAACGAGATTTGGGTTTGGAGAAGTTTAGACGACAGGGCGATTTGGGAGAGTGTGGGATAGGATCGTTAATGGAGTCTGGGTGTGGTGAGTGTTTGTGTTTAGGGCTTGTTTGGTCCATGAAAAGGACTACTTGATCTGTGTTGGGTTTTTGAAATTCTTGATTTTGGACTTTCATGAAGAATAGTCTTTAATTATGAAAGAGAGAGAGAGAGAAAGATCGATCAAGAGGAAACTTTAAGGATTTAGATGGAGAAATGGGAGATTGTTTTAAGTACTGTCACTGAATTAGAGTGCAGAGAATGACCTGAAGAAGAAGAAGGAGGAGGAGGAGGAAACTATAAGTCGAGGTGGGGTGAGGAATTATTGAAGAGAATTATTGCCAAATAAAAAACATAAATCTACTTTTACATAAATATTAAATAAGTTCTATTATATTTAAAATTGAAAAATTACTTTACAAGCTACACTTATTATTTTATATCATGATCTTATTTTATAATCTTTAATTCTTGATTAGTTTGTATGTGTTTAGAGTGAGTTCAACAAGTTCAAAGTTTAAACTCCAAGAGTATAGTAATTTAATTTAATACCTTGGATGTTTTAATTCAAATCATATATTTTACTAAGTTCACTTTTCTAATTCAAATCATAGTATAAAAATATTTTGATATTTTCTTTTGGTATACAAATAAAAGTATTTTATATATACATAAATTGAGTAATTCTTTTCAATAGATATAATTATAATTCCCTTTCCCATATTATCCTCTATCTAATGTTACAAAAAGAAATCAAAATATGAAGATTCGAATCCACAAATAGCACATGGTGTTTTGATTTTGAAATTTCTAGCTAAAAGTTCTAGTTAGTACAAGAAGATTCTAGATGTGAAAATGAATTTTGCAAATCTAAAAAGAGAAAAAGAAAAAAAAAAAGCATCTATTTACTAATATTTATATATAAAATTAGGAAGGCAAATTTCACAGGCTCTTACATCATTGCCATTAATTAAATAAAAGGCATGTTTTATTTTAGTAATTGGACCGATCGATTAACCACTAACAATGGGGAATTATTATTTCATATCACTAGTCATTATACAACTTAAAAAAAAAAAAAAAAAAAAAAACACTAGTCATTATACACTTAAAAAATAAAAAAAAAAAAAAAAAAAAAAAAAAAAAAAAAAAAGCCTATTTCACCGATTAATCATAATAGGCTAAACTTTTTAATGACAACCTTAACTTTTGATTTGGTCCATACGTTCGATATTTTAGTACATAGTTGAAAATTATAAAAATTATTATTTAATAATTACATTTCATTTAAAAAAAAAACCATATTTATTAAATTTTCCATTGAATAAAACGAAAATTGAAATATCAACTTACCATTAGATTTATATATGTTTGAAAAAGGTTGAAAGCACCAATTAAATTAAGTAATCAACCATTGAAATCATTGTGTACAATGCTTTCTTCTTTTTGGTTAATGTCTATATTATTGCTCTCTGAAACACAAGCAACTAAGCATAATAAGCCACGTTTAAGTCTTATCAAATTACATATAAACACATAAAGAAAGGATAACCTTTTGACAAGGCAGAAATCTCTCTCTTTTTTTTTTTTTTTTTTTTTTTTTTTTTTTTTTCAATTATTAGGATACAAAGCAGAAACCTCAACCCAAAATGATTAATTACCATAAATCAATTAATTAATTAATTACTAGCAGAATAAAGGTTTAAATTGGTTTCCCATTACTTAATTAGCTGGGCCCATATTGTCAGTCCATTACAAGCATGGGCCAACAAGCTGCAACGCATTACAACTAATTGCAATAATAAACTATGGTTACCACTTACTAAGCAAATCAATTACCAGTTACTAATAATCTAAGCAGAGTACATTTCCTCTGCAACTAACTTCAATCCCAAGCTATGAGTTCAAACCCTGGCCAGGGCCAAATTAATCCAAAACCCCAAAAAATAAAAAAATAAAAAAAAAAAAATCTTCACTTCTGCATTAAAGAAAGATTACAATCAACTTTTGCTAATTTTACAAAGAAGCGAGTCATAATTATAGCTAAAATTCTTTATGGTTATAACTTAATAATTCAGTACTCAAAGGCTCCCTTAATACCCTCAAGGGACTCTCCAAGTGATGCCCTGCAGAGAAACCAATAAAAATGAAATTACCTCAATTCCAAAACAACTTATCAATGCAGGATATCAATTTTTTTTGTCATAACCATGCGATTTTCGAAATATAGTAAAAGAAAAAGACAAATATTACTCAATTTCAACATAAAAGAAAAATAACTTTAACGAAGCAAAGGAGCAAGGACAATAGGTCAATAGCAAATGTACTGGTTGGAATGATTCAAACCAGGAAGCTGAAAATTCTAGACATTGCCTTGATCACATGGGGACATACGGTTCTCATTCTCATCATGGCTACAGCAATGAGGCACTAAAGAATTGTTTAGTATTAATTATATTCTGAGAGAGACCAGCAGAGAGAATTAAGGATATGAAGTGCGGTCAACACTATGCAATTAGTTCATAAAGCAGACAAAAAAAAGAACAATTAATCAATAAGCCCGTCTATCTTTTATAAAGCTAAAAGCAATGACAGATTAGCTCTCAACCACGTTTTTCACTGTTGCGAATGCAGCAACAGAAATATATTGTTCTTTTTTTCTTACCAGAAGCATAATGCAATATAAAACACAAGTCATGCCCCCTCCTTCAGAACAGTTAAGAAAAAAAAAAAAACCATTCCACAGAAAGGGACACCATGATTTAGCATCATGCATGACGTGTTTATTTCATTCCAAATACTACAAGGACAACAATTTCTGCTAAACATGTTACTGCTTTGGAAAGGAAAGCCATGGCAAGCATGTAAAAGCCTTCCACCTCAAGACTAATGAGGAAATCAACTGATGACAAGAAGACAAAGGTAGAAATAGAAGCACTCTAATGCAAACAAGAAGCAGACCTTGTAAGTCAAACATGAAATTCAGTCCAAGTTTAAGTGCAGATTCATCTCTGGCCATGATTTGGAATTATGCATATATTGAGGTCTGCTTGTTTTGCAAATAATTTGTTAATGGAAAATTGTGACAGATGCTAACAATTGTTAGTTGGTGTAATAATGGATATTTGGTTCATTTATATATCTTCTTTTTATGAATTTGAGGAGATCAGGAAATTCCATACGGCTGCTAACAAAAACTTTTTAATTATCAACCTATTGGCATAAGACCACAAAATCATTCTTTATCAAAGTTTAATTCATCCTACTTTTAGAAATAGTATTTCGCACACATTCCTTAAAGAACAATGTTGTAAGTCTTCCAGTTTTGAATATCAAGAAGAAAGTTACTCTTGAGTTGAACAATATTTTCATGACATGACTTTACCAACATCAATGATAGCATGTCTAAGATGCAAAATATTCTTAGATAGACTCACTCTACCATGTCATTCATGGAGTAGCCAATAAAAATGCACCATATATATCAGTAAGATAGTTAACATTGTCATGAATAACTATCATATGGACTGTATATGTTAATTTACTAACACTACATAGGGAGTATTTGGTCATTTTCCAGGAATAGTAAGTAATAGCAAACTTTAACCTCTCTGAAACACATAAAATAATTGTAAAATAAACACCCTCACTTCACTCCCACTCTTAGTTGCATACAGTTAAGTTAGGCACAATTCATGGAAACAACCATGAGCAAACAGTAATCTACAGTCAAAGCAAACTTAGATTCAGACCAAAAATACTCCTCCGTCACCTCTCATTGAGGTGAAATGATCTCATTTCCTCACACTCAACTTGGCTCAATTTTCAATCCTTCAACTAAGCAGCTTATAGGAAATATGGCAGAGGACGCTTATCACTCTTATGTCTATATCTTGAAAATTGAAAAGTGGTCTTATGGTTCTTTTATTTTGAATCTTGCAAACTGAGATGCAAAGCGAAAGAGAGAACTTTCATATTAAAAGATGAGAGAATTGCTTGTATTAAAAGTTATGTTGTGTTCTGTGGTGCATTAGTTTGTCAAGAGAAGGTTTGAGAAGATTATGATCCTATTCACTCTAATTCTTATATCAACATTTCAGGTCTTATAACGGAAAGATATATTGGTTATTGAATAGAAAAAAAGGAATAAAACAGATAGAATCAATTAATGGTGTTGGAACGCAGTTTAAACCTACCACCACAATGGCTTAGCTCTTGGATTTGGACAGATTTGCAAATCTTATATGAATCAATCCAAACCAACAATTATGACTCTATAAGTGAAGACAGATTTATTCTAGAAGTCTAATATAATGAATGTGTAAAGGAGTATGATAGATGATTAATCGCACAGTGTCCAATTCCCTTTCTCTGTTAGCAATGGTGAACCCATATTCCTCAATAAGCTAAATTCATTTTGCAAATCGACATGACCCAACAAAAAATTCAAAAACTGACATTATTCTATATACCATCTTACAGCTGGTATAATTAACTGTTCTCTACTGCATATAAATAACCATTTTTCTTGATATTCTTCCCCCCCCCGCATATAAATAACCATTTTTCTTGATATTCTTTCCCCCCCCCCCCCCCCACCCAAATGAGCCTGGTAAAGGATGCAATTCCCTAAATCTCTAGTGTCAGCAAACACACCAATCTAAGCTCACATGAAAGTACAGATTACTTCCCATCACCCTGCGCTTCACCCCAATGTAGAAAATTAAAAATAAATGCCAACCTTTCATTCCTTCCCACATCCCACCCAAATGAGCCTTGGTAATAGATTGCAATCCCTAAATCTCTAGTGTCAGCAAACACACCAATCTAAGCTCACATGAAAGACAGATTACTTCCCAATCACCCTGCGCTTCACCCCATGTAGAAAATTAAAATAATGCCAACTTTCATTCCTTCCACATCCATCAAGCACCAAACAGTACGAGGCACTTTTTAACACCACAAATATTTGTATATACTTCACTATAGTAAACCTTAACTTCCACCCAAGGAAACTAACATGAACATTGACCATTAATTCAAACACACAGTGTATATAAACATAGATATGAAATATAAATGTCAAGGACATAGAAATTATTAAATTTTTAGAGGTTGATAAACTTACTTATACATACAGTACTTATATTCTTGGCTTCTAACATGATCTTTCTCCCCTTCTTCAAGCTACAATCATGAATAAGTGGAAACATAATCAAATTTTAAACCTAATGGACACTAACCAATAAGGAACCACCTCAAAACCAAATCTTTACCGGATCACTCTCGTAAATAAGCTCGTAACAAGCCGGTGAAAGGCATCTCAAAGCACAATTCTCCTTTGCCGTCATTGAGGATTTGCATTGCTGACCCCAAAGTCCACTTTTTTCATAAAGCACAAAAGCCACAAAATTTTTAAAATTAAAAAAAAAAAAAAAAGCAAATAACACAAAATTAACTCAAAGGAAAGAAAGTTTACCTCTCTATATCAGCATAACACTCGTTTTTCTTTTCCCTAATCTCTGCGTCCTGCATTTTCAATGAAAGACGACATTAAATTTGAAAATCAACAAAAAGAAAATGATATTCGAGAGAGAGATGATTACAGATATTGGGCGGCGAGACTTGGAGAGAACAGGAGGAGAAATTAACAACAACGAAAGTGTAAAAATAATGAGAAAACAGTTTGACGGAGATTTATGAGCAAAATTAGCCATATATTATCCGATAAAAGAAAAAAGAGAAGGAATTTGGTTCTTGATTGATAGGTAGAATTTGGTCTTGATTGATAGATAATTAACAACACAGATTATTCTGTGCTTCAGAGGTTTAACCGTTTGTAGGCAATGAATCCGATTCCGAGCTGAAGAAGGAAGTGAATATGAACTTGGAATCAAAGATGGGCCTCTTTCTCGCTCTCTGTCCTCTGTAGCATGGGCTCTAAGCCCTTCCGCCATTAACACTGGCAATCGGACCATCGGTCAAGTGGGACAGGTTCCAATCATTTGAGGATCCGATCTTTTTGAATCTTATTGTTGCGCCAATTCAAGTTGTCGTTTTGGATCAACATCATATTGGTAGGTATAAAAAATTTCAAATAAAATACTCGGGAACCATCTGGCTACCAAATTCCATAATTCAAGATTAATTAAAACTACATAGAACAAATAACCTTGTTTCAGTGTAGATAGATTTTGATTCCGAACTGAACATTTGCGAAAATAACAATGTCCATAAATAAATATCATAAATAAGTATCATATTTGTAGATTTTAAGAAATAATATTATTTTTACCTTTGAAAAGGATAGATATTAATTGTTATAATTTTTAAAAATATATTTTTATTATAAAAAAATATCAATTTATTTAATAATTCATTACAAATTAAACAAGTTAAATGGGTCTCTCAAAAGATGAGAAGAAAATGCAAATATGGCAATTATTTGGTTAAGGGAAAGAGTTTATCAATTTCATTCATACTCGATCTAATCACTATACCATTTAATTTCATTATCTTGGCACATTCATTGTGAAAAGAGAGAAAGGGGAAGAAAATTTAATTTGAATATTTCATGAAGCAAAAAGAAAAAGAAAAATTAAAAAAAGGAAGAAGTAAATCTTGTGATGCCGTTATAGAATTTTTACAGGATTCATTAATTTAAAGTGCTGCAAATCATCACAATTCAATCAAACCAAGAAAGTAATTCACAAACTTTACATTTTTTTTTTTTTCAAACTCTTAACTCTCCATAATATATATGCTCTATGAGGCTGAGATCATATCCACGTCTCTGTTTTTATATTCCGAAAGCATAACACCTTCAGAGAAAATAAATTTCTTTGTTGCGCCAAAAATATTGGCCATTTGCAGAATCACAGTTTGTGATGCTGTAGCAGTAGGGAAGAGAGAAGCTGGGAGGGATGGGATGCACTCGGGATGATATTCCTTTTTGCCGAAGGATGGTCCATACAATGTCAACACCGCCCGACAAAATAAGAATCTGAAAAAGAAACAAACAACTTTAATCCAATAATCAACTGTGCCAGATATGTCGCATTTCTTCCAGGTCACTTTTACAAGCCCACAACATGTGAAGTTTCAAGAGATCATTGACTGGTGAGCGATGGCGAACTCACAGTTTCTACCAGATGCAGACAAAACTCAAAAACCTACATGTTGGATGTTTTATGACCGACTCTGAACCATTATAAATTTATAATAACCAAATGCTTGAGCTCAGTAGTAAGGCGATCTGGCAGAAGAGCTTTAGAATAAATCTAGATTTTGAATGCATATGTAAACTGAAAAAATGAGAATTTATATTTAAATTTCATGTCTCGAATATTCAGACTGTTGACGTCCTGTAGAAAAGCAGGGCAAAGATGGGTCAGTTCATGTTGTGTGGATTCTCACCCTAAGTGCTAATTCAAATTGGGAAAGCTATTGTATGGCCTTCCTTTTAGCATTGACAAATGATGCATTTCTTTTCCGAGGTCGGTACGATTTTTTGTGGCTTTACCAGATCAATTTCGATTGTTTATGAAACATTTTACTCTAAACATGCCCATAAATTTTAAACCTAGAAATAACAAAGAAAAGAATTGAATGGTACCTCAATAAAAGTCGCCTAAGGAATGGATCACCTAAAATCTGCGTCCAAACAGGATCCAGAGTGTCCAAAGTTTCCAAAGCAGATCCCCATTGCTTCAAGGATGAAGAAAGCAACTTCTCAGCCTTGTTGTATGTTTCCTGAAGCCCATTCTATCCATTAATATATTCTACAAATACAATCTAAATTACCAAGTATGAAAAAACATAGAGTTTAAGTCTCACCATTTCAATATCAGAACCAGACAAACCAATTAACAGACAAAAAGCCTGCAATGGAGTTGTCAGAAAAAGAGTGAATACACTACCACTCTGGTGACGAGAGGATTCGGCAGCAGTGAGGGGAATTGAACAGCTTGGAGATAAGAGGATTGCAGCTGGCTCTCCTTTCTCAGCTCCACTTATAGCCTGCAAATGTCCAAAATTATGATATTACAGAGGATAAAGTAGTTCACATTCTTAAATGGGAACCACTGTCCTCTCAAGTACAAATGGGCAATTTAGGACAAAATGGCTAAGCACTGAAGAGCAAAAGTAATATGCCTCCATTAGTGAGAGAAGAAACAAAAACTTTTTACTGAAATTTCACCCAACTTCGGCCTGCATAAATAATAACCAAGAATTTTGCACCTATGAAACAAAGTTTTGGTTTGGAAACTAAACGGCTACATTTGGCTTAATATTAAAGGCTACGCATTAAAGAACAAAATTAATAGGCCTCCATGAGAGAGAGAAGAAATAAAACTTTTTACTGAAATATTACCCAACTTCAGCCAGCATAAATAACAACCAAGAATGGCTACATTTGGCTTAATATTAATAATTGACCTATCAGGCTATCACCTACAAAAGTTTATTCCTGCAAGTATATGACAGCAGGCTCAGATTTCCTCTGACTCAGATTCTTGAAAAGAGAACTAAACCTAGAATGTCAAGCCAAATTGGGATTCTTGTTGAGAATAATTTCAATTTGAACCACAATAATAGGTTTGAGTTAAAAGCAATTTAAGTTTGAGTGATTCAGGAAGTATTAAGAATGATCACTTATTTATACAGGAAGCATAGAGACCCATATGTCAAGATTTGTTTCTTTGGGTTTCCAACTGTTAAATCCACAATATTGAGAACTTCCAGCAAGTTACAAATCCACCTAGTTTTTTGTTCTCCAGGTTATTCAAATTATTCAAAATTTTCTTAACTTTTACCCATAATGAGTGTACCACTTAGGTGTCACTTCCAATTTTCTTTTTTATGATACGATACAATTAAGCATGTATTATCCATTGTGCTAGTCACATATGCATATGAAAATTCAACATGTAAAACTATTAGTTTAACGAACAAAGGATAACAGTTAATATACTTGCCTTGAATGCTTCACTGATATCACTGTCAATAACTATAAAAAGTGGCCTTCTTGTGAACGGAACTAAATCGGTAGGGTAAATGCTGTTTAATCCTGAAACGGATAATCTAATATCAGAATGCATGTTGACTTTGCAAAATAAACATGTTTCAAAAATTAACTGACAATCAAAATCCTCTAAAGTAATTTCCACTAGAGTGTTCATTACAGCAGAAAAAAGAAACAGCAACATAGGGACAATATTAGTAGAAAAGAAATGCATGAAAAGTCCATCCCCTTTCCAAGATTGGTTTGTGTTCAATAGGTTATGCTTAGACCAGTGTTTGAGTTGTTAATATGCTGAAGAGGAGTATTGAGGTGACAGAAAAAAGGCGCTGCTTATGTTTGGACAATTGAGACACTTGGTGACATGTGAAGTTGGGAAGAGGAACAACCACAAAGAAGCGGATCAATCAAATGTCAGAGATAAAATCTGAAGTTTTGATTGAGGACCTTGCTCTCTTGGTTCCAGCTTCATGAAAAACATTTTTTAGTTAAATAACACATCTCAGTAATCATCAACATCGATTTACACAGTACTTAGTCACCCATGACCATTATTCATTCTCAGTAGCACTAGAACCTTTTGGAACAAGATAACAGGAATAAGTAGTAACTTTAGTTGATAAATATTCACAGGTTATGGTAGAGAAAGTAGTATTCATGAAATTGGAAAAGAGCAAACATATAAATCCACATAGACACATAGAGAAAGTAGTATTCATGAAATTCCTTAACCTGGCACAAAAAGAAGTCACTGGACTACTACACGTGAAATGGAAAAATGGTGATTTACGCCCAAACAGTTGCATGAAAGTGAACACGTTTTCATGATTTTCTAAGTAGGTACCTCCATTTCCTCGAGCGCCAAAATATAAGCAGTCTCCTTTACATCGCCTGGAAGAAGGATTTGGACAATTACTAGGTGAACAAAATGGAGAAGTGGCCATTGTGTCCAAGTACATAGCATGAGATTGGAAATTTCTCACAACATTCTCTGCAGTGTTAATAGAAGTTCCAGCACTTGAGGGAGACGAAATAGTTTGTCCAACTCTTCCTGAAGTAATTTAAATGATGTTAGAGGCATCACGATCTCATAATTATGTAGTGGACAAAAGGGGAAACAAAATTAAAAGAATCATGATCTCCAAACAAAAGTAGAATACACAACCTGAAGCTGACAAATATATCAGGAGAACTCCATCAGCAGGTAGCTCCTCACAAATCATACCCAGAACCTGACCAGAAAAGGCAGAAGAACATTTAATATGGTGTCGATGTCATAGTATCCGCAACACCTCAAAGATTGTTATGCTCTGAAGAGGAATTACACCAATGAGCAATTTAAATGAGCATATGGACAAATGTATGCGAATCCATGTTTTGGGCACACTATAAACAGGCATAATTTGCAAATCAGACATTACCATCAGTAATCTAAATCCAAAGAGAACAAAATGCCACCATGGTAAATAATCTGAAAGAAGCGGAATTTTCCCCCTTGATAATATTATAAAATAAATTTGCAGAAACTTCCTACTTTAGCTCTCATCCATTCTACCATCTTTCAACATTGAAGCCATCATTACACTCTTGAAATCTAGAGAACCGATCAACTTGAATGTTATAGAAGCATCAGATCCTTGGTTTCCAAGTCTTAATTATGAAACTCATTAATTTATAGTGGAACAACTCAAAGCTGATAATTCAGATTTTCAATATATTGGATTTGCATTTTCCATAAACATATTATTAAATCATTATATATAGAACAGAAAATTAAGAAGAAGCAACAGAAAGGTACAGCGTACATATTACATCATACTCACTGCTAAAAGATGTGTCACGGATGGACGATACAAGACGGCTTTCCGTGAGTTTTGAGGCAAAGTAGGATCAGTTATGTCCTGCGTGTAGTTAACACGACTAGGCCCTGGACCCCCATTTTGACCAATTTTATTACTATTTGACTGGTAAAAGGAACCACTTGGTTCCCACTCGAGACATTGAAGCATCCTGAAGGTGTCTAGAGTAAGCTCTGAAAACTTAACCTGATACAGCGACGCAACATTAAATTAAAGGGAAAACGCAAAAAGTTAGTGCACTATTGCATTTAACAAATTGGGAAAATGAATTATCAAAAGTTCAAAATCCTCCATGCTAGATTCTCAAATTGACTTGGACAAAAAGAGGAAAGAGAAACCTTAATACCTAACCTCATTATGATGGTAGCTACTCAGTATTGCATCTCGTAATCTTAAGCTTCTTCTTGTTGCAAAACGCGGTAGCGAATCTGGATGAGGGTCCAGCACAAGGCTATATCTTAAAGGCCTGATATTCATAAAAGCTGTGTCAGCTTTCAAAAATCTAATTATTTCCTGAACCACCAGCTTCCATTCTTTAAAGTCAGTTTCCTGGAGACAAGATCATTCCAAGGCCATAGTTATCAGTCAATCTGTTCACAAGCAAACAGAAGTTATTTGAAATTCAAACTCCAACATCTAGGACGGGACAGGACAATCACGAAAAAAGAGATGCAACATCAGTCAAAGCTTATACCATATTATTGATTTAAAACGTTACAAAACCCAATGTTTGTTACAAGAATGTACCCATTCTTCAGAACACATCATGATAGTATGTCATCATTTCAAGATTTCATATATAAGAACACCATTCATTCTCACTATTAACTTGACTCTCAAACATTTTATAAAGAAGTGTCAACTCTATAACAAATTGAGAAAAGTTAATTCAAATATATAGAGCGATGAACATCCATTAATCATCCAGATGAGACACTAAAATAATTCATTGATAGAGCAAGAAAGCCATAAACTACCAAAACAATAATGCATTGAAAGGTCAGGAGCAAGAAGAATGACCTGGAATGTCCTCCTGCATTCATCAACTAACATTTTGAGTTTATTAACCAACTGATGCACCATTTCTCGTCGGTTCAAGACCAGGCACACCATTAAAAACCTAGCAAAAAATCTCAGCTGTTTGTTTGCAAGATTGAGATCTTGAAACAAACCCTCCTTGAAATACTCTCGACTCAGTATCGCTTCATAGAATATATATGATTCTGACAAGTAACTTGCATCACTTGTCCGCATATATTGCCCATAATAAAGCTGAGCAATTCTAGATGCAATTTCCCCTATCTCCCATCTCTTGAGCCCAGCTTCTACAAGCTTCTGTCGATTCTCTTGTTGGAACTTCCACAACTGCGTATAGACTTTAAATACCTTGTAAAAGTATGTATCATACCTGAGCGAAGAACCAAATGCAAAAATAATAATATCACTGACATGACCTGAAAAACTCATGTCATTGGAAAACTATAGATTATCTCATTGTACATGCTATTAAGCAACAATGTATGCACTTAATTAACAAACTAATTAGAAAATTAAGTTTGGAAAAGAAAAAAGAACAAACTAGCATTCCCAAATCTTATTTTCACATTCTGGAAATTTTCCATTAACAACAGAAATTTCTAAATAATTAGTACCAACACCACAACATTACACATTATGATATTATCTCTTAATCAGATCATTCATTTTACTTAGAAAGTCTTATTTAGTAAAATCTAGCTAGCAAAAATGATTATTTCAAATAAACAAAAGGAAAAAAAAAAAAATCCCTACAGATAAGTAACGAACTTAAGAACTCCAAATTGGAAACAAGCCAGCAGAATCAGAATAACACAAAACGAAATCCGAATTTTATTTTCTCGGAAAAAAAAAATGAACTAAGAAAATGGTTGTAAAGTATAAAGATAGAAGGAAACCTGTTCCGTTCATAATAAGGCAAGTCTCTGATCTTAGAGAACTTCTTATCGGCTTTCTCGACGAGAGACCAATATACTTCACTCACTGGAATGTTAGTATTACTGTTACTGCTGCTACTAATATTGGTACTCTCGCTTATAATCTGCTGCTGTGACATTTGTTTCTTTGCAACTTCGATTTAGCCCAAAGTTGTTGAAATTCAGCTCCTCGAATCACAAAACCATAGCCGTGCCGGCGTGTTTGATCGTTCTAGGTCAAATCTTGATCGATGAATTGATCTGGTGGGTAACAATAACAGTACCACAAGTGGACAAATAAAAAAAAAAGGTGAGAAAGGAGAAGATGACGGGTAACGGGATAATTCCGGTGGAGTTGGGGAAAGAAAATCAAAACGGTAACCGGAGCTTGAGGATCAGAAAGTGTAGAGTGGGTCCGAATAATGCCCGGGTTATCCACCGAGTCACTATTATTCCCTGTACGAAAATTAATCTAAGGGTAAATAGCTATTTATTCCCTCAGGTTTCGACATTACTTCGACGTTTTGACACTTGAGTTCGTTAAACTGTGTACTTGTTTTTTTTTTTTTTTTTCAAGGGAAATGTACTCGGGTTTTTTTTCTCTTAAGTGAATTCGATAATCAATTTCAATGATTCGTTAGTAACTTTATACTAATGTGATTACATTATAAGAATGTCTAAAATGATATTTTTCGAAATGAGTACGAGGAATAACTAAATTAATAATTTAATTTATTAAATAAAAAAGCTATGAAAACGATGTTAAAAATTTTAATTTCCACTGATTTTGATCTTCGTTGTTTTAAATGACAATGAAATTTATTGTTATAAAAGTAATTTAAAATTGTTTTCTTGTAGACATGTTTGTTTAAAAAATATAAATTAAATAGTAAAAAATAAAAATAAATTGAGATGTGAAGAGGTCAAGACAGTTTATTCTATTAGCATACCGAGAAGCACTAGTTATAAAAAATTAAATTACTAATTTAATTTATAGGCAATGATAAACTAAAAAATAAAAAATCAGGGCTGCTAAAGGGAAAAAAAAAATGAAGTCAAAAGGACAGTTGATGTTTTTTTTAAGAAAGGAAATGACATTTGATTTTTTAGTTATACAATAATAATTCATTATTTATATATAACAATAATAATTCATTAATTTATATATATATATATACTATATATATATATATAATATGTATAATATGTATATTTTTTTTTTTTTCTAGTTACTTGCTTATATAAGTGAATAATAAATCATAATTTATATTTGTGGTCAAGACTACTCGAAGTTAAGAATTCTCATTAAGTGAAATGAACAATCAGATTATAATTAATTAGCATTAGCTTTGACCCATTTAATTTAGTAGTTTATATCAGCTAATAGCTTATACTAATTGCTGATAGCTTATTATGGTTGTTGATAGTTTATAGCAAATATGTACAGAGATTGTGTTAAAATATACATTACAATAAAACACGTAATTATTTTTATATATTATAATATGTGGTAGTGTGTGTCGGTGTATATATATACATTTATATTTAAGGTGCATCTTTTTTATGTTTAATGTATTATATAAATAAAAACATTAATAATTTTTTTAAATAATAATTTTTTAAAACATTAATATGTAGTAGTGTGTGTCGGTGTATACGTATACATATATATTTAAGGTGTATCTTTTTATGTTTAATGTATTATATAAATAAAAACATTAATAATTTTTTTAAAATAATAATTAATTAATAATTTTTTCAATAATAATTAATTAATAATTTTGATTTTTTAAACACTATAGAATCAATTGAAACTATAAAAAAATAATCAATAGTTATTTTTTAAAATTATGAAGTTTTAATATTTTTAAAATAATAATTAATTAATAATTTTTATTTTTTAAACACTATAAATAAATTGACTATAAAAAATAATCAATAGTTATTTTTATAAAATTAATGAAGTTTAAATATAATATAAATACAAAATTTATCGGCTAATATGAAAATATTTCAAAACATAGCTAATAGCTAATAGAATAACAATTGATTATTCAGACTTTTCATGAGCTATTAGTAGATTAAAAAATCTATAAGCTATCAGGACATTAAAAATTTTATACACCATATAATCTTGATAAGTGATTTTTAGCTTACAATTGTGATTGATAAAAAAATCTTCCCCTAACAAATTTTTATTTTTGTTATAGTCAAATAGACTAGAGTTGTGCATGTATTTATTATGATAAAATTATAAATGTGTTATCATATTATGTCAAAATTAATTGCATTATATTTATATTTTTTAAAATATACTACTTTGTTTATATATTTTGATTTCGTTTAACTATTCAGTCATTCTGCCAATATTTTTTATTTTTCCCATTAAAAGGCTTATGAAATGAAATAAACACCATTACCTCCCTATTAAATTTGCATTTTGTACCACAAAAAGCCTAAATTCAGTAGAAAATTCTCTTTAAAATTAAATTTTAACTATCAAGTGTCCAGAAACTAAACTCTAAAATCTCAGGGTTGTTTAGCGACAGAGGGGGAAGGGGAGAAAGAGAGAGATAACAAACAAGAGGAAAGAATATAAGGATATTTCATTCTTTTTCTTTTAAATTCAATAGTAAAAATCGAAAATATTAATGGAATGATTGAATAATTAGACGAACATAAAATAAAAGAGTGTATTTTAAAAAATATAGAGATAAAATGATTAATTTTAATATAATATGTAGACATATTTATAATTTTTTCATTTATTATTTAATAATGCAACCTTTCAAACCAAAATAGGTTCCTTCTTAAAAAAAAAAAAAAAAAAAAAAAAAAAAAACCTTGATCAACACCAAACATAGGTTCCTGATCTTAAAAAAAAAAAAAAAGGAAAAAAAAAACAAAATAGGCTACTATTATAATTGCAAGGTTGCCCACGCGTAAAAAAAAAAAAAAAAAAAAAAAAAAAACAAAATAGGCTCTATTATAATTGCAGGTGGCCCACGCGTGAGGCAAATTTGATAGACTTTATCTCCGAGACATTGTCAATATTAATATAGAAATAAAATAAATAAATAATTGACAGTGATAGCTATGGATTCTTTTTATTTTTTTAGGAAACAAATTTAATTTTTTAAATATCAATATATGTACTCTATTATTAAAGACTACTCCGTTCGACTTAAGATTGAACATTTTTTTTTTTTTATTTACCCTAAAGAGTATTTTCAAATCAATTTTATTTAATTTTTTTTTTAATTTTCAAATCAATCCATTTTTTTTATGCGGCGGTGATCAATAAGCTTATTGATGGTCATTATTTTTTGTTATTCGAATTTTTTTTATACATGTCTGAAATAGTGTTGCCATATTTTATGATTATTTAATCAAGTGTAAATATTTTATAGTAAAAAATATATTGATTTATATTTTTTATTTGTATATGTGCTCTCTTTAATAATAATGAGTTTTGTTTCTTTTAAAAACATCAATTTTAATTATAAATGAATATATTATTAAAATATCATTAATCAAATTCTAACAATGAAGATAAATCCTCCTTAAAAAATTAGATACGAAATAAAATTTTTAATTTTAAATTGATTTAAACTCCTCTTTGTTGAAAAAGTATGAAAACGATTCGACTCCTCTTTTTTGAATCAAGTATGAAAACGGTTCGACCCAAGTCTCAAATTGCCAATTTAACACGATTCCACAATTCCCAAGTCTAAGACTTTCGTTTCGTTTAGTCGTCAGTGTCGCATTAATGGAAAAAATGCCTCCAACCACCAACACTTGACTTTACTAACCAACTCACTATGTTCTCTCTTTCTCAATAAAACCTACTCACATATACACCTGTTAATGGATCTGTAGCCTTATGATTTGGGCATCTTTCTGTTATTATCCTCCTCAATAAGAATCTTTTTCTCTCTCCGCTTTTCTTCTTCTTTCTCTCAATTAGGTACGCTTTTCATTTCTGCTATTCCAAATCAGTATCCTGATTATATACAATGATAACGAACTTTTGAAATTTGTAATTGTTGGTTCTCCCGAACTCGTTGCAGCTACTTTTGAGCTTTAGATTAGAGGAATTTGATGATGCAGAATGTGAAATTTTGAATTCGTTTTCGCATCTCGTTTTCTTTCTTTGAATTCTGACTAGAACGACTATGTTGACTTGGATTTTCTTGGCAACCAAACAGAATCTTGCACTTTCTACGTGTTTGTTTATATCCATATCTATTTCATGTCTGTATACAGCTTTTTGAGAATTGCTTCACGCTATTTGTACGTATACTTCTATGATCCTTTTCCATTATTCTCTGTTTGTACTTTTATTCAATTTCTTTCAATTTTGCTGGATGGTTTGTTGATATATTAATTGCATCATTTCATAATATAAAAAAGAATAAATGACCAGGTTATATGTCCTGTTTGTTAGGTGTCTAATAAATGATAAGTTGTTGACTGCAATCACTATGTGCGATGCACCTTTTTTTTTTTTTTTTTTTTAAATGCCAGGATTATATGTCCTAGTTTTGTTAGGCGTGTCTAATTATATTGGAAATAAGATTGTTGACTGCAAATCACTATGTGCGATGCACCTTTTTTTTTTTTTTTTTTTTGTTGAATTGATTTTGTAATCCAAGTGTATGAATGAGGGCCCTCCTTTTTTTTTTTTTTTTGTTGAATTGATTTGTATCCAAGTGTATGAATGAGGGCCTGAGAGTTATGAATCGAATAATTTATTCAAGTTATGTAACCTGTATTTAATAGAATATATCTTCTTCGATGAGATTTTCTTTGGTTCTTGCGTGAAAATTATTGTTAATTTTTTTTTTTTTTCAATGGCATCAGATTTGGTTGAGTTTTGACTTTGTAGTTGTGGCAACTCACACCATTTTGGGGGCAGGAACTTTTTAAGCAATTGTTGTACCTCCTGGACAATGAGAAAGCAGGGAATAAAATGAGGTAAAATGCATTATTTAGTTGGTGATAATGGAAAAACTAAGATTTCATGCTGTTGAAGAGAATATTGAGGTGGAACTAAGCCAATGCAATGTCTTCCAGTGGAAACTTTACGCAAGGGCTTAACAATAATGGGGCTCAGACTCAAAGCTCTGACTCTATAAATAGGTATTGCCTAGACTGAGACTGCGAGAAAGAAGCATTTCATGCAAATTATAATGTGAATATCACGTCAATATGATAGACTGAAATCCACGCAGTCAGCTATAAGGCTTTGTATGATATTTCAGTTGAAGTGAATGCTTGTCTTGCTTAGCAGGCATAATATTGAAGCACATAGTTTACAAAGGAGGTTAAATGGTGATGGCAATGGCAATTTCATTCATTTTGAAGACAGAGAAGCAATGGTATTTTTACTTTTCACTGCTTCTGTGAAGGAATTTTTTTTTCCAAGCTTAATGGTTCCCTTACACAATTTAGTTTATCTAGGAGCTTTATTCACGAGTTAGAGCACAGAAAGAGGAGATCCAGATTCTTCGTGAACAAATTGCAGCTGCCTGTGTGAGGGTACAACATGTTTCTCAAGGCCTCTGCCCTTCCATAGAGATAATTATACGGCTACTGCATTATGAAGTTTCTGACTTAATTAAAATTGCATTGGTCTCTATGGTGTCAGGAACTGCAACTGCTGAATGAAAAATATGTATTGGAGAGAAAGTTTTCTGACTTGCGAATGGTTTGTATATTCTGGAAAATATATTTTTTATTCATACCCTCATCCTGTGTCCATTCCAAGCTTGATCATTGAATCTGGTTTATCCTTTTGTGGCCTAGATTATGAAATGATATTATTTTGGTGACAGGCAATTGATGAGAAGCAAAATGAAGCTATTACGTCTGCTATGAATGAATTGATTCGCAGAAAAGGAGATCTTGAAGAAAATTTAAAATTGGCACATGATTTGAAGGTATACTATGTCCAAAATTATGCTTCTTCATTTGTTTTTCAATACAATCTATGTATTTGTTATACCTCAATCTATTAGGGACATAATCACGTTTCAACCCAGGGAGAAGAATTGTGAAATAGTATTGCACAGCACAAGAGTGAAGGAACCAAATATTACAGATAGAGAGTAATAGATTGAGGAAACACTATTAAACTTTATCCCTATTATGCTATCAAAACATAAGATTTCATTGTTCTCCCTCCTGCTGCTAAGAAGGAGTTCTCTTTCTAATGACTCCCTTGGCTTCGCAAAAACTAGAGATAAGCCTGTATTAATGCAATATGTGGACCACATGGAACTGTGCAAAGTTTGATCTAAACCGCTTTGACCTTCTGGAACTCTGCCTGAATCTAAAGAAGAAAAGAAGCATGAACCAAGAGTATCTGCGAAATCAGGTTTACTACAAGACATCCTTATGGCATTTAGAGGCTGCAGGAGGCAGTGAAGTGTGGACTTTTGTGGCAATGTGAAATTTAGGCAATTTATAAAAATTTCAGTAGGGAAGGAAGTAGTCTTAGCTGGAATAAAATTAATTTAGGGGATTTACTATAATAACCTTTTAGAAGTTGACCTAAAATAGCATTTATATTTCAAAATTTTGTGCTGCCCCTACGACCAAGATATGAGTTGCTAAAACAACGGCTGTCGGAGTCAGTGAAGTCTTAAACTTGAAGTTCTACAATATACATGGATAGGAATAGGAGATGTAAATAGCCATTGATTGGGCATTATAGTTGAACAGAATGTCAAATTTTTATTTTCATTTCCACTTAAATTATTGATAAACACATATATGCATACCCTTTTGAAAACGCTTTTATTTCCTTACCGTGGTAGTTTCCATTTCCTTATTTTCTCAGTTTTTTAATAAATCTGCTCGAATATGAGTGTGCTGATGTGTCATATCTTTAGGCTGTAGATGATGAGAGATATATTTTCATGTCATCCATGCTTGGCTTGCTGGCTGAATATGGAGTTTGGCCCCACGTCATAAATGCTTCTGCTGTATCGAGAAGTGTAGAGGTATTAACAATTTATTTCACAAGTCACATATATCTGACGAGTGGAGTTAGATCTGTAAGATGCATTATTCCTTAATCAATTTTTCTGATTCTTTTTCTTGGCTTTAGAAATGCATGATTATTATTTTTGTGTTGAACAGCTATTATGCCACAAACAAATTATTCTGCTTTGCCTTCTTTGCAATCTGCAATCTACTTTCAAATGTGTACACATTTATATGCATAACATTCATTAGAAGTAACTGAATAACCATGTAATAAGAAAGAAATGGTACCTTTCATGTAACTTGAGACATTTATTATTTATTGATGTAAAATGCACATGTGGTGATTAACACATAACGAAATTCCCTTGTTTTTTTGACATGTATCCCCAACCTAGTGGTCGAGACCTAAGACCTATGCATTGAAATTTCAAGTTTTAATCCCTACATCCCTTAGGGACCCCCTGTTTTATCATTGAATGTAATGTCTATATTATATGAGTTCAGCAATTAGGGTGTTTCTAGGTCAAACTTTGAACAATCAATACTGATGACTGTTATTTGATAGTCTTCATTTTAACTCCTGTTTGTTCTCCCATTGGTTGGTAGGCATACATGATATTAGAGAATTATTTATTCATATTAAAATGCATGCGTCTCATTTACTTATACCAAATTTGACTTGCCTTTCCTTCTCATGATTTTCTTCAGTGCCTACATGATCAACTTCAGTCGAAGATCAGGAATTCACACGTAAGCTTTCAATAGTGTATGTTGAGTTCATTAGAATTGTTAATCACTATTGGATTTGCCACCATAACATTAGAAATAGTAATCCTGAGTTGACTCTACCATTGGAAAGTAATTTCCTCTCTATGTGCCTGCATGTATAATTTGGTGGATAAGTTTTCACTGATACCAAAGATGGACAAGTTTAATGCCCGTTTAAATGAATTTATATGGGTTCTGTGGCACAAAGATCTCCCATTTGAAAAGCTCGATGTCCAATGAATTAACACTGTGTACTCAATTTATCGTGCTTTAATCATGGAATAATGTGCTACTGCACAAAAATTTAAGATAAAAGGTATGCTGTAATCTTGGAGACAATAGAGTTAATTTTTTGACTTCATTTTAGTGGTCATTTGGTTTGTGGCAACTTTAAAAAGCTAGAGGAACTCCTCTTATGTTATGGGACAGTAGAAGCAATATTTGTCCTTGCAGGAAAAGGAACGAAGACTATCCGTCAAACTTACTCAGTGTTTTCTCCTTAGTTTTACTTATGATCATTCTACATTTAGTATTTCACATATACATAATCTCCTATGATCTTGATGTCAATTAAACGGCTTAAATGCTTTATCCACTTATGTAATTTATGCTATATATATATATATATATATATCCTCATTATTCTGGAAGGTTTAATTTTTAAATGCTTCTACCCAAAAAAGTGCAACCTTGTTTTGAAGTTGTGCATCTTAGATTTGCAGATTTAACTACTTATTCTCAAACTTGCAAATATATCTCATGTATCAAGCATTGCTTCTCTATCCAGGGGGTGTTATTACAGAAATGTTTTTGCTTTCAAGTAGTAAATCTTTTTCATGGTCAATCCTTAAATTGTAATGTTGAGATTATTATTTTTTATCATGAATTTTATCCTATCAAGACTATGCTATAACTGATAATTTTGTCCAATTGGTTAGTTGAATATTTATTACCGGCATGGATTTGCAATTATTGCAGGATAGGATCAGAGAGCTAGTGGTGGGTGCTTATGGTGAGAGTGAATCTCATGATAAAGGTAACACTGGTACTGGCATCCTAATGCGTCAGGTTCCTCATCAATCCACGGTACTGCTGTCATGTAATCTACTTGTTTGCTATGTCACCATTTTTTGTTGTCTCAATTAGGCTTTATAATTTTTTTGATATTTTTCTTTACTGTTCCTCTCTCTCTCTCTCTCTCTCTCTCTCTCTCTCTCCTATCTATCTATCTATCTCTTTATCTCTATCTGAATGCAGAGTCAAAATGGAATTTCTCCTTCTAAGCTCAATGTAGATGATTGGCAGCCAGAACCAACTGACAAAATAATGAGATATAGGCGTGAAATTGACATGGAAGATAAAACAAGGTTAATTCTTAATAATGAGATGCATCAGCAGTTAAATGGGAACAATTTGCCGGAGTTTTCATTTGATCCTTCTAGGTTGGTACTACTTGCCTGCTTTCAGTTTAGTGGTGCCTATCCTTTCATTTCATGGTAAATTATTGCTACATGTATTTTGCAGCCAAATATAATTTGTAAAATATTTTTAGTTTGTTATAAAAATTTTATAAAGTGTAGGAGTAAATATGTTGCATTACAGCATTAAGTTTTTATTTTCTTCTCCTGTTGTGTATTAGGTTGGTTCTTCCTTTTCTTTAATACCTTTTTGTGCTCTCAATAATCCACAATAAAAGAAAGGTGATTGTTCAAGACTTTCTCTGCACTGTTTAGGAAGCTATATATTTAGTCATTATGCTATAAGTCTCAAAACTAGTCTTATTATGTTATGTTCTACATATAACCTGAAACTGTAGTTTTTAAAATTTTCTGCTACCTTTTTTTAGCTTGACTCTAAACACCATACTTTTGGCTACTAAAAATGAATCAATTGTGTGAAAACATTTTTGAATCTGACAATTTGTTTGATGTGCTATAATTTGTAGGTCAATTTCCTCTAAGTGCTTATCATTCATGCAATATGCAATTCAACTAAGTAGTATTTGTATGTTAGTGGTTGAGCTAAATGAATACTTCTCCTCCATCAGGCTCAGTTTTGAGATACATTTTAGACAGGACCAGTTATGCTGTATCCTTTATTTACCATTTTGCCTCAGATCATTCTTGTTCTACTTCTCAACTTTTCACTATTATAATTTATATATGGTATCTTTCTACTGATACATTTACCTACTAATATGCAATGACATCGGGTGCCTCTTCCATTTCTATAGGAATATATTGATTTCTTATATGGTTCTTTAGTATATTTTAATTGCATCCGCTCTCATCTCTGTCAGACTGCCACACTCATTTTCTAGACATATAGTTCTTATATGGTTCTCTAGTCTATTTTCATTGACAAATGCTCAGTATCATACATTATTACCAGCCACATAGCAGTTCTGTAGAAATTGTCCTTCAACTTAGTAGGGATTATAACACTTCGAATATTTTTCTTGTTCAACCATCATGAGTGTGATCTTTTAACAGATGTTCCTGTAAACGATAAATTATTGTTACATCATTGAATTTTTCCTAATTGGACTTATTTTTAGTTTATAGGTTTACTTGTAACTTACCAATAAATGTTTCTTGCAGGAAGGTTGCTGGTCCTCTCTCCGATAGTTTGTTCGATAAAGGTGTCATAAATGCGAGAACTGGAGATATGAACAGGGACATGCTGTATAGCACACATGATGACATTGCTTCCTCTGCTGCTGAAGGTGAGGGTTTTTATCAGAAACAGGTTCACAACCACTTGTTCAACAATTGAATAAGACTTGCTGCATTTCAGAGGGTCCTGGAATAGACTGGTTTCAGATTATTGGTGACGCTGCACCCGGAGAAAAACTCCTTGGCTGTGGGTACCCTGTGCGTGGAACTTCTCTCTGCATGTTTCAGTGGGTTCGCCATCTTGATGATGGAACTAGGCAGTATATTGAAGGTAAGAAACGAACTGGATTTTTTCCCCTCATAATGTTCATATTTTTTATTGAAAGTTTATTATCTGTGTAAAACTTGATGGGAATATTTGACTCAGGAGCCACAAATCCAGAATATGTTGTCACCGCTGATGATGTTGATAAGCTGATTGCTGTTGAGTGCATACCGATGGATGACCAAGGCCGTCAGGTTAACTAATAGAAAGTGATTTTTGTTGGTCTGCAAACAAGCATTACAAGCATTTTTCTTTGTCATGAAAATTTAGTTCTAATGTTATTGTGAAGAAAAACCTAGTCTTGAAATGCATTCAATTCCAAAAGAAAAAAGAAAAACCTCTGAAATCAAATTACTTTATATAGGTGTTCCTGGTTCGATATCCATATGTTTCTTAAGAGGTGATACATCACTGGTTTCATTATAGTCAAAGCACCATATCCGTACAAAACATTCCTGAGAATGTTGTACCAAATCTTTTGATTGACTTTGCAAATCTTTGTTGCATGTAGCTTTGATGCAGTCAAGATTTATACAACTAATTCGTTGGCTTGTAATAAATTATCTTTTTTTTATCACCATGATATGCAACGACTTGGCTGCCTAAAAGCTTTCCATTATTCTCAATCTCGGTGATTTGAAGAAGTAGGCATATGAAGTACAGAAAGTCATAGCCTTCTATATCTATAAAGATAGCCTATCCTACCAGCCTAATAGCTTTTCAATCCATGTTTTCCATTGAGGCTGCTCACCTTTTGCCTGCCGCATGAATGAAGAGTTCCAAACGGAGAATCATGTCCACACTTATTTGTACACAGACTGTAGTCATTCACGAATTCAACAGTTCTCTGTGACAATGACAGCTAATTATGCACCAAGAATCATGAATTCTCCAAACTTGTAGCAAGTGGTCATGCTTGTTGTTTTAATACTTTTGCACACCTTTTGATTTGGATATGCACTGTGGTGCTCCTCACCATCGACAAATTTTGAACATCAAGTCCTCGCTTATGCTTCCATTGTTGGAATTTTTGTACTCAATTCACTTGTGTTGCTGAAATGAAATTTCTCTGTTTTCCACTTTCTATAACTTTGACTTCTAGCATTAGCTAAGTTTCAAGTGAAAAATAGACAAATTTTTTGGTATTTATGATGATTGGGGATCTCTTTCCTCTTATTATTTATGGCAAATTGTTTATTCTAACAGGGAGAACTGGTGAGGCTTTTTGCTAACGATCAGAACAAAATAAAATGTGGTAAGTGTGTCTGAAATTTATAAGTGTCTGTTGTACCTAAAGATCCTTGAAAATAACTAAGAAGTTAATTGACAGTTGACAGTGACTGGTCTTAGGGCATCAGTCCAGTATATTTTCTGTTTGTTTCTGTTTTTATAGCATTAAAAAATTTGTTGAAAATTAAATAGAATTTTGTGCATTCACATTGAAGGTTTTACTTGCTAACGTTTTTTTTCCCCTTTAATAAGTGTTTTTGTATTTTGATACCTGTATTCTAATGTATAAGATGTCTGATTTGTAATAATCTATTGGATCATGAAGTACAATAACCATGTTTCGTATTTTTGTTGATAGTTTTCACAAGATTGTGATGTTTGTGTTACATCTATGAAATTTTTATTGAATTTATGAAAATGGAATATCTAATCAACTTACTTCATTCAACAAGGAAATTACAGAATTTGTGGAATTTAATGGTGCATGGACTTATATGCCTTTTGGTTATATTGGTGTTAAATATTATTTCAAATAAAAAACAGAAACTTTTCTGTTGTGGTATTGTTTGTGGGAAGCAGAGTGTCACTAGCTGTTGTGCGGTTCATTGATGAGCAACAAAAAAACAATTGCATTCTGCGAGCTTTTATTATTTATGCTTCTGTCATGTACTAACATATTGATTGAGAAGGCGATAGAAAATTCGTATTGACTAAAAAGCACTGTTTCCTTAATAGTCGTTGGTGTTTATTTCAATTCTGTTGTAAACATGTTCTACTTATATTGTTGTCGACTTTGCTTCTGTGTGTCGTATATTTGGACAAGTTTCTAAAAGCTGCTTCTGTAGACCAAGACATGCAGCAGGAGATTGACACATATATTTCTAAAGGCAAAGCCACATTTAGTGTTCAGTTACTGGTAGGTTTTCCTTGCTTTTATGAAATTATCTTTTTAAATTAGCTCTTCAATTCATTTATTTCCAGAGCGGTTCTAAACTATTCGCGATTATCATGTTTCTTTTCTCTTAGTTCCTATATGTTATCAGCCAATTTTGTGACCATATATATTTAACTTCCCTGTACAGCCAGACTCTTCTGACAACTGGGAGTCAGCAACTTTAATTTTGCAACGATCAGGTTACCAAATAAAGAGCTTGAGTGGCGAAGTTCTTCTGATTGCAGAGAAATTTTCGAAGAATTTATCAGTATGTTCTTAAGATTCCAATATTGTGTCGTTTTCATCTCCTTTTCTTAGAGGAAGGGGGCTGTCGGGGGGAGGGTAGGTCTGTTGGAAATGCAAATCAACCTGTTTGAGCGTGGTCCTATAACTGATGACATGTCTAATTGACAAATTTAGTGATTTCAATTTTATCAAGCGGATCTTAAAATGAAAATCTTTTTTAGCTGATAAATATCCTTTATATGGTGATAATAACATGATATGCCTCCTGCTCTGTTCACTGGACTCAGAGTCCCAAATATATATATATATATATTTCATAGAACAATAAAACAACAGTAGATCTTGTGAAGAATGCAGAGTAAAGGAATTTTTAAATATATTTATTGGAAGTCCTCTGAGTTTTAGTTAGGATGTAAAAGAACAAATGCCTCCAAGGGTTTAATCTTTTGAATAGAAAACATTCTCTAATCCTCTATTTTTGTTGACATTGCAGATCAAAATTCCTTCTGGACTCTCAACACAGTTTGTTTTAACATGTTCAAGTGGATCTTGTCATCCTCTCAATACATATAGTGTTCGGTAATAATCGATTGACATTAAATAGTTCTATTTTATTTAGTTTAATTCCAAAATTTTTGGTTCTTGTTTGATAATAGGCTTTTCAACATATTTTGTTAAAATAATGAAGCATGTCAAGGGGGCTTATACTAATGGCTGTCTTTATTTTTTAGCATGATCTCCTATGCCATTAAGAATCAAAATAATTCTAATGGAAAAATATAATAATCAGCATTAATGTTCTAACGAAAAAGGGAGACTTAGAGAAAAGCACTTATTGCATGCACTGTGTATTGGACTTGCCGAAGATTTTTTTTTTTTTTTTTTTTTTTTCAACGAAAAAAGGGAGTATAAGAGAAAAAGCACTTATTGCATGCACCTGTGTATTTGTACTTGCGAAGATTTTTTTTTTTTTTTTTTTTTTTTTTTTTTTTTTTTTTTTCAATACAATTAAATCAAGTATTTTTCAAAGCAGAGAGTGTTATCAAATTTAGTAAGTTCAGCAAATAATTGGCATCTAGTAAAATTATATTTGTTTCCGCTTATGAAAGCAGTGCTTTTGATGTGATAATGTTTGTATTTTTGGTAGGATGCGGGATACACTTGTATTGACAATGAGAATGTTCCAAAGCAAGGTATCTTTTCTCTCTTGTCAAATTCTACTTGAAAAATGTGCCAATTTCCTTATGTGCTTATATGAGTTGTTTTCTTCACCTGTTGACTTATTGATGTCAAGAACCATAGAACATACTTTCAAGAATGATACCACTTATCATATTATATATATGGATGATTATGACTACAATATCAATTGGGTCTGAAATTCAGCTCTGGGAGTCAGATGTCAACTCCACGGAAATGTTTGACAGAAGCACAACATATTTGAACCATATTTCTGGTCCCTACATCAATGTGATATTAGAATGCATTTCGCTCTTGGGCAAATGCATGGTGTATTGTCCATAGTGTCAGGAAATAGAACAGCTATTCATTTTAGGTAACGCCAGATGGCTGATGTTTGACAACTTCACGTTATTGTGATGGCAAAAGGCAAATATATTAACTCATGATAAACTTTTACTGCTCTAAGACGCGCATATGCTTCAACATCAAGGTTTCAGAGATTATAAGAACTTGGCTAAAAGGGAATCTAGTTCCCTTATGCTAAATTATGCACTCCTTTTTGTTTCTATTTTTCTCTAAGAATCTTTTTTATTCAGAAATCAATTCATTTCATGTTAACAAAATATGAGCATATGCACCTATGCACTTAGAAAAAAAATTTATTTTATTTCCTTTTGATTCTTCTTTTAGGGGGTGGGAGTTGTTGCCGCCTTTTTGATGTGATATCATGGTTTATTTTGACCTTAATGCGTGACATATACCATATGGAACAGGCATTGGATGATAAAAGGAAGGGTAGAGCTTAGAACCTCAAGCCTCTTCGATATTTCAATACAGTGTTTATATTAAAACTCCATTCATGTAGAAGATGAGAAGACAATAAATCTGCAGAAATTTTTCCATCTATGAGACAAAAAAAAAAAAAAAAAAAAAAAAAAAAAAAAAAAAAAAAAAAAAAAAAAAAAAAAAAAAAAAAAAAAAAAAAAGGAAGCATTCATTTGATGGCAAATGTTGTATTATAGATTGTTATTGTCTTTTGTAGATTGCAGATCACACATGCGTAGCATCTAGATGGCAAACTAATAAAGTTCAATGTGTATTTTCTTCAATTTTGCAAACAATGTTATGTAACGGTCCACACAGTTTCTAGATTGGTATAATTCTTTGGTTTGATATTATCTTGTACTGTTGGAAGGAACTGAGTATATGCATTTACTTGTTTTAATGTTTTTTTCTCTTTACTTTATTGTCCCTTGTCGGAGTTGGCACTAATGGGAATTGAGTGCTTAAGAGAAGATTGTGCCAGGGCAGATGAATGCAAATCTGTGATGGGGAGTACTGAACTGATTCTATCATATGTTATGTCTGAAATATTGTAAATTCAAGCTGTATGTTGGTCTTTCGGGTTTTGTAAAATCTGATTTTGGTGGTTCACTAAACGCCAGAGCGAGTTCCGGTGGTATTGGTATGGTGGTCTGCAGTCATTCCAGGGAGTTGATGGCTGTTTCCCCCGCTGCTGTGATTGAAACAATGGCGGGTCGAGAGGCTGTTCGATTCTGCCTGGACTTTGGATTCTTCTGAGAAGGCGATTTCAAGAGGTGGGGGGTTCTTGGAAGGCATGTTGATATTGATAATGTCCATGATCTGCTTAACTAATCAGCTTTGTTTTTCGCTTTTTGCGGCTGTTACTGTCCATGCTCTCCTTCTAGTCCTCCTCTTGTATAGACTATAGATTTAAACTCCTCCAGCTTTCTCAGAGGAGTTTCTCTTCTCTTGCCCTACTTACCCCTTGTTTAGAATAAATAAATTCTACAAAATTTTATGAATTTCATTTTTAAATTCATATTTTTGTATTTGAATTCAATTCTATGAACTCAATTCTAAGAATTGAATATAACTAAATCAAATTCTCTTGGTAAAGGTTTTTTCACTTAAAAAAAAAATATAAACTTATAATTGATCATCTTAATTAGTGTCCTGTTTGGTGAGAAACTCGCTCTACTGGAACCCCGCAAAATACATGTTCGTTTCTTTCTTTCTTTCTTCTTTTTTTCTTGGGTAAAAAAAATACATTTTCTTCTTTAAATGATTTAACTCTTTTTTATTTTCCATGGTTATATTATAGGAGAGGGAGAGACTTGAACCTGGTCATTTGAAAATGCAAGAGTCGTCTTTCATTGGGATCCACCAGAAAGGCAGAAACGATTTAACTTAATAATAATAATAATTGAAAAATGTGAAAGGACAATTAATTAGTTTATTAGCATCATCTAATCTAATGATTAAATTCTAATGTTAGGGTGATGGACTCTGGATCACAGGTCAGTAGTATCAATCTTAATTAATTTCTTCTTATACGAGTGAAAACTGATAGATGATGTCACAATGCAGGCCAACCGATTCAAGACCTCTCAAGTTAATTATTCTAAATGGTTGTTTTTTTTTTTTTTTTTTAAATCTGTTGTTTTTTTTTTTTTGGTGTGTTTGTTCGTTCAAAAGAGCATTGATTAGGCCACTAAGAAAAACCTTTGTTTTTTTTTTTTTTTTTTTGTCGTTCAAAGAGCATGATTAGCCACTAAGAAAAACCTTTGTTACCCACCAAGTTACCAAACAGGGTGTGACGTGGAATTATTTTTCAGTCTCTTAGAAAAAAAATGAGAGATTTGTATTTTGAGAAAATAAAATTAATTGATTTTTTTAAATGGTTTTGTAACTATTTTATTTTTTTTAATTTCGTTAATATTATGCTAAGAAATTACTCAAATTTGAGCAAAATGATTAGAGTGCTTTAAGAACTATTAAAGAACCACTTATTGCCAATAAAATGTGATTTAATTGATCATTTTATTTATATAATTTATATAAAAAGTGGGAGGCCAAGTTGTACGGTAATTTCACGTCACGCCATCAAAATTCTAAAACCAAAGACAATACACATGCTTGCACGTGACTGCAATGCGTCAAAGCAAATCTCACATTCCATTCCCACGTGTAAACTTCCATAACATGGCAAGATTCAATTGGTTGGGTGGCTTCCACAAGAAAATGCAAAGAGAGGCCGCAGGCGACTCGCCCACACTTCACCAACCAGTTAAAGCTTAGACGGTACTTCGCCAATTAATTAAACAAAACCCTAAATATAGTCAACAAACCATCATCTTGCAATCAAACCAAACCAAGAAAACGGTACTTGCTTAAAATGCGAACCATCTAATTTAGAGGACCTCTTTATTTTCTTTCGGATTATAAAGGAGTGGTCGATAATAATTTTTTAAATTTTATAAATCGTGTTTGAATTAATTTTTATAAAATTAATTCATTTAATATTTAATTTTTAAAATTTTATTAAAAAAATTCAAATAATTAACGCTGTTAAAATAAAATAGTTAATTTTATTTAAGAAGCCCGTGAAATATCTAGACTTTCAAATCATTTGATAATAATTGAATTAATAAAATTTTAATTTAAAAATATTAAAATTATTTTTAAAATTCTAAAATTGTGAGAGTAGATATACACTAAATTTAACGCCGTAAATAAATCGAGCCGAGCTATATTGTATTCTAATCCCGGTGCTTAAAAGTATATTTGGATCTAAACAAAATTAGTAAGAAAAAAGGAAATTGAAAACACCCAAAGAGAATAAATCAATAAAGCAAAAGATAAGGAGAGAGAGAGACACAGACACACACTCACCAACTCCCCATCTCCTCTACTTTGCTTCCCTTCCCATCCAAGCCTCTGTCTCACTCTCTTTCCCTCTCTCTTTCTTTCAGACACTCTCTCTTTCTAGGCTTAACCTCTGTAAAAATATTGAGCTAAGCAAACCAACCTTAGAACTTGTTTGCAAAATTATACAACAATGGGTTCTGTTGGGAACCAAAATCCTTGGTCGCCATATGATACTGCTTATAGAGATTGCTCCCAAGGAATTTGTAGCATATATTGTCCACAATGGTGCTACATAATCTTCCCTCCTCCGCCTCCTTTTACTCTCGGCGATGATGATTCCGGCACTGATTTTTCTCCTCTAATTATAGCCGTTATCGGTATCTTGGCTAGCGCTTTTATTTTAGTGAGTTACTATACTATCATTTCCAAATATTGCAGACGCCGAGGCAGCCACCCTGAGAATACGATGGAATTGGATGGGAATCGCGACCAAATCAGTAGTGAAGCTTGGCAAAGCATCAATGGCGGATTGGATGAGTCTATTATTAAATCAATTACTGTTTGCAAATACAAAAAAGGTGATGGGTTTGTTGATGGCTCTGATTGCTCTGTTTGCTTAAGTGAATTTCAAGAAAATGAAGACTTAAGATTGTTGCCTAAATGTAGCCATGCATTTCATCTTCCTTGTATTGATACTTGGTTAAAGTCTCATGCCAGTTGTCCTCTTTGCCGTGCCAATATCGCTTCTACAAATTTTTTACCACCGCCGGAAACTCAAGAAGCTCCTCCTCCGCCAACTAGCACTACTACTACGGCTGCCCATGAATATCAACATATAGTGAACGATGCCGTTTTGGTTATTCAAGATTGCGAAGAACCTTTGGTTAGTCTTGTTAATGTTAGCCGTGGCGGCGGCGGCGGAGATATGCCAAAGCCTGCAATTCAAGATTTGGAATTGAACAGACAAAATATGGAAAACGAAAATATTCTTGAAATTAGAGATGATCCTATTATTCAACCAATTAGAAGGTCAGTTTCATTGAATTCTTCTCTCTGCCATAACCAAGTTTCAATTGCTGATATACTATGCATTAGTGATGATGAAGAAGAAGATGATGGAATTAGAGAAACAGAGAATAATAATAGAATTGGGATCTTCAATATGGTGAGAAGTCCTCCAGCAATGAGAAGATCATTTTCGACGGGAAGATTCATGTTCACAAGGTATGAGAAAGACAGGAGTTCTATGATATATTCCTAATTGAATGGACATAATTTTTTTTTTCTTTTTCTTTTTCTTTTTCTTTTTCATGTGTAAAACCATAATTTTCTTCTTTCTTCTTCTGTAACATAACTAAAAAATTAATATAGAAAATTGACGGTGAAGATTCCTTATTTGTAGGCTTATAGGGTTTTGAATTTTGATCAATGAAATCTAATATGCTTCTTGAAACGATGATTCTTTTATAGTTTTAAATTTTATGGCGTGTTTAACCGTAGAAAACTAGAGCAGTTCTCAGAGAAAAATTTTCCAAAAAAAATTGGAAAACAGATATTTTTGTGTTTAAGTTAATTAGTTTTCTATTTGAAAATTTTAAAAACAGTTTTCTAATTTTCCAAAAATTAGCTAAAGTTTGAAATACGTTGTTTTCCACTGTTTTCCTTTATTTCCAATAGTTTTCCATTTTATGAAATGATATTTTCATAATTGACATATAATATTTATAAATAATTTTTTCTATAAAATATTTTTATTGAATAAATAAAATATTTAAATAAGACATATAATATTTTAAATTAATTTTTTCTATAAAATATTTTTATTGAAAATAAAATATTAAATAACATATAAAAATTATTAATATGCTTTAATATATAATTAATTTTATTGATTACATATATATTATGTCCTTTAGGTTTGTAAAAAATTTTTCAAAATAATAAAAAATTATATTATTATTATTATTATTATTAATAAATTAATCAATAATAAAAAATTTAAAAAAAATTTCTAAAGTTAGTTATAATATTTTATTTTAATGTCTTTGAAAGTTATGAATAATGTTTGTTGAACGTTTTAAATAAAATTACGATTTTTATATTGTTTATCGACGTGAACATAAATAATCAATAATAAAAATTTAAAAAAATTTCTAAAGTTAGTTTATAATATTTTATTTTAATTTTGAAAGTTATGAATAATGTTTGTGAAGTCTTTAAATTAAAATACGATTTTTATATTGTTATCGAGTGAACGCATTTTTAATTTTCATTTTCTAAGAAAATAGAAAATAAAAAATAGAAAATTTTTTTTTCTGCAAGTAAACACATTCTTAATTTTTCTTCCTATATTTATTTGGATTCTAAAAATATATCAAATGAAAGTAATCATAGCTTATTTTTTTCATATAAAAAAAAATATGGGTATCAAAGACAAAACCTAAACTATCAAAATTATATTTGGTAAGGGTACATATGGTTTTTGCTTTTATTTTTCATTGTAAAAGAAATTTTTATTATCAAAATTATTTTTATTATTTGATGTTTTAAAATTTTTTAAAAAATAGTAATCACAATAAGACAAAATCATAATCAGTGTGTATGTTTCTTTAATTTCATCAACCCCTTTTACACAATATAAATTTTTAATATAGAAAACATAAATTAAAAAATAAAAAATAATACCAAACCCTAATTTTTTTTTCAAAACAATTTATGTGTTTATGGATATATCAGTGAGCAAATTCATCTACTACTCAAACTATGTTGCTTATCAAGACTAATGAGCAACTCAACTTGCACAATTCCTTCTTTCCCTTTAACTATTTATCTTTAATTTTTTTTAAATTCATGTCTATTTATTATTTTATTAGATGTGATAAAATAAAAAATTTATAATTAAAGACTATTAATGGAGCAAATTTTAATTCTAATTCAATGGACTTTTCAAATACTTATGATTAATTTAAAAAAAAAAAATATTAGTTGTTATATGAGTATTCCTTTATTCCATGGCTTTTAAGGACTGTTAGGATCCTGGTAGGGAATTTTTTTTTTTTTTTTTTACTTCTTTTTCTATGATTGGACACTTTAACTTTAGGTTTTCAATTTTTAGTTGGCAGATCTTTAAGAGAAGATGCCAGCTGTATACAAGCCCAAAAGAAGCAAAAACAAAAAAGTTAAAGCTGATAATGAGATTTTAGCTTTGCTGCTTTCACTTTGAAAATACACAACAAGATGACATCTAAGTTGCACCTATTTCTATTAGAGGGTACCTTTGGAAAACTATTTACTATTCAAGCAAATACATTACCCATTAGTGGAGAAAAAGGACATTCAATAGGAAAAAAAAAAAAAAAGAAAACACTAATTATCAATCAAATTTAAAAGGGTTAATTAAAAAAAATAAAGTTTAGGCTGATCTAATATATGCTTTAATTTATATTGTTTTAAAATTAATAATTTTTATCTATTACTATAATGCATTCCATGATTTAAAAAATTGTCAATATTGATTATTTATATGCAATTTATCATAATATATATACAAATTTGAAGGATTAAGATTTTCTCATGTTTGTATAAATAAATTTATCATGTTTATGCAATCCCAACCATTGATTTATTTAATAATGGGCTTTTGAGATTTTTTTTAAAAAATTAATTTTGAAATTTTTACAGAAGATGATTACTTTTTAAATAATGAAGCTAATAATGGTTTAGTATAAAATCAATAGTTTTGATCGGATGAGAACATCAGAAAATTTCAATTAAACTTTGAAAGCAATTCATCACCAACCCTGTTTGAAAACACAAACCTAACTTCAAAGACTTTGTTTAAAATCAACTGTTTTGATAACTGTTAACAATTTTAGTAGCGTTTAATTGTTAGTTATTTGAGCAGCTTTTCATAAAATACTAAAAACTAAATATTGCACGAGTAAACTTTTTTATAGAACGTTATATTAATATCTAAAAGCTAATTCAAACGTTATGTTACAGAACATTATAAAGAATAGCGTTTAGCAATTCGACTAGTCAAAATCCTTAAAGCTACCTAAAAAGCTGTTACCTAACGCAACCAAAATCTCAATTCCCAAGGTTAAATAGACTATGACAGCCTTGGGCAACAACTTTTGAAATAACTTTTAAGTTTTGACTAAATATTATTTTTTTATAGTGTTCAGTACCATAATATTTGAACCAACTTTTAGAGATTAAGATAACATTTTGTAAAATGTTAATCTATAATATTTAGCTTTTAGCATTTTCTGAAAAACTACTCAAACAACTAAAAGTTGTTAAAACAATTAACAATTTCCAAAACATTTAATCTTACCGAAGAGGTGATAAAAGAATTCAAAATTTTTTTACAACCAATGTAAAATTAAGAAATTAAAAGGGCTTTTTTTAAAAGCAAAGTTTTAATAGGGGCCCAATTTATTTATTTTTTTTCTTCTTGTAAGGGAAGAAACAAATAATTTCAGTTGCCCTCTAAGTTGAGCAACCAAATTTTAGATAGCGGCAAGCAATCTAGCTAATACTCTAATCTCACTTTCTGCATCTACTTGGAGAAAGCTCCAGCAGGGGACCATTTACTACAAATAATGGTTTGAAGTAGACATGTTTCTTAATGGATTTGGCTTTTTATACTTAATTAAAAACCCTTATTTCATAGTTTTCAATTTATTTCATAATTTAGATTCGAAATTTTCCATTAAAATGTCTTAAATTTGGACATTATAAACGAAAATATTTGTTGGAAAAGAGTATTTATTCATCTTATATAGAACATTTCAATTTGGACGTACCAAAAAGAAAAAAAAGTACTCCAGTGATAAAAAATAAAATTCTTTATTAACAGCTTTAGGGTTCAATCTTGGCGGTAGAAAGGCTAATGTACCCAATAGAAAAAAAGAAATGAAAACCCTAATTTGATGATAAGATTTAATTTTTGATAGAGAAAATAGTATTGTCAATGAATATTAATTTATATATGAATTTGTGAAAATGCTATTTTTTGTGCTTACAAGATGTCACACGTGCACACATACACAAGGAAACAATGTTTGTGTGTGTGTGGATAGAGATTAATTCAAGTTGAGGAATCAAAATTTGATATAACAAACAAACAAACACATGCACTCAATCAATCAATTAATAGAAACCCGAAACTTTCTTATATAAATCTGAATTTTTAATCATTAAAAATAATATATATAGTCTAAACACATAATTTAAAAAAAATAAAAAAAATAAAAATTTTTGAGATCAATAACCAAATAAACTCTGTTGACAGATTTGATGTTACATTTTTATTTATTTATTTCCTGAAATATTATATAATTGACCACCAAATTAATATGCCTCTGCTTAAAATTCAATTTCAATCACATAGCAATCTACAATTTCTGTGGTTGGCCTTTCTGAATATGACATTGCAGGACAAAGTCAGAAGGGTAATTACTTGATTCTCATCAATAACAATAATAATCAACTTTGATAATTATTATAATTTTGGTTTTTTTTTTTTAAAATTATCAATTAATATTTTGCACAATCAATTTTTGTTTTTTTCATCGTGTGGAAAATTTCTAATTGGCTAAAGAAAGTCCATTAGAGTGAATACAGCCGCGTAGGCAAATAATATTATTCCTATTTGTTGATAACCTAATTTACACCGACCATGAGAATAAACAGTAAAGACGCTTTACCAAAAAAAGTTTTATTATTGAAAATAATTGTCCCCTTCTACACATTAAAAAATATCCTTATATTTGTCACATTTCTCAAATATTTATTTTAATTTGCATTAACTTTTTGTAATTTTAGTTTTAATATTTATTGAAAATAAATATTCTTGCACTAAACTTTTTTTTTTTTGGAAATTAATAATTTTAGTGCCTCTTTTTATTTTTTTCTATTTGAGTATTTGACCGAAAAACTTTTTTCGTTCCATGCCTAACGTTTTAAAAAATACAATTGCCGACTCTTCTCATTGGATTACTGACTTCGCACGTGTGTGCTCCACTTTTAATAACGTGTGATAAAAGACAAGGACAGCTCGGTTCCACGCGGAATGGATTGAGAAATCACCAAAATGTCCTTAAATTTCCATTGCTTACACTCAAAATCATTTTATGGTAAAATTGCCCTTGTCTTTGCAAATCACCTATGCAGAAGACGATCAGCACAATCTACACCTCTTCATATCGAGCTCAGTAGTCCAGTTAACATCTACACCTCTTCAAATTTAATAATTATTTTCCTAACAATTTTCATAATTCTTATATAAAAATATGAAAAGGAAATGAAAACCCCATTAAATCCTTAGTTAAAAAGAAGAAGCCAAATGTTACCAAAAGTTTCACGAAACTTGCTTCTGGTCCTATTTCTAAAGGAGAAAATCTCTCAGGAAGAAGCCATGGCAATCCCTGCACAAAAATTCCCAATAACTATATCAGATATCATTCATACATAGACATACAAATAAAATTTCAAACCAATTCGTAAAATTAACATTTCAATCAACTGAATATTAAGTCCAAATAATAAAAGCAATAACTAAATATTTTGTAGATTTGTTCATACATTGGCAAGAGATTGAAGCGAGTGCCGATGTGAACATGAATGCTTTGCGAAAAGGGGAAGAGGTGTAGATGTTCACATGGGTGCTGCAAAGGAGAATGCCTTGTTCCTCGTGGAATGGTTTTCAATGATCTGAGGAATGGCAGGACCCGAGGTCGCCGCTGCTCGGAGCATCGATTGCCGTCCCGGTCTTGTCGATCGATGGTCGGAGTCATTCAGGGGAAGAGGATCGCAGTCTGCGATCGGGGAGAAAGAGGGGTGAGCGGGAGATGAGCTTATCCTTCTTTTTTTATTTATTTATTCTTCTTATTTCCTTTCGTTTTCTTTTTATTCTTTCTTTCCCTTTTATTTCCCTTTTCTTTATTATTTTCCTTAAATTTTCTTTCAAATTTGTTTTCTTTTATTTATTTGAACTTTCTTTCTGTTTTGTTTTCTCTAATCTCCTTCACGTATTTATTTTTAATTATAAAAATAAATACAAATAATTTCTTATAAATCCATATTTTTTACAAATAATTATTGATAAATAGTGGAGGTTTGCAAATATAGGGTGAACAATGAAAATTTAAGGGGATTTTTGGTGCAGTCAATTCCACGTGGATCTGAGTTGTCTTTGTCTTTTATTACACATCATTAAAATCAGGACCTATATATACGAAGTGACTAATCCGGTGAGAGAAGTTAGTTGAAAGCACTTGATTGTATTTTTTAAAATGTTTAAACACCTAATTGAAAATATTTTCGGTCTATCATTCAAATAGAAAAAATTAAAAAATTCAGACACTAAAACTATCAATATCTTTTTTTTTTTAATTAAAAAACGGTCTAATCTGATTCGATGTTTAATTTAAAAAAAATTCTTTGGGCTTTTAAAAGTGAGGCTCGGCCCAATACATAAAGCGACCCGATAATAGGCTTAAAGCAATGGCTTCAGGAATATATACATATATATGTTTGAGCTTGCTAGATTTGAAGTTTGAGTCGATACTCTTTTGCACGACCCAAGTTTGACAAAGTTTAGAAATTTTGAACTCCAAGTTGATTCAAGACTTGAAGTCGATTCCACTTAAATATGTTTATTTCATAATAAGGCTCGATAATTGTATATTTTGTGATTTAATATTTTTAAATTTATATTTGAGGATTACTAATTGAATATAAATATTAATCCTAAGCACAACTTCTCTTTTTCATTAAATTTTGATATCAAAATATGATTTTTTTTTAAATTTTTTAATATTAGATACAAATATTAGTCATCATTGTAATAATTGAATTCAAATATTGCTCATTTATATTATAATTTAATTGCAATATCGGTAATATAATTAAATTTAAATATTAGTTCTTTTAATATCAATTACAAAATATTAATCCTTAAAACTTCTAATTGAGTCGGTAAATTTGAATATTCTCTGTAATAACCTCATTACTCAAAAGATGTATATATCTTTCCTAAACTCAAAAGAATCTTTCGATGGAAAATAGGGATTCCAAATCTTATATTTAAACCATATTTTGCACCTACTCAATATACAGTTTTTGATTTTAAAATTCATATATATAATTTTAAAATGTAATTATTGAATTTCATAAAATCCAGCATTCAAATATATAGTTTTTCACTTGTGTCTAATTTTACTACTAAAAATGATTTTGTGTCTATAATAGCTAAGAACACTTTTTTTTTTTTTAAATTATAATATAATTAATAAACCATCAAAGTTATGGCCTAGCATATAGGTAAAGATCCTTAGCCTTAGCGTTGGGTTTAACCCTCACCCTTTTATAATTTATAATCTTATTGAAGAATACTAAATTTCTTACAGAAATATTAATAAACCATCAAAGTTATGGCCTAGCATATAGGTAAAGATCCTTAGCCTTAGCGTTGGGTTTAACCCTCACCCTTTTATAATTTATAATCTTATTGAAGAATACTAAATTTCTTACAGAAATAATAGAAAATCAACCTATTATTGGAGACTATTAAATTTCTTATAAAAGTAATAGATAAACATTTCAATTTCTTATAAAAGTAATAGATAAACATTTCAATCAAACGTAGAAAAATCAATATGTACTTGACAATTCTAAATAGAAAAATCAACTATATTAATTAATTGTCTATATATTACCATAAACAACATGTTATGTATGCACTAGCGATGTGTTTATGATATTTTGACCTCGTTTTTTTTTTTTTTCTTTTTAAATTATCTAAGTTAGGTTAAGTATAAATGGATGGTCTAATAGCTCAGGATAATACTTGGATAAAATAAATTTTTCTTGGATAGTATAATTTAATAAAATTATTTTTGCTGATAAAAAAAAAAAAATGATACTTTTCTTATTAACTGAGGTCGAGGGTTCAATCATTATGGAGCAAATACTCAGTTGAGAGCACTCTACCTCTTAGCAGGCCGACTAATGTGAGCAAAATTTAGTTATAGTCCAGAGGTTGGGAATACATGTCGTTTAAAAAAAAATGATATTGTTCCTTCCATAAACTGCAAATTGATAGTAAATCTAAGACTTCGTTTATTTTCGGACAAAAGCTTATTTTTGAAAAAATGTTTTTACGATTTATTTTTTATTGTTTAATTAAAATATTAAATATTAACTAAAAAAAATTAAAATTTATTATTTAAATATATCCCCATAAAAAATCGGTTGCTAACATAAAGGCAAAAAATCTTTAACGTACCACGAACACAAAAATTATTTATAGCGAAATTCAAATAACTTCTTTACAATAAAAGAAAATAAAATTTATTTGACAAAAAATAAATACTACAGTGATTTTTCTCCATAAAGTAAATATGTATAATCCTAGTAAGATAAAACTTTCAGGAGTTTAAGTTCTAAGTAAGATTGGACAAAATATTCCAATTAGAATTGATAATATATATGATTTAATATTAATGAATCACTATCTAAAAATCAATTTTCTCCTAGTAAAATGAGTAATATAAGTAATTTATTATTAAATTAATAATTTAATAGCTGAATATTTTAATTCTGAGGTTTAGGTTTCAACAGTATCATTTACAACTCATCCCTTATAAAGAGACACTACTATTTTTTTTTTTTTCTTTCCAAAATGTCGAATGTACAACTAGTGGACACATGTTTTAATTTTAAAATAACTGCTCCAACTATCAAGCAATTTGAGCTAAATACTAAATTTCAATAAAAATGTCACATTTCCTTTCAAATATATCCTTTCAAATATATATATATATATATATATATAATATATATACAATTAGCAACTTTAGTGGTGATTAATGGGTGACCCTTCGTTTCAATTCAGTACAAATTAAATTTAAATAAATAGATATATACATTAGCAACTTTAGTGGTGATAATGGGTGACCCTTCGGTTCAATTCAGTACAAATTAAATTAAATAAATAGAATTGAAAAAAAAATAAATAACAAAATCAATTCTAACAAAACCAATTCGATTAAATTAGATTTTTAATTTTCACTTAATTTTTTTGAATCAATTTGATTTTTATAGTTTTTAGATTTTTTTGATTCCATATAATAAAAACTTAACCAAAGTGAAAATTTTTTAAATTTTTTATATTAAAACTGAAACCAAATTCAAATTTTTTTTATTAAAACTAAATCTAATTAAATCAATTCATTCAATTAGCTTTATTATGTACTTCTCGGTCCTAATATATCGTATAAATTAGGATTTTTAATCATTGGTTTTGAAAGTTTTATACTAATTAAATTGATTAACAGTTTATTTTAATAGAATTTAACTTATAATTGTAAAACGCTAAAAAGCTAAATCTTAGAATTAAAGTAGTTAATTTTTTATAAAATCCCGAAAGATATTTCACAAGGTCTGTAGAAATTACTGCGCAGCCTCATTGGGATATTCATTTTGAATGTGAAAAATGTCGAGAGTGTAGGAGAAAGTTGACTATTTTCGATGAATCTAATTTAAATAATTTCTCTGAAAAGATATACAAAATAATTCATCCTTCTTTATCATAAACATTTTGAATAAATCTCTGTCCCTCCTTCCAAGTTTCTTCTCCAATCAAAATTCTCTCTCTCTCTCTCTCTCTCTCTTTAAAAACACATTACTACCAATCATCACCAGCACTACATGAACTCCATCACGCACCAAAATGGTTGAAGAGAGCTCCACCTCCGCCGCCACCGCCACCCAATATCCGATCAAAACGGTGGTCGTTCTAGTCCAAGAAAACCGTTCATTCGATCACATGCTAGGCTGGCTAAAATCGTTAAACCCAGAAATCAACGGCGTAACGGGATCCGAATCCAACCCAATTTCCACCTCCGATCTCAACTCCTCCATCATCTTCTACGGCGACAATGCTTCCTACGTTGAACCAGACCCCCCTCACTCGATCCAAGCCATTTACGAGCAAGTTTTCGGCGTTGAATGGACAGAAGCCGCACTTTCTAGCGAGAATGCTTTACAACCGCAAATGAACGGGTTTGCTCAAAGCGCAGAGCGGACGCAAAAAGGAATGGCAGAGACAGTAATGAATGGGTTTAAACCTGAATCGATACCGGTTTATAAAGAGTTGGCTATGAACTTCGCGATTTGTGACCGGTGGTTTGCTTCAATTCCAACGTCAACGCAGCCGAATAGATTGTACGTGCATTCTGCGACGTCGCATGGAGCGACGTCTAATGACACAAAGTTGTTGGCTGAAGGGTACCCGCAAAAGACTATATTCGAGTCAATGGACGAAGCTGGGCTTAGCTTCGGGATTTACTATCAGTACCCTCCTTCTACTCTTTTCTACAGGTAACATCTTCAATAATTTTCCTTTTTGCAAATAATTTGTTGCTTTTATCTTTTATATAAAAAAAAATTCTTTCAAGAAATTAGATATTTTAGGATAAGATTTGAATCATTTAATATGATGTGATTAATATTCATAGTTAATAGAAATCTCATTCCATCGATTATGTCATAAAATTTTTTATAGTTACTTAAAAATAATAATTTTAAATTAAATATTATTTCAAAAAATTCGATTAATATTTTTATTTATATAACACTTAAAAAAAAAAAGAAATTGCAAAGCTTGTGATGGAGAACCAAACATATTATTCAATTATTTAACTAATTAAATTTATTACAATCATCTTTAATTTTGTTCAACCCAAACAAAACTACGCGTTTTACTCATTTATTTAACAAAAAGGTCAGCTAATGAGCTATTATATTAAATTACAAAAAGTACAAAAGACAGATAATGTTTACAAATTAAATATTCTGTTGGTATAGTGGCATCTACATATTAGAAGGGCATTTCATGTAAAAGCAAGGCCATTGGGTCATTACTATATTGGTGACCACCATCATCATTATTGTAATTATAGGTTTTTTTGACAGCCAATTAACATTTTAATTTATATTTTCTTTTGATTTGGTTGTCGTTTTCTTTAATTATTTAATTTTCTCATAATTAATAATTATTTATTTATTCCCCCACTTAAAAGTTTTGGAGGTGATCAATTTGAATATTTGCCTTATCTGCAAACTGATCTATAATTTATACCTAATCTAACCTAACCAATTTTTAAAACTGGCTAATAAAGTTTGTTAATAAAGTTTGAACTAATGGTGGTGGCTTGTGGTGGTCGGTTACTGGTGTTTATTAGTGATAACCGGTGATTATGACTACCAACAATTGGTAGATTAATAAATGTGTGTTTCAGTGATTAATAAATTTATTAGTGTAGACTACCAACAATTGTTAGTGATTAATAAATTTATTAGTGATAACCGGTGATTATAACCGGTGCATTCATTTACTACAATATTTATGTGTGTTTATGAATTTGTCGATATTTCAAAAAATTTAACTCTTTTTAAAAAAAGGAAGTCATTTTCCTTTAAAATGCTTTCTTTAGATTACTCAAATATTAGAAAATTAAAAAAATCGAATGAAATTATTCAAATTTCATCACTTGGGGAGGTTAGTGATTCATGAGAACAAGAGAATTAATTACTTTCATGATGCAGCTCAAGAATTAAAAAAACAAAAAAAACATCATTTACTACATCTTTCTCTCTTAATTTTCTGCTCTAATGGGAAAGTGAATTCCTCCTTGGCAGGAACCTTAGAAAGTTAAAATACTTGAAGAATTTCCACCAGTTTGATTTGCACTTCAAGAAGCATTGTGAGGAAGGAAAGCTACCAAACTACGTCGTAATTGAACAAAGATATTTTGATCTTTTATCTATACCTGCAAACGATGATCATCCATCACATGATGTATCAGAAGGCCAAAAATTTGTGAAAGAAGTGTATGAAACACTAAGAGCTAGCCCTCAATGGAATGAAATGTTGTTCATAATCATATATGATGAACATGGTGGTTTCTATGATCATGTACCAACTCCAGCAACAGGTATTCCTAGTCCTGATGATATTGTTGGTCCTGCACCTTATTTCTTCAAGTTCGATCGCCTCGGTGTCAGGGTTCCTGCCTTTTTAATATCTCCCTGGATTGAGCCTGGAACAGGTACATATATACATTTATCTCTCCTTTTTAACTTTCCTGCACTGATTGCAATTTAGTTGATGAGGTTTGAGTTAGTGCACAAGTCATACAATTTCCTTTTAAATTTGAATTCTTACGTTTAGTTCAGTTTGATTCGATTCAGTTTGATTTAACGATTTGTCCTAAATAATGAACAATACGATTAGTGATTTTCTTGTTTTTGAAGTAATCTAATAACATATCTGTTTACTTTTAAATTGAATTTGCAGTACTACATGGACCTTCAGGACCATATCCTACATCAGAATATGAGCATTCCTCAATTGCAGCAACAGTTAAAAAGCTTTTCAATCTAAACGACTTCCTAACCAAACGCGACGCATGGGCTGGCACTTTTGATGTCGTTTTGACTAGAACTACTCCAAGAACTGATTGTCCAGGTTAACCTATGTAATTCTTGCATAAAAATTCCGGTCATTGCTTCATTATGCATTAATAATTTGTTTCATCTAATATTATATATGCACAATTTTTGCAGTTACATTGCCAGAACCTGTCAAGTTGCGCGAAGGCGTAGCAAGAGAGGACGGAAATCTTAGTGAATTTCAACAAGAACTAGTACAAATGGCAGCTGTATTGAATGGAGATCATAAAAAGGATATTTATCCTCATAAAATTGCAGAAGGAATGACAGTTTCAGTGGCTGCAAAATATATGGAAAGTGCATTCAAGAAGTTCATTGAAGAAGGTGAGAAAGCTAGAGAAAATGGAGTTGATGAATCAGAGGTGATTGTTATTGAGAACTTCGTACCTACTAATCACAAATCACCCAGATCTTTTATTCAAAAGTTGTTTTCTTGCCTGGTTTGTGATAATTGAAGCTTTCATTTGCCATTATTTATTGGAATAAATTCAATTAAATTGAATATTTTCTAAATTGTGTAGGTTTTTTCCTGTCTATTGATTTGAGGAGAGTTAATGCTTATATATTAATTATATGGATTTGTTTGTTCATATGTATTTGTATTGACATTGTGAAAACTGATTAGTTGGTTTTGTTATATGAATTATTTGTTTTTGCCTCTCAAAAGCAGTTAGTGTAATTTTTATAAAACAAACAACTATCCCCTTCTTAATTGCAAGGACTAATTACAAATAATAATGAAAATAAAATTATTTAAATCATCACGTCAATCCATAATCTTGCAGTAAAAACCCAAACAATAATAATAACCTCAATGTTCAATTTTTAAAGCCCAAAAGAACTTAAGCCCAGTCCGGACCAACACACCAAGCCCAAAATAACAAAATTTCTCTAGACTGGTATCTTTCTCATTTTTTCCTTCTCCAACCAACGGGGAAACTTTTCTGCTTGGCAAAGGAATTGTTTCCGTCGTGAATAAACCACTCGGTATAATTCACTCCGTTCATACAAAAAGGAAGCACATACATTTGGTCTGTGTTGGCCATGACTTCTGGGAATAGCAACAGAAAAGAGCAGCAGCAGCTGCACCAGCAGGAAAAACATTGCTGCATTTCTCACGAATTTCTGAAAGCAGCAAGCAAAAATCCTGAAAAAATAGCAGCCATTCTCGCGGCATCATCCGATGGTGATCAGCGCCTGATTCCGGCAAAATTGATCAACAGTGGCAGCTCTGTCTCCTCTAGTCCACCGGTGTACGAAGGAGACCAATGTTTCACTTTCGCTGACGTGTTAAAGTCTGTTGATTACCTCAGCTCACGCCTCCGCAGCATTCTTGATAGTGCGTTTTTTGAATTTCTTTTCCTTTTCCTCTAAAATTTGTCTAGTGTAATCAATCAACAATTGTTAGATGTAATTTTGAATGTTGCAGGTAACGGTAACCATGACGAGCAGAGCATACCTGAGTATAAGAATGTGTATAGGCCAAAGATATTGGGAATATATATGCCACCTTCCTTGGAGTACATAATCTCTGTACTTTCAATTTTGAGGTGCGGAGAAGCTTTTTTGCCGCTTGATCCTTCATGGCCAAAAGATAGAATATTATCAATTGTTTCTTCTTCGGCTGCTGATGTTGTTATTACTTCTGAATCATCATTTAGTAAAGGTGGTTTTAGTGAGCTTCATGAGTGGAATTGGCTTGTCGAATGCGGTTGTTGTCCTGTCTTATCTTTTTCTTTGGAGGAAAGTTTCGAAGAGTTTGTTGGTCCATTGCACTTAGCTTGGCCTTGTGAAAAAGAGAAAAGAAGATTGTTCTGTTATTTAATGTACACTTCTGGATCAACTGGAAAGCCTAAAGGCGTGTGTGGCACAGAAGAAGGTAAGCATTTTATTGTTGCTACAGTGTAGAAAAAGAATGAGCTGAAAATATTTTTATACGAAATGCTAAAATTTCCTTTGAGTTAATTCATGACGTAGTTCGTGTTTTTGAGGACTCCTTAATGTAATATTCTATTCAAAATTATACCTTTCCCTCTAATTACAACAACAAAATTTAAAAGCAGGAAGAAAAAAAAAAAAAAAAAGGGCCTTTGGAAGAAAAAAAAAAAACAAAAAGGGCCTCTTGATTACCACTTTGTACTTTCATAAAAGTAAGACAAATTCTAGGCAATTCTTCATTTTTCCATCAATTGCCAAACATTTGCACCTGGTCTATTTCCCTGAGTTTCTTCTTTATATGCCAACCAGTGTTTTTATGATACAATTTTTTTTCGCCCACCTTAAGGTTATTGAATCGCTTTCCTGTGGTATGCAAGAATCTGTACCCTTGGCATAGGAGAGGAATGTTATTGTTCAAACACTCAATAAGTTTTTATTGGACCACCTGCAAAGAATTTTCTTTTTGGTGCTATGGCTTGGTATGTGTACACTGGTTATCCTTCCTTTCAATCAAGCTGAGGAAAGGATCCATTTTCTGTTCGTCAACTTTTTACAGGTTACACTGCTTATTGTGATTGGTTTTAGCTTCTTGCAACCCCTTGAAATTTACTGTACTTCAGGTTCCCAGATTATAAGTTGATTAAAGTTGTTTCTTTTTAATATTGATTAAAATACGGGCCTCTATGATTGGATTTTGCATTTTGTTTTATGATCAAAGTTTTGCTTTGATAAAACTTATATGGAGTCTCAAGGTTCATTCTAGCTGTGTATTTTGACTGTTTCGTTGTTTTTCATTCTTGGAAGGATAAGTGATTTGCTTTCACTATTGGTATCTATTGATTCATTTATGCAGTTTGATGATGTTTGCCACTTAGTATATGGGCATATGTCAACTATTTCCTGTAGGGGCTACCATATAATAGGTCTTATGCTCTGTTCCTTTCCCACTAATTGCGAGCTTTCCTTCCTGCTTTGCAAAGTCTATCCAAAATGAAGATTCGGACTCATTTGAAAATTGCTAGTGCTAAGTTGGTGAAGTTTCCATTTTATCCTTGTGGATTTGCTTTTCGAATTTATGCCCAGTGACCTCTATTGTTGAATTTGTATGGGCAGCAAAGTGTCCACCGTACAGAGGTTAGATGTCTTGAAATGTCTTTCTTTTAAAATTTTTTTGTGGTCAGATGCCAAGCTAATAATATTTACTGTTTGTTTTCAGCGATAGAATTTTAAAGGAAATTTTACAATTGTTTTTGTCTTGCTTCCATTCATTATTATATTCTCATAGTTGCTTTTTGGAATCCATGTGCATGGATATTTTTTACATTTTGAATCCTGGATAAATTAAATGTTTTTAAAAAAAAAAAAAAAAAAAGGGCCTTTGATTACACTTTGTACTTTCATAAAGTAAGCAAATCTCTAGGCAATTCTTCATTTTTCATCAATTGCACATTTGCACCTGTCTATTCCCTGAGTTCTTCTTTATATGCAACATTGTTTGATGATACAATTTTTTTTCCCCACTTAAGGTCTATTGAATCGCTTCCTGTGGATGCAAGAATTGTACCCCTTGGATGGAGAGGAAATGTTATTGTTCAAAACATCAATAAGTTTTATTGACCACCTGCAAGAATTTCTTGGTGCTATGCTTGGTATGTGTACACTGGTTATCCCTCCTTTCAATCAGCTGAGAAAGGATCCATTTTCTGTTGTCAACTTTTTACAGGTACACTTGCTTATTGTGATTGGTTTTAGCTTCCTTGCAGACTCTTGAATTTACTGTACTTCAGATTCCAGATTATAAAGTTGATTAAAGTTTGTTTCTTTTTAATATGATTAAAATACGGGCCTTATGTTGGATTTTGCATTTTGTTTTATGATCAAAGTTTCTGCTTTGAATAACTTATATGAGCTCAAGGTTCATTCTAGCTGTGTATTTGACTTTTGTTGTTTTCATTCTTGGAAGGATAAGTGATTTGGCTTTCACTATTGGTATCTATATTCTTTATGCAGTTGATGATGTTTGCACTTAGTAATGGATATGTCAACTATTCCTGTAGGGCTACCATATAAATAGGCTTATTGCTGTTCCTTCACTAATGCGAGCTATCCTTCCTGCTTTGCAAAGTCTATCCAAAATGAAGATTCAGGACTCATTGAAATTGCTAGTGCTAAGTGGTGAAGTGTTTCCTTTATCCTTGTGGGATTTGCTTTCGAATTTACTGCCCAGGACCTCTATTTTGAATTTGTATGGGAGTACAGAGGTTAGATGTTTGAAATGTCTCTTTAAATTTTTTTGTGGTCAGATGCCAAGTATAATATTTACTGTTTGTTTCAGACGATAGGAATAAAGGAAATTTACAATTGTTTTGTCTTGCTTCATTATTATTCTCATCTTCATAGCTGCTTTTTGGAAATCCATGTTTGTCATGGATATTTTACATTGAATCCTGGACTAAAGTTAATGTTTTTCTGTGCTACTTACAGCAGTATATGTGCAACATTTATTAGCTTCTTGTTTTGATTATTTTTGTTTTTATACTTTAAATTTCCCTTTGCTTTTCTTTCATCCTATAATGCTAATATGTACTACTTAAATCATTAGTACCAATACTGCCATTATTATGCCAATGGCTTGGATAAGAGTTTATCAATCATGTTGTTATGTGGTTTCCTGTGTAGTTAGGTACTTACAGTTACTGACTGTATTCCTTGTTCTTATCCCTGCAATTTGCATCTCTCTCTCTTTTATAAATCATCTCTCCTATCTGAAAAAATACCTCAACTTTTTGAATTAAGGTATCTGGTGACTGTACATATTTTGATTGCAAGAGATTGCCAGCGATTTTGGAGACAGAGGCACTAACAAGTGTTCCAATTGGTGTACCTATTTCTAACTGTGATGTATTACTCATTGGTGAAACTGATACACCTATCCAGGGAGAGATATGTGTTGGTGGTCTATGTGTTTGTAGCGGTTACTCTTCCAAGTCTGCAATTATGCCATTTGACAGTGTAAAAATGCATAAGAACTTCGTCTGTAACTGTTTGGTGGATGACTGTGGCAGTCAAGTATATTATAGAACTGGTGACTTTGCACAACGGCTTCAATGTGGTGATTTGGTGTTCTTGGGGAGAACTGATCGCAGTATAAAAGTTAACGGGCAACGTATAGCCTTAGAAGAGATTGAAGATACACTCAGGGGACATCCTGATGTTGTTGATGCTGCGGTGATTTCTTTTGATGGTCCAGATAAGCTTTTGCTCCTTAAAGCTTTTTTGTTATTAAAAGATAAAGATAAAAGTGGTGATTCAGTCAGATCTTCAATCAGAAGTTGGATGGTTGGCAAGGTTCCTTTAGTCATGATTCCTAATCACTTTGTATTCACAGAATTATTGCCTATCTCTTCCAGTGGAAAAGTTGATTATGCCTTGTTGGAAACTTCAGCATTTTCGACCACCCATGTCCAAGATAAGACTGGCAACACTAAGATCAGTCATCACTTGCATAGCATAAAAAAGGTTTTCCCTGCACTTATGATTTTTAATCTTTTCACACATCTATGCTTCCTTCAGATAGGCACTGAGTTAATTGAACAAAGAACACTTGCTATTTTCTTTCTATCTAACCATTTACTCCATTGAGCAAGTGAAATAACATGGCCATGTCTTTTGACAGGCATTTTCTGACGCTTTAATGGTTGAAGATGTTTCGGGTGATGATGATTTCTTCATGATGGGTGGTAGTTCTATTACAGCCGCACAGGTTTCTTATAATCTAGGAATTGATATGAGATTGCTTTATAACTTTCCAACTGCATCTAAACTTTACAATGCTCTCCTAGATAATGAATCCTACTACAAAGATGTCAGAACGGATACTAGTTGGAAATCAAATTTGGAAGCACATAGTTCAAATTTGTCTCCTCCTGTTTATTCAGCAATTCCTAATCTTAGTCATATATCACAGAAGCGGCTACTGAACAACATTGATCTAGAGAGTGACCATAATGATGCAGTACCCAAGCGCTTTAAGGTCGATTTGAACAAACATATTTCTTCAGGATGTGTTAGTCTCAATGATGCATATCCTTGGTCTTCTTTGGCACCAATCTCTTGTTCATTCAGCCGTTGCAACAAGGTTATGTATGAAGGGGAGTGCGGGATGAGAAATACCCACCAATTATCCATGTCAGCAGAAGTTATGAGAAAAAGAAAATGCTTTTTGATACAGGAATTGTGGAAGGTTCACATGGAGTCTTGTGTAGATGCATCACCTCTAGTTGTGTTTAAAGACCAAAATGTCTATTTATTTATTGGATCTCATGCACATAAATTTATCTGCATAAATGCTAAATGGTAAGATCCTTTTCTGGTTCATGACAGAGAAATGCTAATTATAAGTATTATTTTTATCAGCTGATTATCATTATAATCACCATTTTTGAAATATCATGTTGTAACACTTGAAATAACAATGACATGAAGACCACTGGATGAACTCCTTTTAGGGCCTTTTTAACTGGCTTAAGAGCAGCCATAGATAGGATACCTGAGAGTGGGTTTAGAGTATAAGAGAATCAACTTGCACCAAAAGAAGGAAATGAAGAAAAGTGTCTAGGTTCTTCCAGAAGTTTGGTGCAGGTCCAGAATCTTACCATGAACACTACTTGAGAAATTGGAGACTTTTTTGTGTTCTAGATCAAAAGTTATTATGGAACCGAAGTCAAAATTTGTAGGCGTGGCATGCTGGCTTTCTTTAGTGTGCTTGACTGGAGCAAAATGCTAGATGGCTGATGGGGTTTCCTTGTTCTGTTTTGATTCCTATTTATTATATTACTCCCTTCTATAAAAAAGGGTGACCCAGTGCATGAAGCATCTTTTTTGCATGTTATTCGAAATGAAATTATGAACTTTATATCATTAGTACACTAGCATTAATTATTCATCTTCTAACTCTGGTATACTACGGCATGCTTTGGTTTAGTGGTTCTGTCTTGTGGGAAGTCAAGCTCCATGGAAGAATTGAATGTTCAGCAGCAATTGTCGCTGATTTTTCTCAGGTTTGCTCCATACTTTGCATAATTCATCATGTTTCCATTTTGAGTGGTAAGGGCTTTGAATATTTTTCTATATGCTAACAGATTGTTGTTGGATGTTACAAAGGGAAACTATATTTTATTGACTTTCTCAATGGCAATATTTGTTGGACTTTTCAAACAGGTGCTGAGGTATGATCATAAAATGGCAAAATCTGTAGTTTTACTTGTTTAGGAGGCCACTTCATCGAATCCTTTATCATTTTATATTTACTAATTATCAGTTTTCATTTCCGTTTACTGTTTGTGATCTAGAACTGTGAAACAAATAAAGAAAATCAATTGTATGAAATTTTAATTTTATCAACATAGTGATTCAAGCAAAATAGTCCCTGTAAATATTTATTTAATCGCTTCAAAATAAATCATAACCCTTATAATAAAGCAAAATGCCTGAAATAATTATTTTTTTTAAGTTTTCCTAAAATTAGTAGTCCTAAAACCTCTACATGCCGAACCCACAATCATTTTGTGCAGGCTTTCGGCAAAACTGTTATGGAGCTTTTAAATATGGTAAGCATTGTTTTTAAAAAGGAAGATTTGATGGGAAAATTGCTGGTCATAGAATCTTCTTATAGCTTTTGTCTTCTTATGCATTTCCAAGTTCAAATGATGTCAGTAGAAATGTATGCATATAGCTTGATTTTATTAAAATGTATGGGCTTATCTTTGGAAGTTCTTAGCTGAATGTTACCGTTTTTGTTTTTCCTTTTTCCCCTTTTTTTCTGTTCCTCTCTCTCTCTCTCTCTCTCTCTCTTATGTGCATGGACATTGCCACAAGTGGCTGCTTGCATTAGTGAACTATGCAAGGCTCCTGAGGATACATTGAATTATTCTCTGAGATGTTCTTCCATTCTATAACGGGGATGTAAGGTTGTGTTAATTGATTCTGGTCATCTGATTTATCAAATTCTTGTGGTAATAGCCCTGGGATGGTGGCATATCAGTGTCTGATTATGATAATAAAGTTGTTGCATCTTTGTTTTTGGTTGAGCTGAGATGCTGGAAGAGTATGCAAGTATGTGCGTGTGTTGGCTTGTATAATTGGAAGAACTAGAGGGAGACGTCCTTCATTCATTTGCAGCTTTCTTTTTAATGCTTTGCACTTATTTTAGAAGTTCATCTCTGATATATGTTGATGTTGATTTTTTATTTGTCAATGAAGGTGAAGTGCCAGCCTTTGGTGGACATGCACAGACAATTAATCTGGTACTATATTTTTCCACTCATCATGCCTCTGTTGGCTGAGCTTATTGATATTGCTTTCTGTTGCTTTTGGGTTGAATATAGATACTGAATATTCTTTCTGCGTAGTGGCTGAACAAGAGGACTAGGTAGATTTCTTTCCAAGCACTTAATGACACTTGAATATGAAATCAATCATTTCTATTTATCAGAATTCCTCCTTCCATTTGGATGGTAGAAGGAGAATTAGAGGGAAGTAAGTAGAATAGGGCAAGAAAAGAGAACAGTGAAGTAGCAGGAGGGTAGAAAACCCTAAAATTATATCAAACGTAAATAATATCTCCTTTCTATTTGGGTTGCACATCTGGTGCCTTTTCTTAGCTTTTCATTAGTTAGAAAAAAAAAAGGAATCAGAAAATAGAAAGAGAGTGAAAAGGAAAAACAGGTAAGATAATCTCTCCAAATTGTAATTTTCATCAAACTGCCAATTGTTCCACAGCATAATATGAGCTTTGTATAGGCTTTGTTTCTAGGTCTGGATGTAATGTTCCTGAGGTAATATAGCAAACTGCAGAATTACATACAATTACCCAAAGTACTCAATAGAAGTAAACCAAAATAGCATATAAATTTTTTTGTCCTAAATAAAAAAAAAGATAAAAAGAATGTAATATAATATCCTTCAAATTGATCAATAAAATAAATTAAAATGCTGGCAATATCTTCTTCAAGTTTCACTTCTTTTCTCTGGGTGAAGAATTTATTGCAGCAGTTCCATAGAAAGTCCAGGCACAGTTATGCCTCTTATTTTCTCACTAGGTCAAGAACTCTTAAACTAGCAGAAGGACCTCTTGATTTGTCACCTTGTATCATGAATGAGGCCTCCAATTTCTTTGATGGTGCCTCATTGACTAAAAGCCTTTGAATTCCTCATCTTTCTCATATAAGTCCCATATATGGAATAAGGTTAACAGAGATACAGAGAACTGTAATACTGCTCTTTATATGTTGCTGGCTTTGTCGCCTAACATTGGTTGCACTATGTACAATTCGTATTAAAAGATTTTTCATGGAAAATGTTCTACAAATTGTAACAAGTTATTTGTCTTGCCTGAAACATCTACAGGTGTGGCTCACATGATCACTATTTATATGCTCTTGATTACAAAAACCATTGCTGTACATATAAGACCTCATGTGGTGGAAGTGTATTTGGGTCACCTGCTATTGATGAGGTGAATATTTACATTTAGCTTTTTTAACTGATATGCCTATTTACTTTTGTTTGTGGGACAGCATGATTTGTCTGCATCCAGTGACTTTTCTTTTCTTTTTTTTTTTTTTTCATTTTGACTGTACAAATGGATTGTGTTTTTATATTTTTAATCAGTCAACATTTTATGATATTGTCAATTCTTGCATCTTTTTTTAGCATGGCATTTTTCTTATATATTCCTATGTCTTGCACCCATTTCCTTAGATAGATGCTATGGAAATCTTTATTTATTTTTTCTTTTGCTGGATTTTCAGCCCATTTGATGTTTTGTGTTTTTGAATGTATCCTTATGGTTTATATTTTTATTATTTGGCCTTAATAGTATCAAAGCAGGAAAGTTAAAGGTAATTCATTGTGTTGGATTTATGACTTCTATCCATCCATATGTTTCTTTCATTCTTTTGGGGAAGGTATGGAACCCATGATCCCGAGCTGTATCTATATGCAGGTGTACTGGTTTAGTAATTTAGCTTAACACAGTTGATTATCTCAATCCGTGTATTAATAGAAAATACTGTTGTTACTTGTATTGTCAGAATACAGTAAATCCAATGTGGAAATTACTGAATCATCTTTACTTTATCATCTGATTTAATATTTAATTATTTTATGTTAGGTGCATGACACTCTTTTTGTGGCTTCTACAAGTGGTCGTGTGACAGCTGTATCAATAAAGGTGATTTTGCTAATATTGCTGCAACTATATTATCCCATTATCTTCATTACGAGGTGCCCAAGCCTAAATAGTGAATTTTTGTTTTTTGTCAATTGCCTGTAATAAAGGATGTGTATATAGAGGAAGTATTTCAGGTTTGGGTGTTTTGGATTGGCTATAAATGGGATTTTAATTGTGGCTTTTGACAGTCTGTGATTTCAGAACTATAAAAGGTTCTAGAATCCCCTTTCAATTATTACATTGGAATTTATGCATGACAAGTACTATTGGCAAGAAATTATTAACAAGACTACTAGAAAAGCAACAAGGAAAAAAGTAGTAAAACTCATTCCTTAAGCTTCAATCTTACAAATCAAAAGAAAAGAAGTGAAAGGAGAATAAAAACTAACAATCACTGTTTCAAACCATCCTTTACTACCCCCTTGCTGACCATTATTGTGTCTAATCTGTCACCAATATCATTGCTGTCATTGTGACTATATTTCATTGTGTCCAATCAGTTTCCAAATTAGAAGTTTATATACTTGTTTCCTGTGTACCATTTAAATACATCTTATCCATTTTATGGTTATTGAGCCAAGCTCATTAGCTCTTGGTTGAAATAATATGAGCTCAAATGTGCTCCATTGTTAACAAACAAGCTGAAATTGAGCCCGTTTGTTGCTTTTTCATGTTTAATGGTAAATGAAATTTAGTTACCAAGCAAAAGTACCTTTTTGGTTGTAAGTTAAATTTTGAGTATTTACTTTTGATATAGTTTTAAGGTGAGCCTGAGTATGGGTATAAGGCTTAAACCAAGGAGATAGCCTCCTTGCAAATGCAAGGGTTAGGTTACACATCTCTGACTGCCCTCGCCCAATGCACCTTGCATTTCAAGGGATGTTTTTTTTTTTTTTTTTTTTTTTTTTTGAAATAATATGAGCTTCCAAATTGTGCTCAATTGTTAAACAAACGAAGCTGAATTGAAGGCCCGTTTGTTGCTTTTTCATGTTTAATGCGTAAATGAAATTTAGGTCTACCAAGCAAAAAGAAATACCTTTTTGGTTGTTAAGTTAAATTATGAGTATTTTACTTTGATATAGTTATAAGGTAGCCTGTGTATGAAGGTTTTTTATTAAGCTTAAACCAAGGAGATAGCTTCCTTGCCAAATTTGCAATGGAGTTAGGTTACCACATCTCTGACTGCCCTCTGCCCAATGCACCTTGATTTCAAGGATGTTTTTTTTTTTTTTTTTTTTTTTTTTTTTTTTGGGGCGGGGAGTGGGGGATGGGGGCATGCTTTTTAGGGGGGGGGGGGGCATGCTTTAGCGCAATGGGATAGCCTTTTTATTTTAGATACTCCTAAGGCGCTATATTTACTTGGCATAATTGTACAAATGCAGGCTTTGCCATTTTATACTTTATGGCGGCATGAGCTAGAGGTGCCAGTATTTGGGTCACTTTCAGTTGGTTCTCCACATGGATATGGTATACATATTGTTCATTTGAATACTTTCCTTTGCGGTTCAATTATCTTGTCATAAGTCATCATTATGCCCTTTCCTTTTTGGTGCAGTGATTTGTTGTTTAGTGGATGGAAACATTGTTGTATTGGATTCAGAAGGATCTATCATTTGGCGGGTATGAATTTATACCATTGCATTTTATCCAAATTTATTTTCATATTGTTATCACATTTTTTCCTCAGTCCATTATGATGAGACATCTTAGAAGTTCCATATAAATTCTTTCCTTAAACTAGATGAATGAGAAAAAGAAAAAGAAGTTTGCCATATTAAGTAACATTTATCCATGAATAGTCCAGGCAGAGAAAGGATATTTATTTGTTGTCCTCCTGGAACTGTCGAAATTTGTGTTACTTAAACTCAGATATGATGTAGATCATGAACTCAGGGTATACTTGAATCAACTGTTTTCTTCAAGTTTCAAGGTCATGTTTAACCCCTATTGATCACTTCAGTTCATGTTATCCTGCATCTGCCAGATGTTCCCTTCATTTGTTGCCCCTTGAGCTTATAAGAAGAGAGGTGTTTTTTTTTTTGTGTTTTGTTTATACCTTTTTTTTTGTTGTCTTGAGCTTATTAAGAAGAGCATAGGTGTTTTTTTTTTTATCGTGCTGTTTTGTGTGCGAGGGCGTGGGTTTGTGTAAAGCGCAGTGGGGAAGGATCGTCCGGGGGGGGGGGGGGGGGGGAAGGGTGAGGGATTTTCTGGCACATACTCATGAATGAGGCAAGCATTTGTAATGTTGTGAACAATAATTGTTTCAGTCTCCTTTTCCTGACCAAAATAGTAGTGTTTATTGTTATATAGCCTTTCTTTGTTCGTGATTCTGGAACAACTTTGGACACATTTTTTTCAATATCATTTTCTTCTTCAGTGTAGAACAGGTGGTCCTGTATTTGCGGGAGCCTGCACGTCTTATGCGCTTCCTTCTCAGGTGAATCATTTTATCTTGTTTTAACTATGATTTTTATATTTCTGCATGAAGTTATCCTTTTATCTTTTGTTCTCTTTCACCCAAAGGAAACTTTTATTTATGGGAAAAGTGCAGAAATAAATGAATGGTTTCTACCAGTAACCTTTTTATCTGAAATTAAGTTAAAAATTACTGTTAGTGGGAAGTACAAATTTGGGGTTCCAATGATTTTCTGAAGGGAAATTGAGATTTTCCTTTATTGATGGAGAGTTTTTAATGAGCATTCCGGTTCTAGGGATTTGAACTTTTGACTGTAGAATTGAGTTTGAGTTTGGAGTTTCATGTTCTGGTTCTGAATTTCAGATTGTGAGGTTTTTTTCGAGCTTTTGGTGTGCATATTTTAATATACTTGTGAAATTTGGGAAGTCAAAAGGCTAAAAATGGGCCAGAGGGAGATGATTGCTAGGAAATAAAAGCAGAATAGAGCAGGAGAATCAGATAACTTACCCTAGGCAGCATGGCCGTAGATAAGGTTTTCAAGCTGTTGAGCTTTCATACTTCTCACTACACGGAAAAGGAATTTTGTGATCTTATAGTGAACTGAAACACTAAAATATCATATAGAAAAGCCTTCAAAAGAAATGAAAGAAATAAAAAAATTTCAATGAGCTCCTAATTGATCAAGCTAAAGAATAAATGGATGTCTTAACTCTTCAACTTCAAAAATAGCTTGAAAAATGGTTGCTTGTCCTACTGTGGAACCGTTACATTGTGCTCTTTTAGCGAAATGTGAAAATTGGAAGCAGAAAATGTAACTAAAGGATGCCTAAAATACTGTGGGAATCTATTTTTTTTCTCTATTGTAAACTATAGAGAGCTCTTGACTGGTATAGATTCAGAAGCTTAGCCTTGACCCTCTGGAGAGTAAATCTCTAGTTATGATATGGTGCTGTGCCACTTTCATTTTAAAAAGCACTATGGTTTTACAATTCCTCTTAAAATGGACAATTAATTTTACTGCCATAAATGTTGGATGATTCAATTGTTATAATCTGGTCACTCCAGGAACATCAGTTGTTATGTATGATCCATTCTAGATGTAACATGCTTTCTTTTTGCTTTAATTATTTAAATATATTTAAGAATGAATGCTTCTGGGAATATTCAATCATCAATTGATACTTAGTGATTTCTAGGATCTGCAAATCCAGTTCTAATTTACCCGAGACAATGGCCCAGGAGAAGTATTAAGGAGTCTTGAGAACAACAATCCTGCTTGAATTACCCGTATATGAAACTTTTTCCATGTATTGATATTTGAAGTATGCCTACTGTAATATCCACTTAACCTTGAATTTCTCTGATTCTGAAGACAGTTCAGCAGAATTCAACTGCAACAATTGCGCAATTCTTTTGGTTCTCCTGCCAATGAAGTTAGCTTAACCTCATAGTTTTAAGTATAAATTTGCAGCTTGTTTTCTATATCCTGTAACATTAATTTGTGACTTCCCTCCCCTTCACATGTGAATTTGAAACAATCATAGGGTGTAAAATGGATGGGTTGCTGATTCAAATATCCCCTTGTCTCCTTTTTTTTTTGTACAGGTGTTGGTATGTTCAAGAAGTGGAAGTATATATTCATTTGAACTGGTAAGGTTTAATTTTGTACCAATATGTATGCCAGGTTTTGTCTTTATGTTTTGCTGAAATCGTTGACAATCAATATATATTTATGTTATATGGTTCCCATGGTATTTATGGGTTTCTAGCTATGATATGGGACCATGGCATTTTTATAAAAAACAGATGGACCATCTGCGGCATCTAAGCTGATGTGTATATTAAATCACAACCTGAAGTATTTGTCCATGTCCTTTTACAACTCAGAACTAAGCAATGTTGGTCTTTCCTGGAATCTGAATTACAAAAAAAAAGTAGATTTTGGAGGAAATTGATGAAAAACTGAAAGAAGTTGGGATGCTTTTTACTTTTTTCCATTACTGTTGGGGCTTTGTGTTAACAAAACAATTGCTTGTTGCTCTCTAATTGGTCTTATGTCTTGTGTATCAGAAGAAAAAAATATCTTAGAAATGAGTCCCTTTCATGATCTGATAAGGAAATGGGATTCATGTTTTCAAATTCTGTGCTAACTAAAATTCTTCTTTTTTTCTTTTGTTCATTATCCTTTTTGTTAATTCTGGTATTTATGATTTACATCATTAATTTTGCGTATATTATATTCAAAGCAATTACCAGCCTTGAAATATTGTATGGAAATTTCATACTGTTTTTACCTATTCACTTTACTTTCATTGCACATCCTTGATTCCCGAGGTTCATTTCAGGAAAAAGGAGATCTACTTTGGGAGTACAATATTGGAGATTCAATAACTGCATCTGCTTACGTTGATGAACACTTGCAGCTGGTATCAGGTGCCTCCCTTGTGTCAGACAGGCAAGGAAACCACAGAAAGCTTTAAGAAATTTTGAATATGTGTACATCATCTAACATCTGTTCATGACATCTACAGGTTGATTTGTGTATGTGCAAGTTCTGGAACCATACATTTGCTTCGTATCAACTTGGATATAGCAGGCAAGGTGAATCAACCGAGCAAAAATGTAGTACATGAAATTGCTAAGTTGAAGCTCCCAGGAGATATATTCTCTTCACCGGTGATGATTGGCGGAAGGATTTTTGTCGGTTGTAGGGATGATTATGTGCACTGCATTGCACTTGAAAACCAGAGTTCCACATAAGAATGAAAGATGCGGTTATAGATAATTACCATTTACAGTCATATAATTACCATTTACTCTGGACATCTTGGCTGCTTAATATGGTAACGAAGAAGCTCAAAGCTGATGTGTTTTCTCTAATGTTGGGTGGCTCCACCAAGTACCATAAACTGATAGAGAGAGGTAAACTTTTATTGAATTATTTTTATTATATTGGAATAAAAAACAAAGGAATATTGTTTGGGATTCTCTTATAATGTAGTTAAAGTTGAAAAGTTTGATCACCACGGCAATAAGAGCAGCCTCAAAATTCTCAAGAGATCCTTACCAAAGGAGCATCCAATTCGTTAGCAGGGAAAATCTTCGAAAAAGTTCAGAAACACTTCCAGCAGAGTAATTGACCTTTTCTCTTTGCTGTATTTCAATTATAGACATGAGCAGGAAACGATAACATAAAACATTTGGCAGGCTATCGGACCTGACATGACTTGTTCGTTACCCTGGAAGAAAGGCCAGATATGTTTTTGCTGCAACTGGACTCAGTAGACATTTTGAAGGAAAACAAGCAAGTGATAACTTCTCTGTAAACCTCAAAGCAAGCAACAAAAAGAGGAAAGCAAGAGGGGGAAATGGGATTGGGAATTGGTGATGCTTGTTATTATACAACCTAACCATCAGTCATTTAACTATCTAGGCATAGTTTGGTGGCCACAACCTTTCAAGAGTGAGGAAAACGTTTTGAATTCAACTCCAACCTCCTCCAAAAATTTATGCCCTCAATGATCATTTATTAAAAATTAAATTAAATTTAAGATTAAATGATAATAAAATTATTTATTTATGTACAAATATTTAACTTCAATGAAGAATTTTTTTATAATTTAATAAAAATATTATAAATTATTATTTATGTACAAAAATATTAACTTCAATGCAAGAATTTTTTTATTAATTTAATAAAAATATTATACTATATATATATATATATATATATATATTATTATATATATATGACATGATTTGAAATTAATTTTACAATTTAATTATATATTATTATTTTTTTATTAATCTTCTTTAATTTTTATTAATAATAATCATTAAAATAAAATAAAAATATCTATTTTTAAAAGTTTTATGAATTGTGGTATTTTACAATTTAATTATATTATTATTATTTTGTTATAATCTTCTTAATTTTATTAATAATAATCATTAAAATAAAAATAAAAGATATCTATTTTTAAAGTTTTATGAATTGTGGTATAGAACTATAAGCCAACATACTATTTTAGTATTTGATAAATTCTATTTGAGTATTGCTAAATAATTATAAATTCAAAATAAAAAATCTTATACAAAAGTGAAACATCCGGTTCAGTCGAGTTGACCCGGTCCAATCACGATCCAATAACGATGCCGGTTCTGTAATTGGTCCGGTTTTAAAAACATAGGTTATAATTGATAATTTAGAAAAGATTAACAGTAAAGGAGTTCATTGCATAATCGGTTAAACAAGAAAAAAAAAATTAAAAAAGAAAAAGAAAAAGAAAACAGAATAACAGAAAATCTTTTTTGAGTTTTGAACGTTGGGATTTTGTGTTGAGGGGTTCCTCCTCTTAGTCTCTTACCAATAGGAACAGTCATCTCTCATCCAAACTATGTTTCTTCTTCCTTACAGACCAAATTAATATACTTATGCAATTATCTATGATCACATAGAAACATATATATGCAGAGAATTGCTGATGAAGCTGATTATTTGATTGGGTTTTTAGTATAAATTTCTGAAAATCTTTGAAGGTTTCATTTATACTTTCTTAAATACTCAACAAACAGTGTCAAGAAATGGCTAATAGAAATATGTCATCAACCTGGTACCAATTTTCTCATTTCAACTTCCCATTTATTTTTGTTCTTCTGATTTATTTTGTTCTTCACATTTTTATTTCATTTCAGGTTGTCCAAGAATGCATCCTCATCAGAACATGAATTGCCCCTGTCTTTAGACAGAGTGAGCTATTATACAATTCTTGATCTTGATATATATTTTTTATTTATGAAAGTGTGAATCTAATTCACTTTTTATTGTTTTTTAGGAACTTTGGGCTTCAAAATCAGCAAAAATATCTTCCCTACTAAAAGGAAATCCTAAAGAAAACATAAACACTCTTCTTCAAGATTTCTCTGCCAATCCTGAAATTATTGAGCTCGTTGCAAGATTCTGTCATGGGTTTGAAATAAATTTAGCATCTGAGAATGTTATTCCTCTTATTTGCATTGCTTACTATTTGGATATGACAGAAACTCATAGCAGTAATAATCTACTAAAGAAGGCTGTGACCTTGTTTGAACAAAAAGTTCTTCCAAATTGGAATGAAACAATCAAAGCTTTTCGTTCTTTGAATGGCAGTATGCTTCAACAAGCAGCGCGAATAGGTTTGCTCGATGCTTGTTTAGATTCTTTAGTCGAAAAAGCAAAGGCTAACCCTTGTCTTCTCGGAGATCCATTAATAATAAAAAATTCTGATGAGGATAGTGGCGATGAGAAGGAAGGATATAGACCAAATGCAAGAAGAAGACTTTTTGTTGTTCTTGATTGGAAATCGGAGGATTTATCAACCTTGTCTCTTAAGCTATATCAGCCTGTAATTCGCGCTATGGTTGAACAAGGAGTTCAATTACAGTATGTGATGGCCTCTCTCTGTCAATACTTGGAGGAATGGGTTTTCTCCAGTGGAGATAACATGTCAATTTACAAAAGGAATTGTCAAAGGGATGTGATTGAAGTAGTTGAAGGACTCTTGCCTACTGAGAAAGGACTAGTTCCTTGTACATTGTTGTTTAAAATGCTCAGGCATGCAATTTTGTTGGAATCAAGCAATGATTGTAGAAATGGACTGGAAAGTAGAATTGGGAAGCAATTAGACCACGCAACAGTGAGAGACTTATTAATACCTTCTCAAGGGTATGCAAAGGAAATGCAATATGATATAGAATGTTTAAGGAGGATTTTGAAGCATTTTTATAGCAACTATACCTGTTCTGAAAATTCAGGCCTAATTGTAGTTGCAGAACTCATTGAAGATTTTTTAGTAGAATTAGCAAGTGATATAGATTTGAAGATAGATACATTTATCGCGTTTGCTGAGATGTCAATAGCCGTTTCATCTGGAACACAAAAAAATTCTGATGGAATATATAGGGCTATTGACATTTACCTTGACAAACACAGGTTTTTGACAGAACTAGAAAGAGAAGAGGTATGCAAGATATTGGATTGCCATAAAATGTCACCTGAAGCTTGGGAACACGCTGCGAAGAACGAAAGGCTGCCTTTAAGGTTTGTAGTGCAAGTATTGTTTGTAGGACAGTTGCGACTGCAAGAGCACAAAGACACAGTGGAAAAGGAAGTTCAACTTCTTGATGAAAATTTGAGGAGAGAAGAAGAAGTAAGGATTGAAATGGAGAAAATGAGCATTAAAGTAAGGGAGTTAGAGAAAGAATGCCTTATAATGAAGAAAGAAATTGAGAATAATGGTTGCAGCAATCACAAAATGATTAAAACAGGGAAGATCAGTATGTGGAAAGAAATGAAGAGAAAATTAGGGTGCATTAGTAGCATGAATGATTGTAATTGCCAAGTGAAAAAGAAGAAAGTACTTCCAAAATAATAGCTCATTAGAATTTATCAGATTCATCTTCTCCCAATTTATGTGTATTCTGAATACATATACTATATATTTCTGCAATTTTTCTTCGGTTATGCTTCTTTATATGCAGTTTTAAGCATCTCTTTTATCTATGTCTGAAGAAAGATTAGATATTTGCAAAGGTTTAAGTAGATGCCTTATAATTTCAGAATAACCGAGTCCATTCTTGAATTTTCCTGGACTGTTCATAGAATTCTCAAGAAGAGCAAGATTCTTCTTTCTGGGAAGTCAAAAATGGAAACCAGTACAGAAATTTAATGGGAAAAGAACTATTTTTTTCTTCAAATTACATTTCTTAAATAGATCCAAGCAGATCTTAGTTGGAAATATCAATCATGATTAAACACACAAAATAATTCGTGCAGATTGATCCCTGTAAGCTTTCACAATAATTTACAAATATGCAAAACAAAAGAAAAAGCATGCAGTACAAATATATTTTTTTTTCATTTTCCCATTTCTTATTTTCATGGTTTCTTGAAATTTTTTTTTAGAAGGACAAGATATCAGAATGGGCAACAACTTTTCACTTTCGAGAAAGTAAAATTTTTACCATTCTTCTTTATCCTTAATCTTCTTCCCCATTGGAGGTTCTTTATCCTTAATCTTCTTCTCCATTGGAGGATCTTAGGGCATTATAATCTTCCTTGTACATTGCAAGATATCTTTTGTCACTCCCTTACAACCATTTCTCTCTTCCAGTGTCCTTTAAATCAACTGATACCAATCTAAGAGAAAATTTTTGAATATATCTTATGTGCAAATCCATCTATAGATCATATTTTCTTTCTTGGACGAGATTACCTAGAGATAGCTAATGGTATTACACTTTCTCTAGAATCAACCTACTCATAACTATCTTCTCCATTTGATGGATCAGCTTCTTCGTGTTCATCATTACTGCCATTATTATTAAGATCATCTGAATTATCATATTCATTTATTACAATAATACCACTAAAATGAACACGGCGCGTTCCACCGTTAGGAGCATTCTCATCAGATTTATCAGATGTTGGATTGGTGGGTGGTGTGGCTGAAGCCTCTATATCAACACCGCAGGTTGTGGTTCTTGAGACAGATTTGGACGGTGGACGAGATGCAGCAATTCTTGGTTTGATACATGCATATATGTAAATAAAGAACCAAAAAATCCATGGAATGCCTGTAAGAGAAAATCCTACAATGGGATACCAAGATTCGGTTTCATATGAAGGAAGGAAAATGTAAAGACCAAGAAAAACTCCACCAGAAACAATACAAGAAAAGAAAAAAGCTGAAAGAAAATATATTATTTTAGAGTCTCCTTTCCTTTCCTCCAATGTCATGGCGGTCTTGTCCAGGCCTGTTTGTTTCTACGGTAGTGGTGGAGTTGGGCGGATTGGAGCTTTGCAGCAGAAGCCGCCCATCAAGGGGGAAAGGAAAATCAACAACAATAAAAAGCATTGAGGGAAGGTTTGTTAGTGCAGGGAAAAAATAAAGTTTGTTAATATGTAATGGTTTTGGCATAATTGATGAAAAGTATTGGATAATATAAGCAAATATAATATTTTCAGTTATAAGCGTAGCTTATATAATAATAATAATAATAATAATAATAATAATAATAATAATAATAAACTGTTTATTTTCATACATATATTTTTATTGGTAGAAATGAAACAACAGGCAGCTTTCCCTTTTCCATAATAAGGGCTTTTCCTCACACGTCCTTGTGATTTATTTATTTATTTTTATGCAACAGCAAAAAAAAAAAAAAAAAAAAAAGGGCTTTTCCTTCACACGTCCCTTGTGCATTTATTTATTTATTTTTATGCAACAGCAAAAAAAAAAAAAAAAAAGAACCCTTTATTCATCACAATTTTTAGTGATTTTAAAAAAAAAAAAAAAAAAAAGAACCCTTTATTCATCACAATTTAGTGATTTTAGGTTAGGAATTTCATTAATCATAACCCCTGTTTTTTTAATCAACATAATTTGATAGCAAAGAGAGAAAATTGGTATGGAGCAGGTTTATAATACCTCACACATTGTACTTTAAATGTCAAATAATATTATATTACTTACAATAATATAAGGTCAAGGGTGTAAAAAGTACATGAACACACCTACTCATAATCACAAAACTTCTCTTTATCATAACATCACCTTTGCAACATTATCAACATCCTAATGTGAAAAACGAAGCTCAAACAGCATTCATAATGTACGCTGCCTGTGGTGGCATTGCAATATCAGGTAATCAATAACTACCAGCTCCAGCGACTCTGTTACTATTTTCCAAGACCTTTGAACTTTGGTAAGAAAATATCCGTACTGCGTTTCTGTAACTATGTCCTGCAAGTTCTTCTTTGGTCATGTCTAGCAAAGATGCAACGTAATCAAGTACCTGGATAAGTTGTGGGAAATTGTTGGACATTTTCAATAAACTGTTAAGCAAATGAATGACAAGTTATTCTGCATGAGGGAACCAGAATAACATACGTTAAGGATATTTGCAGGATGATTAAGAGTTTCTCTTGGAAGTGATGATGCATCCGTAGAAGGATGGGAACGATCATTAGAAAGACTTGCAGTGTTTGAACCAAAATTTTCTCCTTGTGATTGAATCCCTTCAGGGGCAGATTTATCTCCATCTACCAAAAATAGAGAATCCAAATTTGAATTTGGCACGGCATCAGGTGAATCAGTCTCCAACAAAATTCTGTCAGAAGATACCTGCAAAAGTTAAGAGATAAGTATGTTGAATTTTTCAAGTAAATATGCATTGAGGACAAAAATGCAATTCATGAACTAGACTAACCGCTTTTAGCATACGTTTAGCCTTCTGCACTTTCATGAACATAAGGAAGCCCGAGAAAGAGAAGTATGCACCAAGCTTGGCAAATTCAGGAACCATCTCAGCAGAACCTAGGTAAGAATGAAGAATGACACCAGCAGGGAAAGGTCCCATGCTTCTGATGATTGGAAATTTTACATGTAATCAAAGCTTGGTACAGATTATAATGGCTAAACAAGCAAGTAATGACCAATGACTTGACAACTGATATAAAGGAGGTCCAATGAAAAAACCATGAGCCAGCAGAAATGCCTCAGAATCAAAGAAAGTTTTATTTTCACAAAGCATCAAGAAAGTGATCCTGCAAGGCAACAATGGCCAGCAATTGCAAAATCTGCACTGCACTTAGGCCCTTAAGCAATCCCCAGTTTGCCAACACCATAAAGGGGCAAAGATGTGATATGACAACATACACAGCATAAAACCTAATTTCATAGTGGACTAATTGCAATATTGATTCAGCAAATCAAGATACACATAACTAATTGTATGTTGAATGCTGATTATGCTTCCAAACTTATATGAGCTAAACCTACCTCCCAATACGATTCCAGGAAAGAAAACAACTTTAAGAGCAGAAACAATAACATATAAATTCATACCTCATTGTCTCAAGAAGATCACCAAATGCACGGACACAATGAATGGACGCCGGTCTATTCAGCTCTTTTGCAAGTTCAAGTTGTTGCTTAAATACTTCAACCTAGAATGAAAAACTTTACCCATTAAAAACAGTGTAGAAAACTACATTAATTTTTTTAATCTACTAATAGTCAAGATGGTTAGTTTGTAATGAAAACAAGTAAAGATGCAATTATACATGTAAAGAAAAGTACAGTGCAATGAGAATAATAAAACAAAAAGAACTATATCTACTCCTACTTGAGATACCAAGTAAGTCATGTATTGGATTAAAATTCCTCTTAGACCATACAATTAAACAAAAAGAACCACTGGCCATCTTCTTCCATGCATAAAATTAAGAATGAACCTAATATTTGTCCAACAGCATCATCTGATTAATAAATAACATTATGGAGTATATAATTTTATCTCAGCCCTTCAACTTTAAGGCAACTCAAAAACAAAATATGATGACAAAAAAATATCTAGATAGCGAAACCTGATCCATGATGTCGATCTTCTTACCACGAGAACCTTTGTCCAAACCAATCTGAAAATTTTAATATAATAGTTGTGTTAGTTTATATGCACCCTTGGGTACATAACAATCTCACACATTACATCTACAAGAATCAAACATGTCAACTTTATATTCTCCTATGTCCAAATTTGACTTAGAAGTACCCACAATATCAAATCATATAATAAACATATGTCCTTTCATTACAAACAAAATATACACAACAATAATAGTACTGTAAAGGAAACCATAAACAGGAAATTGGAATCTAACCTCTCCAACAGCAGCAGAGGGATTGGCCTTAAAAAATTCTTTAAGAGTGTTCATCCAATTGGGAGTTCTCTCGGCAATATACCTACAAATGAAAGAGAACAAAATTTAGAAGAAGTCTAGTACCTAATGAATATATTTGGGGGCTTAAAATTCTTTTTAACGAGTGGTTCATCCAATGGGAGGTTCTTCCTCGGAATATACCTACAAATCGAACAGAAAGAACAACAATGTTAGGAAGAAGTCTAGTACCTAAATGAATAATATTATATAGTACTATATATATATAATGATATACTATATTATATACTATATATATATATATATATCCTGGTCTGAGGAAAAATTACAAACGTTTAGGCAATATACATAAAAACTCACAAGGGGGAGTGGCGACACGAAGCAAGGGTATAACAGAAGGATACTGGGATTCGGCCATGTCTTTTACACCAGATGCCAATCTCTCACTAAAGGGATCTAAACTACAAGTTTAAAAAATTTTGAAAATGATTAATTAAAAGAAAGAGACAGATGGGTAGGAGTAAGTACCTCGCAGACTCCACTTGAAGGCGAAATGAACTACGCCGGAGTTGACGGCGGTGGCGATGAAGTTTTGTGGACGCCTGGTTGATGATTCTTGGGTCTTGCAGTGACAGTGTGCATCAAACAGTTTTCATGGCCATATGGTTCCGTACCCTTACTCCGACTTGTGCTCCGCACCTCACATATATATATATATCCTGGTCTGAGGAAAAATTACCAAACGTTTAGCATATACATAAAAACTCACAAGGGATGGAGACCGAAGCAAGGTATAACAGAAGGATACTGATTCGCCATGTCTTTAACCAGATGCCAATCTTTCTATAAAGGATCTAACAAAGTTTAAAATTTTGAAATGATAATTAAAAGAAAGAGAAGATGGGTACGAGTAAGTACCTCGCAGACTCCATTGACGGCGAAATGAACTACGCCGGAGTTGACGGCGGTGGCGATGAGTTGTGGAGCCTGGTTGATGATTCTTGGGTCTTGCAGGTGACAGTGTGCATCAAACAGTTTCATGGCCATATGGTTCCGTATCCTTACTCCGACTTGTGACTCCGCACCTCACAGGCACGCGTTTGAATAGGTTAGTAAGGGCCTGTTGTTTTTGGGCTTTGACGGTTGCCTCTGCTCGGCCCACAATAATAAATTTTATTTTATTTATTTATATTTCTTTTTTGTTTTTTAAAGAAAGTTTATACTATAATACAAGTTGTAGAAGGGAGGGTTCAAAATGAAATATAGGACAAGTTGGAATTTGATGACCTACCAACTTCCAACTATAATGGACTAACTGCAAAACCTATTCCTTCTATAAAAAATTATTTATCAAAGTTAAATTTTTGACCATTACGAATTTATAAACTACTTTAATATTATTTAAATTATATTAATTAAATATCATTTAGTTCTCTATTTTTGATCATAAGCGTTTTTATCAAATTAATAAATGAAATGGACAACAACTCTCCATCCATTATGTTATTTTGGTATTGAATTTCACAATAAATAAAAAAAATATTGATTAAAATATCTATCAATTTTCACTAAAATAGAAATAGGTAAATGAAAAAATATATATAATAACGATAATTAAAAGTCACTCTCCAAGGAAAGTTCAATATTCTAATAATTTTTGCATAACCTTCCATGGTGGAAAATGGAACACGTCGACCCCTAAAGTTACACTGTATTCAAAAATCATTCTGAGATCCTCTTAGCCACAATTTTTTTTTTTTTTCACAATTTTAAGGCACAAAACAAGAGAAATGTATAAAAAAAAAAAGTACAGAACAACAATAGGACACGTTGGACATTACCTTAACCAGTAAAAGAAGCCCACGCCACAGAACCGCAAATCGCAATCAGCCAATCAGACTCCAACTTGTTGATCTCCTCTTCCCTACCTTCTCCTTCCTTCTTCCTGATAATGACTTTCCCCTACTTCTAAAACCTCTTTAAAATTTTCCCTTTTTCTTTCATTTCTTAATAAATAAACAAATGCCTTTATTTATTTTTAAAATCAGCCGCCTCACCCTGTCGTTTCTTTCTAATTAAAAAAAAAAAAAATGGAACATGAGTGATTAATACTTCTGTAATAAAATTGGAAAAAATATTTAATAATTTATATTTATTCATTATTATATGCATTCATATTTATAAAAATTGAATCAATTATTAATTAAAATCTTATTGTGAATAATATGTCTTTTAAGTTTCAACAAAGAGATTAATGCCATGGTATATACAGAAATAAATAAAATAGTATCGTTTTATTTATAAATCAAAACAAATTATTAAACTCATAATTTAATGATTAAGTGTATCTAAATGTATATAAATATAAAAGTTCATTGATAGTTTTTTAAGAAATATATTTCAAAATTGCACCATTTTACACGATTTCGAATTTTCTTTATAAGCATAATTCCAAAGCTGCATTTTTTTTTCTAATTTTTGGAAAAGGGAGTTTGAGTTCCAAAATTTTTTTATAAACTTAAAAATTTTCTTTCACCAAAGAAAATCAGCAAAAATATCAGCAATATAAATATATACCAAAGAGAAAAGTGATTGGTTCCCATAGAAATGGAAGCAAGTTTTGTGTTGAAGCAGTTACCGAGCTGCTTGAGTCTCTCCCTCCGTTGGTTACCTAGTCAAGTACCCAATACCAAATTCCTTTCTTTCTGTTCCTCCAGTAAATCCCACTTGCTTTTCTTCAATCCCAAATACCCATCTCCTTCAAAACTTCAAAATTTCATTTTGAATAGCAGCAATGGCGCCACCAAACCCAGAACCACTACCAAGAAAAGGAAAATTCCTAAAAGATCTATTGGTATCTCAAAATCCAACGGTAACAAATCAAGAACTGCTAGTTCTAGCAGCACGGAAAGTAAAAAGATCGTTTTAGTTCAAGAAGAAAGGGAAAAGGAAGAGAAAAAGGAGATAAATGTGAAGTCTTTGCATCAAAATGGGGACCCACTTGGACGGAGAGATCTAGGAAAGAACGTAGTAAAATGGATAAGCCAAGGAATGAGAGCAATGGCTAATGATTTTGCTGCGGCGGAGACGCAGGGGGAGTTCTTGGAACTCCGGCAAAGGATGGGATTAGAGGCTGGCTTGACGTTTGTTATACAAGCGCAGCCTTATATTAATGCTGTTCCTATACCTTTAGGCTTAGAGGCTCTTTGCTTGAAGGCTTGTGCTCATTATCCTACTCTGTTTGATCATTTCCAAAGAGAGCTAAGGGCTGTTCTTCAAGACCTGCAGTCTAAAGGGTTGGTTCAGGATTGGCGAAAGACTGAATCTTGGAAGTTGCTCAAGGAGCTTGCTAATTCAGGTTTCTTTTAATTTCTCAGTATTCTGTTTCTTTAAATTAGCGTTGCCTATTAAAAAAATTTACTTTATGCTTCAAAACTTGTAAATATCTAATTGTTTAATGCAGTAATAAATTTAAAACATTCATTTTTGGATGAATAAAAGGTTTCGTGATTGGAAGTTTGGGATTGACTAGTTAATTGGTATCTAAAAGATAAATAAGGCATTTATAGTTGTTTTTAAAGATTAAGTTTGTTAGTCTGGATTGTGGTCTGAGACACTGCATTTGCAGTTCAGCATAGGGCAGTTGCTCGAAAGGTGTCGCAACCAAAGCCTTTACAAGGAGTTCTGGGGATGAAATTGGAGAAGGCTAAGGCTATACAGGGAAGGATTGATGAGTTTACCAAGAGCATGTCAGAATTACTCCGCATAGAGAGGGATGCTGAGCTGGAGTTTACACAGGAGGAGTTGAATGCTGTTCCTACACCCGATGAAAGTTCTAATTCATCTAAACCAATTGAGTTCTTGGTTAGCCATGGTCAGGCTCAGCAAGAGCTTTGCGACACTATCTGCAACTTGTATGCTGTTAGCACGTCTACAGGTTATTTAATAATTTAAATTTTCCATGACTAATTGTTTTCAGCTGTTGTATTTGCAGATAGGGTCTTAAAATGATAAATGCCTGCCAAGTAATGTCAGAATTGGGATTTGTATACAGGATTAGGAGGAATGCACCTAGTACTGTTTAGGGTCGAAGGGAATCATAGATTGCCACCTACAACTCTTTCACCTGGAGATATGGTTTGTGTGAGAACTTGTGATAGCAGGGGTGCTGGTGCAACTTCTTGCATGCAGGGTTTTGTGAACAACCTCGGGGAGGATGGCTGTAGCATCTGTTTGGCTTTGGAATCTCGTCATGGTGATTCCACCTTCTCTAAGCTCTTTGGAAAAAGTGTTCGCATTGATCGTATCCAGGGACTAGCTGATGCGCTTACATATGAGGTACTTGATAAATTATCTTACACACTCATTCTTTTATATTACTTGTTAGTATTAGAATGTGTTAGGTAAATCCAATTTGTGTTAGTTCTTTGTCACATATCTCAGCAACATTATTCTTGTTGTTATGTTTTCTAATTGCTTAGCAACTTGCCTTCCATCGTAACCTATACCTTTAGTTGAATCATATCTTTGGCTGTTCTTTACATGATGCTCATTGTTGCCTCCTTTTGATCCTGAAAAGTTACTGCTTGTATGTCAGATAATATTTATGCCATCCTTTATCTTTAATTCTTTCCAAAAGTTATAGGAGAATAATTCAATGTTGGATTAGTGGAATAGGAATGTGATTCAATGCGCTAGTGTAATAAGAATGTGACTCTTATAGATTAGCATACTCCGAAAAGACTTCTCAAAAGTTTCATAAGTGAATTACTTTCTAATGAGTTCAGGTAGTGCAGACTAATACTTCTCTGGTGCAATAGATATTTTATTGGATTAAATTTCCATTCTTCTTGTTGCTACTATAAGGTTACTGGTGTATCAGTTTGTAACCGCTTCAATAATAGGCACATAAAAAAATGTCTATTTTTGTTTTGCATATTTGCTACCAATGCAAACAAATTTTCTGGGTTGATTCGATGTGTTAAAAACTTAAAATGTGATGAAAAATATATCTCTTTTCTCTGCTTCTTAGATTTTCTTTTCAATATTTCTGCAGTTTACATGCGTAATTAATATCTTGTTGTAATCTTCTTTTGAAGCGTAATTGTGAGGCCCTGATGCTGCTTCAAAAGAATGGTCTGCAGAAGAAAAATCCATCAATTGCTGTTGTGGCTACATTATTTGGTGACAAGGAAGAGGTTGCATGGTTGGAGGAGAATCATTTGGCAGAATGGGCTGAAACAGATGTGGATGGATCTTCTGGAAGTTTAATGTTTGATGAGGCGCAGCAGAGGGCACTTGCCTTAGGATTGAACAAGAAACGCCCCCTATTGATTATCCAGGGGCCACCTGGCACTGGGAAATCAGGTTTGCTTAAGGAACTTATTGTGCGTGCTGTTGACCAGGGTGAAAGGGTGCTCGTGACAGCACCTACAAATGCAGCTGTTGACAATATGGTTGAAAAGCTTTCAACTATAGGGTTAGACATTGTGCGAGTTGGTAATCCAGCTCGTATTTCTTCAGCTGTAGCATCAAAATCTTTAAGTGAAATAGTGAATTCTAAGATGGCAACTTTTTGTATGGAGTTTGAAAGGAAAAAGTCTGATCTAAGAAAAGACCTCAGACATTGTTTAAAGGATGATTCTTTAGCTTCTGGCATTCGTCAGCTTCTAAAACAGCTTGGGAAGTCACTGAAGAAGAAGGAAAAAGAGACTGTCAAGGAGGTTTTATCAAGTGCACAAGTGGTTCTTGCAACCAACACTGGAGCAGCTGATCCACTGATTCGGAGGTTGGATAAGTTTGACCTGGTTGTTATTGATGAAGCAGGGCAGGCAATAGAACCTTCTTGCTGGATCCCAATATTGCAGGGTAAACGTTGTATTCTTGCTGGCGACCAATGTCAGCTTGCTCCAGTGATTCTATCCAGAAAAGCCTCGGAGGGTGGACTTGGCATATCTCTTCTGGAAAGAGCTGCGTCTCTGCATGAAGGGATCCTTGCAACCAAGTTAACAACACAATACCGTATGAATGATGCAATAGCCAGTTGGGCCTCCAAAGAGATGTATGGTGGATTATTAAGGTCTTCTTCAGAAGTTGCTTCACATCTTCTTGTAGATTCTCCATTTGTTAAGGTAACAATACGCTCTAGTGATATTGACTTTGATTTAGCTCATGAATATCTTTGTGAAAATGTTTGTGGGAATGGGCATCTATTTAGTGATTTTTTGCTTAATTGTTAAATTTTTCATCATTTTGGTCCCTATGCAATGTTTAATATATTATTGAACTTCTCATACAATAAACATTACTAACACTATGTCTAGAAAATATCTTTGCATTAGATTTTACCTTCACGTGTATATCGAAGACAGTGGTTAAGAATATTGCGATGTTTACATTCAATAATGTCTTGGTAAATACTTTATTGCTGAAACTGGGTTATTGCGTCTCTCTTAGTTACATTTGCCATTCATTTGCGCTATTTTCATGAGATGTGAAGCATCACCTTGACAGTTGGTATATGTTTCTGTAGCCCACGTGGTTAACTCAGTGCCCCCTGCTGTTGCTTGACACAAGAATGCCATATGGAAGTTTGTCAATCGGTTGTGAAGAGCATTTAGACCCAGCCGGAACAGGCTCATTTTACAATGAAGGAGAAGCTGAAATTGTTGTTCAACATGTCATTTCCTTAATTTATGCAGGTAAATAATTTTGCTGCTTGCATACAAATTAAGTGCTCATGTATTCTTGCACTATCATTGTTGAATGATGAACCAACCCTGCCATAGATAACATTTTTCCTTTATTTTTGGTGCACGCTAAAAGCTTGGATCAAATTAGTGATGATGCACTTGTCGAATGCTTCTTTTGCTAATTACTGCAAGATGACATTCAGATTCTTGTATGAATATGTACTATCCTGAATTTGAACTGGATAGGTTGTAGGATTATCGATCAATAATATTCTCCATGGTAATAAAATCATTAAATATTAGCATGTGCGGAAGTGAACCTAACTTAAATTTGATTCCAACTCAAATTTCTGGGTGCATTATGATTATTTTTCATTGCCGTACACTCTGCATGCTATTCTATCAATACATAAGCTTTCAGTAGTTGCCGCAACAGCTTCTATTGAACTACCTATCCCAGGACTCTATGTAAGACCGCAACTAGGTAGTTTCTTCAGGTACTTTTCAAGGCTAACTTAGGTTTTTTTCATTGAATCTATCCTGCAGGTGTAAGGCCAACAACTATCGCAGTTCAATCACCTTATGTTGCTCAGGTACAGCTCTTGAGAGACAGGCTTGATGAACTTCCAGAGGCGGCCGGTGTTGAGGTTGCAACTATTGATAGCTTCCAAGGCCGTGAGGCTGATGCAGTAATCATATCAATGGTATACTTCTCATACTAGTAAAGTAGCGTCACTTGGCACCTATAATGCTATCCAATGAATATTCTTCATTTTTCTTTCTGCTTAAATTTCCAATTCAAGCATGCACTAGACATTGAATATATCACCGTTATCCCTAACTTGGAGTATGTTTTTCATCTTTCTTTCATTTACTAGGTTCGCTCGAACACTTTGGGAGCTGTTGGATTCCTTGGAGACAGCAGGCGAATGAATGTTGCCATTACAAGAGCGCGGAAACATGTAGCTGTTGTCTGTGATAGCTCAACAATATGCCATAACACCTTTCTAGCAAGACTCTTGCGCCACATCCGCTATTTTGGTAGGGTCAAGCATGCTGAGCCTGGAAGTTTTGGGGGATCTGGACTTGGTATGGATCCAATGTTACCTTCAATCAGTTGAGTACAACATAACATCATTTCTCCAACTAGAAATTGATTTGGAGAAGAAGGTGACATTAGATGTCTGGGTTCTGCTTTTGTATCATCCATTTATGTACAGAAGGTTTTTCATTTTTGTCGAACCGAAAAATCAATGCCATTCTTAATTGTAGTTATTGGTTAGATTTTTGTATATAAACAGCACATAAATGCCATTCTTAATTGTATAGGATATGGAGTTGATAAATTGTTTAATGAAATTTCAGTGCAAGCTTGATAAATTATTTAATGTTATGTTCAGCTTTTTGTTTCCAAAACTGTTGAAGCTTTCAAAATGCCAGAAAGTAACGCTTAGAGGTGGTGCTCAAATTGATGGCAGCAAGTAGGGGCTTCATTTATTTTGGTTTTTAATGTCTGATCGAAATGGCAAAATTCAGTTCATTCATGCAAATAATAAATAAGATGGCTAACCGTCATGTTCTTCAAACCTGCTAGAAATCTGACCATTCATTCCACTAAAATTCTTCATCATCAATCTCATAGAGAAACAATTAGTTACAGAGACCAACAATCTCCATATTGGAGAAACAATATTTTCATGAGGAAAAAGAACAAGAAACTCCCATTATAAAGAGAACAAAATAAAAGAAAATGCTAATCAACGACTAAAAATATGCGAAAGCTTTTTAAGTATCTTTCTTGCGATATATATTAATAATAATAATAATTATTATTATTATTAGTAATAGTGAGTGAACTTATAATACAAAATTATTAAATACAATTTTTTATTACTAGTCTCTAGAAGCACTATTTTTTAACCATTAAATTATTTCTACTAATTTAGCTACGGAATGCATATTTCACAGTGTTCCATAATGATAAATTTTCAGACAATTATAAATATTAGACGACGTTTATCTTATTCTATAAAAATAAAAACAGTAATAAAATTATAATAGCCATATAAGAAAAAGAAGATCCATCCATTTAAATATTTGACATTTGCAAACAAATTCCACATTTGATTAATTCTCAAAAAACGTTTGTTGATATTTTATAAATTTTTGTTCACGTGAATTCACCTCATTTTAAATGCACATCCATCCAAATTCAAATCTTTCTGTAGTCAGTTCAATGAACTCAATTCTTAATATCAGTCATTAACCCTTAAGATCTCATTAACTGCTTTTAGAGCATGTTCGGTAAAATTAACTATTTGCATAACTGTCTGTTTCAGAAATTTAGCTGTTTGAATAGCTAGTAGCTATTTTAGTAACTTTTCCCAAAATATTAAAAGCTAAATATTATAGAAGTTTACTTTTTATAAAATGTTACGTTTAACTTTTAAAAATTAGTCCAAATATTACGTTTAACTTTTGATTCATAAATACGCTAAAAGCTACTTTAACAGATATTGTCGAACACTGACCTTATAAAATATAAATTCGACAACATAAAAGATAGAAGGATTTTGGCATTTCTGGAAGTAGTTGATTGGCCAACGGCAGTAGGTACATTTTTTGTTCAAGTAAGAGAGGATCCAACCTATATGTTAATGAATTTATGTTATTAGTTCGACTATTGATATTTATTTTCCTCCTCTTCACTTGTCAAATGGGTATAGTTATATAAAACTTACCAAATATTATTATTATTATTATTATTCTATATGGAAATTTTTGAAAAAAAAAATATAAAATGAAATTGGTTTGAGAAAGAAAATGTTTTATTTTCCAGTAGAGTGAGTGATCTTTGTTACCAATAGAGGCAGAAATCCGTTTGTGTCATTAATATCAGAATTTGTCTCATATTATTACTCCCCAAGTCCCGCATTAATTCAACACTCTTTAATCTGTCAGCATCCGTTACACTCTTACAACTCTCTTTTTTGACATTTTCTCCTTTCTTTTTTTTCCTTCCAAAACACAAACTTTGCTTTCACTCTACTCCCCACAAATTAAACACTAACTACACACATATATATATATATATATATAAGCAAAAGAAACCAATTTTTCATCATATGTGCATTTTTCTTTTCTCCCATGGCTAGCAAGCACTATATGGTTACCATCTTTCTCTTGTTTCTTCTCTTCTCTTCTATAAACAATGGAGTTCATAGCTTAAGAAGACCCCAACAGAAAAGTAATATAAAGAATTCGCCTGCGGCATTTGGGCTTCTTGCCAAAGATAATCCTGTTCCTCCTTCAGCTCCTTCAAAGAGGCACAATGATCAATCGGAGAATATAGGCCGTCCGTCTAATTAGGGATGGTATCCATGGCTACTTCAAGAACTAGCATATGATTATAAAAAAAAAAAAGCACGACATAGAGATCGTTGTATTCTATGTATTAGCTCAGTTGGTTAGTGAATTTTACTTTATATATAGATATATATAGCCACGATGATATATGCATGTGTCTCTAGGAAAAACAAAGACATGATTTATGATTTTAGAATTCATGAACTTTGTTTTCTTTTTTTTCTTTTTTCTTGGTTCTAAATGAAAGTAATAATTGTAGTTCTATTCTCTTCTTCCATTCTGTTCAATAAAATAGGATATAATATATATATATATATATATAATCTAAGTGAATTATATATATATATAATCTAAGTGAATTTTGTACTATTGATCAGAAACTTTGTACTTATTATTTGCTTGAAAGGACATCCAATATATGGAAATGTCACTGTTTCCATAATTAGGATCCAATAAGTGATGTGCATGTCCAATCAATGCAAATTCTATACACAGATCAATCAAAATCCTTTCACTTTTGAGGAACTATTAGTTCCTAGGAAGCTAGTTTCCAGAAATTATGATATAAATGTGTTTGGTAATGCATATAAATTTCCGTAATAGTAAATTACTCTCAAATTACAGAAATTACAGAAAACGATAACGTCAACAATGCATTAAATGATAAATTGGTAAATCAGTTACACTTAATTAGGAAAAATACAACTTTTCAAGCCTTCTGTTGTAGGCAGCAAGTTACTTCCCTTGCAGCGGAACCAACTTCTCCACAAGTTGAATTGATAATGCAAACCAAAGAAAAAGATTTTATACACTTCTTAGAAAATTAAACTTAAATTTCCTAGTCTGCTTATCCCCAATCAAACCGCAATTTATATTATTTTCTTCTTCTAATTCGTTTGTGCCGCCCTTTTCTAAATTAATTAAGCTTGAATCGGGCATTGCATTTCTAATATTTTTGCCAAATGGTCCAAAAACCGGTTATAAGGAAAAGGAAATGGAAATCACAATGGGATACCCAAAAACACACATTTGATAGGCGTTTCTGATACGTTAAAAGAAAACATAAAAGGAAATAAAATCAAAGATAAGAAAGAGGGAAGAGAACAAAAAGTCAAGTCTGTGGAAATTTGTCAAAAAGTAATAATATATGCATTTGTTTGGTAGTTCAGAAAGGAAATGGTACTTATAATTATATGCAAATACAAAGGTTAAAAGAAAGAATTAATCATTATTATAATAAAATGGTTGACTAATATTAGTATAAAATAAAAATTAATTGTTGTGAAAGAAAGAAGTGTCAAAGGAGGTGAGGAGGGCACTAAAAGTTACGTTTTGAAGAAGGGATTGATTTCATTTCTAGGGCATACTTTCCAGCTGGGATAGTCCTAATGCGCACATGTATTTACATAAACAAAGCACAGTAAGCTTTGTCATTTAGTGATCAATCAACATCTACAAAAGGTTGACTTCTCCATCTGCTCTATTGTCTCTACTCAGCAAACTTGATAGAGTTTTAGGGAGACAAGGCAAATATCCCTCCATTCTTCAATCATTATTATTTTTTTTAACTCGTCATCCTATCATTTTATTGTGTCCCGTGCCTTTGCCTAAAAAAGAGAGGGCCAAATGTATAAATTCATCCTTAAATTATTCACAGAAAACCTTGTAGTACTCTCAGTTTTTTAAATTTATTAAACACTTCAGTTTATAAAATCATTTCATTGAATACTCTAACTTAAAAAATTAGATCATAAAATTATCGTTCCAAAAGTTGCACTTCCATACATCAAATCAATAATTTGCATATAAAAAAACTAACAAATTCTAAAATCTGTTATTGCTAATATAAAAAGGTCATAACTTTAGGAATACGAAGTTCCCTGTAAAATTTTGGAGTGTAACAAGACTTGCAGGGAAAAGTAAAGAAATGGATTTATGTATTTGGTAAAAAAAAAAAAAAAAAAAGGAAAAAAAAAAAAGGAGAAAAGAAGAAAGAACCCAAAAAGGGAAAAAAAGGAAAAGTGTAAAAAAAAAAAAAAAAAAAAGGAGAAAAGAAGAAAGACCCAAAAAAGGGAAAAAGAAAGTGAAAGCATCCCCAACCTTCTCAACTTGGTATATTCGTAGAGAAAGAGAGCATTAGGTATATTTTTTTGTCCACATGTTAGTCTCATACGTTTTGTAAGTGCTTTTAGTCCTACATGTTTACTTCTATATTCAAATAAACTATAGTTAGAAATTGAGTTTACAGTAAACATGAGAAAGTACTTGATTTTTAAAGTAAAAGTTATTGTCCACTTCAATACAAGAATTCTAGCACGCAAGAAATAGAGGATATGAAGGGACTTAGAGTCACCATGACTGGAAGTTGGGACATGCTTGAAAATACTTACAAGCAAAAACTTAAATCAAACGCATCATACCTCCTTTACTATTAATTAATATTAATATGCCTTCTTTATTAGTCACTGTTTTTAATTTTTTACTATTTATCTATCCTCAGATTACATATTTTCAAGGAATTCTAGTCCACTTGAAGTATTTACCTAACCAGATGAGATTCCCATTATTTCTCTAAATCTAGTGGTTACTAATATATTTGTGTAATGTTACTGCAAGTCTGCATCTAACCCAAAAAAGGATCCGTCACCGGCTCAAACTGTACCAGAACCAGAACCAGCAGGTCTGATATTCTTCTAACTGGTGGCAGTTTGATTTCAACCAGTTCCAGCGCAAACATTTCAGAATGGTTTTCTGATGATTCTCCCATCAGTTCCCTGGAGAAATTTTTAAAACTTTTTAGGAAGCATAACCCAAATTGGAAGGTTCCCAGCCAGGTATAATCCTAGTTCTGGTTCTTCCAGAAAACCGGTTCCTCAAGTTTCCTGTAGAACTGTTTCCAAATCAGAACCATTGCCACCCCATATTGAAAGCATTGTCATTTCAAGTAAAAAAATTCCAAGAATATGCAAATTTTAAGGTATAGCACCAATAAGTCCACATAATTTTCAAGCTCACAGACAACCATCAACATTCTTAAGCGGAAAATATTTAGGAAACTGCAGCTTCATAATGCTGCAGCAAGTAATAGACAATGCATTACTAAATGTTTTTCTTTTGGATCTTAGCATTGGTAGTTTGCTACCAAGCAAACTTAATGTTCTTGAGAAAAATGGAATACAAAGCTAAAGTTTAGAACAAAGAAAATTGACTTACTGTTCTTTCTATGTCATGGTACAAGAGAACTCAATGGAGAATTTTTGGTTCAGAATTAACATTGAGGTGGGTAATTGTTTAATCACTTCTGTCCTGCTGCTGCTCTGCTTCCACAGGCGTCTTGGTAGTCATTTGATCAACTGCATGCACAGTGGTCTGAAGCTCCTCCCATATGGCTTTATATACCATCCTCTGCCTATTCACAGCTGACTTTCCTTCAAAGGCTGAAGAAATAACATCGATACTGCAAACACATGGTAAAAATGAAAATTTTAATAATTCAGCTTGAAAAGGAAATTAAAGGGGAAAACAATTTTTTAAGCCACGCCAAACTTGAAAACTAAATATGATAAATGCTGAATATGCAACATGATAGTGTGCACGTGCATTTCAAACATCATCTTGATTTATGCAATTATTAGATAACGTCAATATGTGCTTTATACTCATGAATCATGTAAAGGAGGCTGCCATCAAGAAGCCAAAAAATGGGTAAAAGACTTCCAAATCTTAGACTAACCACGGAAAACTCATCTCTACCCCGAAAGAAGAAATTGATCAGATCCTGCATGAAGTGACAAAACTATCCACAATTCCCTTGGGCAGTTGGACCTGACTTTTAACCACAAGGAATGGTCAGGACAGGCTTGAATTACCCAAATGACATCAAAAACCCAAATTTCATGGGATTAGAAAAATGAAATGCTCCTGAAATAACTGTTTATGAGGCCAACAAAACTCTGTCAACTGGGACCATGATACAAAAGAGATTTAGGTAAAGGGGCCTCACCATCAACAGTATTGCTCTGACCCAAACTGCCCTATCCAAATATTTCACCAGGTCAATAAAGTATGAAAAACAACCTGCCATTGACTAGGAGGACAGAACATCAACCAACGAGCTAACGCTGTTCTACATCTCCACATTCATGAGATTCAGATCATGTAATCATGTAATACTGGGGATTTCCAGGGAATTAATCTTTTTGAACCACAATTCAAAGGAAGTCAAGCAATGGTTCTTGGTACTAGTAGAGTGCCATGTTTACCCCATCATTCAAAATTTAAAACAGGTGACAATGAAGTATCAGGATCTACAAAATTATATGCAATAATTCCTTTTGACAGGACAAAGTTCCCAGAGTTGCAAAATGGACAATGTGAGAAAATTGCTATAAGTTCAAATTTCAGAATTCGATCAAAAGGTTCAAGTGACTTTTACCATATATAATATCACTCATTTTGTGCATCAAACAGCAGAGTATCAACATGGATTTGCAGTCACAACAAGTCAAATCTCATGTAAGTAGCACGAGCTCAGATCAATTTGTACCAATGATGAGCATTTTTTTTTTCTATTAAAGAAAGAAACAAAATTGAGCTCATTCCAACTTTCTGGATCAGTCAAAGAACCTAAAGCAGACAGGAACAACCAGTTTGACTCGGTGAAATATTGGCACCTATAATTTTCTTTTATAAAATAATTGATATATAAAAGGTTATCAAGGGACAAGAAAACTATAAACCCAAACAAGACTGAGCCAATCAGCCATCAATTTGTACCCAACTGGACTAGTCTGAACAGGTGGTCTGGTACAATTTTCAAAACAATCAAGACAGAGCTAAATTTCCTTTTTTTTTTTTAAAAATAAAAAAAAAAAAAAAAACTTTGCCTCAGTAGGTTGTAGCACAAGTCTTTTCAATAAAATGTTATTTAATGTTTAATTAAAACCATCAGCATGTTATCATGCAAATTCAGGGTAAAAGAATTTTCATAAGTTTCATGTCAGATTGTAAAAGTGCATTCCAACAAATGAACAGCAAGTATGCAAAAGCAGAAACTGATATTGCTTTGTAAGACTGCCAAGCGCCAAGGTTCAGAAGAAAATGAAATCTAATCCAGCAACAATGAAAACATTGATTCTTCATATTCATGGAGATAGCTCATACACCAGGAAACAAACGTTACTAGTTAAAGCAAATAGCCTATACTTGATTTATTTCAGGTAATCAATAACACCTTCACCAAAATGAACTGTTTATAAATAACAGAGATATCAGCACACAAATAAGCATTGAAAAACACAACCAATCTATTTCACAAAAAAAAAAAAAAAAAAAAAAAAAAAAAAAATCAATAACACCTTCACCAAAAATGAACTTGGTTTATAAATAACAGAGAATATCAGCACACCCAAATAAGCATTGAAAAACAACAACCAATTTCTATTTTTCACAAAAAAAAAAAAAAAAAAAAAAAAAAAAAAAAATCATACACCAACTAAAAAAAAAAAAAAAAAAAAAAAAAAAAAAAAATCATACACAACTAGTCAGTGTAACAAGCAAAACTTGACATTGTATTATGCTTTCATCATACTTTCTCTCCAAAGGCACTTGATATTATCAGATGCATACAGTAACTTCTATATAATCATAAGAAATTCATTCATAGGAGCATGGTGAAGTAGATTTATGAATTTTCAAGCATCAGTAAATGTGGGAGCATCTAAAATGCATAGACCTAACGATATAAGTACAATTCCTGAACCTAAGCTGCCGCGTTGGCATTGGCAATATACAGCACTGAATCACCACTGAGAACGTGCATAGAGACTCTAATTTGCTGCCTATGAAACATGCCATTGACAGAAGCAATGAAAATAAGAGGTATACAAGACAAAATTGGATAAATGATCAAATCCACTTAGGTCTAATTCTTGTACAACTCAAGCACAGGCTAACAATAAAACAAAAGAAAACCATCGCAGAAAGGCTAGAAGTAAATTTTCCTTGTTCATTCAAATAAATTAAATTAAGCAACTTATCAAATGAACTTTAGCCCAATTCCTTAAATTGATTATTCACGAAACAGTTTTTTAACAAGAAAGCTTACCTGACATGCCTACCATCCCCATAAGCATCCTTCACGGTGACTGATTCCGCATTTAGTTCCTCCTTAATCTGTCAAAATGAATCCAAATTAAGTTAAGAATCAGAATTTTATTTCCCTCCAAAGAAACGAAACATGAAATTTATAGCCAAGCATTTAAAGTCCAAAGTTTTGAATTTACCTTTTTCTCCATAGATTGCATGAGAGGGGAGTCGATGGAACCAGCGTCATTGACGTTGGTGGCTCTAACAGTGAAACTACGGTTACCCACAAGACCAAAGCCTAATTTGGATAACTTATAGCTATCGTTATCGATTTGGAGCTTCGTTTTTCCGTTATTGGTGCTAGACCAAAACAAGGAGATTGATTCAGTTTTGTTTTGGAAGATTGCATACTGCGAAACGAAGTGTCCTTTCGGGGTCCGAAGAAGTGATGATGAAATGAAAGGTTGTTGATGGAGGAGGCGGTGGTGGTGATGGGGGCGCGTGGAGGAGAGCAGGTACGGTCGCCACATCAGACTCTTCGCCATTTGCAGTTCTTTCTGGGCGAGAAAATTTGCAGCTTCTGTTTACTGTGGTTTTTTTTTTTTTTTGGGTGGCCGCTGACAAAAAGGTGTGCAGTCGGGTTTCTACTAAGATTGAGTTTGGGTTGGATTGGGCTTTGTATAATTAGAAAAGGCCCAGAAGGAAAAAAAAATTTGTTCGATATATATGTATGTATACTATTAGAATTTTGAATCCACGTGTACTCTTGAAACTTGATCATTCATTTCTAATCTCAAATAAAAAGGATATATATATATTTTTTCCTTTTTTTTTCTGTTATTTATGAAAGACCAAATGATTGAAATTACATTGTCAACCATACGATTTTTGATACTCAAGGTATCCATATATGATATATATAAACAAAAGGACTTTCTTAGTTTACAATTCATTTATATTGTTATGATTTTCAATATTTTGAAGCCTATAAAAAATTTTACAACCTTAGTAAAATAATCAAATAAAATGGATAATATATATCTTTTATGGTATGTTAACATATTCAAAAATATCATTACTCTTTATTCGGAATTCCGCAAAATATATAAATTCACTCCATAAATTTTTTATTTTTTTTTATTTTTTCAGGATGCTCAATTTTTATTTTGACTCATTAGCAGTTCAACTTATAAAATTACAGATTTCATACTTTAACTTGTAAAATTAGATAAATTAAGTAACTATTAAATAATTAAAAAATATATAAACTATTGATCAAAAGTTGAGTTAATCATACATCAAATTAATATTTTGTATACAAAAATTAAAACCCTAAAAATTTTATTAGTTTGGAAAAGTGCATGAAATTATCAAAATTCATGATTTTAGTAGCATAATATGTTTCCCTCAAAATTGAAAGTATCACAAAACGAAAACAACAAAATTTAAAGATGAATTTATACATTTAACCTAATTGCAACAAACATAAAAATAAAATAGCCATTACATTACATAGTAATTAAATGTTGAATCATTACATTTTTATTACATTACATTGCGTCTTACAAAAAATAACCCAATGTCACTAAACAAATTTTATTATTGCATCCATGTACATTTCAAAGCTGAAAGCAAGTGAAATTGAAGAATTTCCAGATTGCACTTCATTAATGTACTGTAAAGTATTTATATACAAATGTAAAGTAATAGCAATTACTTAGCTGTAATTACTTTTCTATGATATACAAATATAAAATCTATACCAATTTAACTTAAAGTAAATACATTTATTCTTCATAAAGTCCATTATGGAAATTATTTGCCTAAACGGCCATTTCAAATAACAACACCACCACCTAACCTACAAAGCAGATATAATACGGGAGGATCTATTGACGTCAATAACTGTGTTATCGTCCAACAAATTCTTCAGCTCCTTCACAAATCTTTCCATTGCTTGGGCTGGCAAACAAATTGGAATTACAATTCCATTTTCACCTTTCTTACTTTCAAAGGGTACGTAAAAGCTTGCTGCTATAGGAATGGCTTTCGCAGGCCCGCCATAGATTGCATTGCCCCATCCAAAATCCACTTCTTTAAACCGTGCATGTCTCACATCCGACACAACGTAAGTACCTTCTGCAGTAAAATGAGGCCTACCCTTAATCACCAGTAGGCCATAGATTTGGCATTGCCCCATCCAAAAAATCCGCCCCATCCAAAATCCACTTCTTTAAACCGTGCATGTCTCACATCCGACACAACGTAAGTACCTTCTGCAGTAAAATGAGGCCTACCCTTAATCACCAGTAGATCTGCCACTGATTTTATATACTCTCTATCGAATTCCATTTTAGCCTTTCTTATCAGTTCTAATCCATAACCTATTGGACTTTTGGAAATTTCTCCGGCAGTTGCAACCGCCGTTGACAGGACAAATCCGTTACCGTAATACCCTTCTGGTAACAGAGGAGGATTAAACTTGCGCGCGTTGTTAAGTAATATCATTCGCATTTCTTGTCCCGCGTCTGGCTGAAGCGCAATAGTGCGACATTTCCATAAACATGCAGTTAATATTTCAACATCAGTGCAACGAGAAAGATGAGGAGGAATATATCTACTACGAAGAGTAGATAAAGCAGAAGGGCCAATAAAAATGGCTCTATGAACTATGTCATCAAGTGGAAATGGAATTCCTTGGCCATTTTCTATGTGATCATATTCACGGTGGATGCAGGTCACACGGGGTGGGTTTCTTGCATCAAGTACATGTCTTTCCCATACTGGGAAAATAGAAGGGGATTGTCTTCCACGCGCCATCTCGGCTATGGCTGACATCTCGGGCTTTATGGCTGACAAAGAACTGAGCTAGACCAGGACATCACTCATGGTATGATTTAAACGGATTATGCAAATGTGAAAACCACCACATTTAAAGCGTGTGAACCTGGCCAAACAAACCAAAGATTTCTTTGTATTATTCATTTTAGGAATAAGGCTCAATTTAGGTGCTCAATTAGGTTTTAATTAAAATTTACCTATTAAGAGGTCTGGAAACAATTTCAGTTTTGAGTGCTACTGAACCGAAACTTGTTAAGAACTTACCTGAATCAGTATGACAGGGCAATTTAGTATCCCACTAGAGCCAGGCACATCAAAAAGAAGCTCATCCAAGAAAGGAAATGGAGGTTGAAGAGCATCGCCGGACTGATCAAGACTGACATTAGCATCAGCTTCAATAAACAAAACACCTTCACCATTGCAATCCATAATGAGCTTACGGTTAGGCCCTTCTCTAAGCCTGCCAGCGAATGGATAAAAAAACCATGAGAATGCTTTTAAGCCAATTTAGCATCTAATAACCTGAACCGGGGTTTTCCCTTCCATTGAGGGGTCATGGACGACTAAATTTGTTGATGGGATATGGGAATCCCGAAGGACCTTCTTGATCATCAATGTCCGATAATGGCTTCGAAGACCTTCTTGATCATCAATGTCCGATAATGGCTTGAACTCATGAGGGGTAGGCTTTGAAGGTGTGATTAGTTCCGGTTCACACCTCTGAACCTCGAAAATGGGCGCAGGTGGTGCCATTAATTAGACAGAAAACGAACACCAAGTTAGTAATCAAGTAGAAAGACACAGCTCTGTAGATGACATGGCGATGTGCATTTATTTATAGGACCAGAAGAAGATAGTCATATGACAATTTTCCACCACACAAAAAATTCACAAAGATAACGTATAACGCCTTTTTATAATGATTTTTTTTTAAAAGAGAATATTTCTTATAAAAAAATTGAAGTATGAATAATTTTAAAAATAATTTCTATTTTCTTTGATTTAGTCCACTTTACGTATCATTTTATTTAGACATGTGTAATCCGTTTTCAATTAAAAAAATATAACTTATTTATTTACTTTTTTTAATATTAAGGAGAAAAATTTCAATTTGGATTTATTGATATACCACTAAATTATATCTTAATATGCAAAGGATATAATTGTTATTTGAATCTTAAACATGATTTCATCGAATTTTTTATTAATTAGTATAAATTATAATTTAATATAAAATCCACATATTTAAATTAAGAAACCACAAAGTTTGAATTTAATAGTAAGTCACAATATTTTTCTTTTTTTCTTTTTGAAGAAAATATTTGATGTAGACCTTAATGATATATATTGCATAATTTATGTGTGTATATATAATCGGACAGAAATTAATTTCTTTAATTTCTTAAGTAAAATATAAAGTTTTTAATCTTCTCAAAAATTTTATTAAATTTTAAAGACTGAATTTGTATTCTCACCCTTGTGAGAATAGATATGTCTTACCATCCCACTTATCATGTGGCTTACATTCATCGATCCATTATTAATAAAATTTTAATTTCTTAAAAAAAAAAGACAAATATTTTCCTTTTTTTTCACGTTTTTTTTTATCAGCCAGTTATTTTCATGTTGTTTCTTTCTTTTTTGTGAGCCAGTGATAGAATTTTGGTGTTGCACGGCAAGGAATATTCAAATGCATGCACAACTGAATATTGAATTAGACTCAAATGCCCTTCTCAATATTAAAAAAAAAAAAAAAAAAAAAAAACTCAATATTAAAAAAAAAAAAAAAAAAAAAAAAAAAAAAAAAAAAAAAAAAAAAAAAAGAATTTTGATCGTTGTTGGTTTCTCGGTGACTTGTTGTTATCAGTCACCAATGGACTCTTCCATTTAATTGGGTCAAATTGATTGTTATCAGTCACCACTAAGGTATATATTTTATGGATTGTTTGAAAAAATAATGATAATTCAAAAGATTAATTTGATAAATACATTAATAATAATTAGCCAATTGTTAGGTTATCTTTTTATAGTTATTTTTAGTAGATTTCATTTAGAATTTCTTTTAAATTTTATTTAATTTGTTTTATTTTAGTTAATTTTAAGTTTATTTTATGGATTGTTTGAAAAAATAATGATAATTCAAAAGATTAATTTGATAAATACATTAATAATAATTAGCCAATTGTTAGGTTATCTTTTTATAGTTATTTTTAGTAGATTTCATTTAGAATTTCTTTTAAATTTTATTTAATTTGTTTTATTTTAGTTAATTTTACTTGCAGTTTTTAATAAAGTTTTCTTGAATCGTATTTCACTTTATCTTGAGGAATATTATAAGATTTTTATAGAAAAACAGTCAAAATACAAAAACAAAATTTTTACAAGACTTCCAGCAAGAAGCACATCCAAAGAGTGTTACCTATAACTCTCGTGCTGTCTCAAAAACAAAATCAAAAGAGGGTCAAACTCGAGCAGGCTCAGAGCTCATCTGAATCAACAAGATAGACCTCCTGAGAAAGATTTATGGGAGAAAGCAAGTTTCACAAACTCATTGAATAAAAATAAATAATACATAACTCAAACGATTAGACTAGATGTTTTTCACATTTTTTATGATGAACTTGTTCAGTCAAGCACATATCACAATATCAGCACCCATAAATAATATTACCTTCTAATAATCACATCAAATGGAGATTAGTCAGTGGCGTCACAAAACTCCTGACAAGCCATTATCATACATGGCCAACTAGTCTATTCCTCACTTGATCAGTCCTCACATTATTTTTCCATTTTCTCTTTCTGTTTCCACTCTCTCTTTCTTTTTCCATGTCCTACAGGAGGCCAACATATACTTTTGTCATATCATTCATATTACATTTTATCAAGTGCACACGAAGAGGCCGATCTTCCATACCCACCAATCGTCCCGAATAGTATCACAATCCCATAGTGACCCACTTCATTCCAATTCCACCTGAATACAAAGCACAACATTATCACATCACAAGTAATCTAATTAACTCTCATAATGTAGTAAATTGCATAGGAGATTAATAAGCACATAGGAATATAATTATGGAATATGTATAAATATTTAATTCTCATATGCTTATATTACTATAATTTACATGGTAGATCATATGCTTATAATTTAATATTGAAATAGTAAAGGATGAGCATCGTATGTATATATATATATATATATATCATCGTAGTAAATTTAATAATATATAGTAACAGTTTAATAAATATATATATTTATAAGATGTGAAATGGTCAATGTATATATGCAAATGATGGCATGCATCATTTATTATTACTCAAAGTGATAAAAGAAGGATCAAACCTCCATTTGAATTTTGACTAGCAGGAGCAGTTGACAAATTCTGATAATCGAGATAAAATACAAATATAAAAAAAAGATTACATCAAACAGATGATTTTCCTTAAATAATAATTAACCTATCATATATCTGTTTAGATATTAGACTGCTTTAATTAATCTAAATCTTATCGATATATCTGATAGTATTTTCTTTCAAATAGAACTATCTATTTGTTCAAGTATTAACTATTTAATACACTTATCAACTATCACTCACATAGTTCATCTATCGAGCAATCAATAATATAATATTCACAAGTAATAATTTTATGTTTAACTCATAACTTATAGATTAAAATAACATTCGATTTAATCCCAATATATTCTTATATGTTTTCATCTCGATATGGTTTACTTCCTTAACCAGTCGCCAAATAATAAATATTTTATATAAACAAATATAAATAATCCTCGTTACTCAAAATATTATATCCTCTAAGTAACATATTCCATCACCATCTTAAAATAATTGGTACCCATTCAATAATAAATTTCATTTTACTCAAATCATTTTCCATTCATTTTACTCAAATCATTTTCCGTCCTACACTTAAATATTTAATTTGCTCTAATTTGATAAAATCTTATCTTATTCTTAACCTTAATTATTTTAATTAAAACTAATTTAGTTAATAACAACAATTTCAAAACTTGAAAATTTATGTTGAATTTAACAAATTAAAAAATACCGATTA